GGCTTAACCCTTTTCGGGAGATTCTCTACTCAAGTGGGGGTCTTTCGGCTAAGCAATTTTTAATTGTTACTAAAATGGGGTAACGTCCTATGCTCTTATATGAATTAATTCAGAACGAAGAGTTTCCACCTCCAAGTGTCTCAACAGACCGGAAGATAAAAAGAATAGGAGGGACAAAGTGAAAATAAAGTGAAACCAAATCCGAAGACCCAAATCAACTGCCCACTTTCGGTCTGGGTCTGTTAGCATGTCTTCTTTCAGGTTCTTATTTTCAGTTTGTAAATTTAAAGAAAACAACAGTCAAACATTTTACACAAACAAGCCTTGGGCGGGGCATTAAATTAAGTAGTTTCAACGCCTTGATTGTCTTGATTTTTATTTCATCCACCTGGTGGCGGCTTAAATTCCAGTGAAATGCTAAAAGCCCAGGAATGTAGGCAACATAAAATGGTAAATACATTTTTAAAGCAAACTGAGAAACTTTTTATCAAGAATTATATGAAAAAAAAAGGTGAAATATGCTCTATAAAGTAGAGTTATTTAAGATAATATAAAAAAATGTATTCTTTTCATTATTGGCTTACTAAAATCTTTAAATCTTTAACTATACAAATTTTAAATAAACCAAAATAAAGACACAAATAAGCCCTCACACATGAATGCATAAAACCGCAACAAAAAACCGATCCGGAAAAGAGTAATCTCTTGTTGCACACTCTCTTATAAAAACTATATAAAAGTTTATACAAAAACAGGTGCAAAAAAAGGCAGCTTAATAGCTTTTTATTTGTTTTTATAAATGGTTTAGCATGGGACACTGTGCAAGGCATTCTCACGTTTATTCTTACCAAGACTAAGCCGATTTTGTGCTGCACCACACTTAAATGCATTTTTAATTTTCATTATTTCTCATTTTTTATATGTGATCTACATTTTGCCCCACTCCGCAACAGGCATCCACTTGATGGCTAAATGATTCAAATTTAATTGCTCATTTATAAAACATGGGCCCTGTTCCTGGAAGAGCACAATTTAAGTTTTACTTCCAAATTTGATGGAATTTGAAGCCTGTTTTCTGGACGAACCAGAAACCATTCATTCGCTTCACTGAACTGATGAGCATCTGCAGGGCAATCAAATTGCCAGAAATGTTGATTTTAATTCTGGAAAGTAACTTCAATTGCGTACTTTAAACCAACGAAGTTTTGGCCAAAAGTTTCAACTGGCATGAAGCATGAAACAGCAAAAAACAAGTGCACTATAAGGTTCCTGCGATATGAGAGCCAACTAAAGCCCTAAATGATTGCGATAATCCAAGGACTTGCCTGGCCCAAGCCAAGCAGTAATAAAGCCGAAGGGCCAACTTCAATTTTGCAATATTAAATAAAGATTTTGCAAGATATGTTGTACATACAATAAGGAAAAGGTCGCCTAGGCCAAAAGCCAAAAGCGAACCCCGCCAAGGAGGACAAAAGCGAAGCAACAAATGTCCTGGGCTCAACACACATCAGCGAGGACCCTTTGCAATGGCAAGTCGGGGTCCGGGACCAGTCTTGGGCTCCATGTTGACTTTATGGCTTAGGCCAGCTAAGAAGCAATTTCGAAAAGGCCAGCGCAGAATTATAAACATATGAAATTTTGAGCCATAAAAACATAATTAAGTGGAATATGGAACCTGATGATTTGGATTAGTTTATTTAAGTTGTCTTTGGAACAGTATTTAATCTTTAAATCTTTTTTAGTTATTTAATTAATGTACCCTAAATATTATTTAAATAATCTTTTAACTAACTTAATAAGGAGGGTGCTTTTCGAATCAATTTAGAAATGTTTTTTGAGTCACTTTTTGAATGAGTCCTGACATACGACGGCTTTCCGATTCCGACGGCTTAAACAAACTTTTTGTGGCGATAAATTTTTAGAAAAAATTATCCTTAAAAAAACTATAATTTATAGAAAATGTTTTTTAAATAATCTTGGGAAAGGCAATCTATTGATACAGATATTCTAGGGACCTCTTACCATAAAAAAAAACACAATTTCTTACAAGTTATGAAATACATTTCATAATTTTGCCACATTATTCATTATTTTAACAATATTGGTAAGCTTTTTTAGCAAAAACGGTTAAAACATAACAATGTGACTTCATTTTGCGTGAAACTTATTTTTTTTATAATTTTAATAAACACAAATACAAAAAAAATTAATTTGTTTTTAGTTTCTGAGCTTACGCTACAAAGTTAAATTAAAGTGGGTTAAAATTACTACATAATTTAAAGTGATTACTTAATTTAAGGGTTCCAAATTAGAATTCTATAAATTTATCACTCACCTGTTTCCTTTTCACAAAACGACACAAACACTTTCTAATAAAATGACAAATTAGAGATCAAAGATTTTTTGAGAAACAACACTAGAAAATACACAGAAACTAAGTTCAAAAACGTTTTTTCAGAATTTGGAAAACTGATGGAAATGTGTGGTATTAACCGTTACTGCTGCTGATGGTTCAGGATCTGGTTCTGTTTTGGCTCCTGGCGACTGCACCGCTTTAAGACTGAAACGTAAGTGAAATCGGCAGCCAAAGGAGACCGCGATTTATACGAGGCGAGGATACGAAAGATTTCAACGCGTTCAGGTGGGAGCCGAAAGCCGAACCCCGAACACCGAAAGCTGAGGCCGAAGTCCGGCTGACGGGGGACTCCCGCCCACAATATCGTGAACGGTTGGTTGTTGCTATTGCTTTTGGCCAACATTGGGGGCGATTATGCGCAGTCATTGGGAGTTGGTGGTGCCGATGGTACTAGCCACCAACTTTCGCAATACGCAACACGTGGCAAAAGGGCAACGCCAATCAGTCGGAACGTTTTAACCTATCACTTTAATTATCAACAATTACGCACAATTATCAAAATATTTATCGGGTGTCCATCGATCATTTTATCAGCATCGGTCTAATCAGCATCTGATTATTTTCAATTAGTTGGCCAGTTCGGGCTTACCGGTCCCATGCATTTAGCAGCTGTCAGTCGGCCATCCAATATATAAATCCCCCCAATATACTAGATGGTTATTAATTCTTTTGGCATTATCTCATTATCTAACCATTTTTACGGCCCCTGGTCCCGGGATTCGCTGTGACTAACCACTGAGATTACCAGCCACAAATTATGTGCATATTTTCGCCAATTCACAATTAGTTGCCTATCAAAGATCACACACCAAAATATCCCGATGATAAAATATCGGGACTGATAATAAACATTATATCATGGTGAAACGGAAGGTATGTCTATATTTGGTCTGCTCCAATGTATATTATTGGTTTCCGCTTAAACCGATTTATGGTACTAGTTGGAGAGATAAGGCTTCTTTGTTTCTAAGCTATTCTTATAAAAAAGTGCCTTATTTTAAATGAGAAGGTTTTTCGGTTAATAAAAATGTCTATCAACTGCTGGAAGGAAAGTAAAGTCTCACTCAAAACTTATTAGATTATTTATTATTCGAAAAACTGTTAAGAAAAATTATCTATAGATAAAATCAATTAATCAATTATCTCTTACTGTATACATTTTTATGCTAAGTATACATTTTTAAAATCAATAAAATTGTTAAACTAAAAAATGATTTTAAAAAGTGATACGATTTCCTCATTTTTGAAGAATAAACATCTATTAAACAAAATTTCATTTTTTAATTAATCTTTAATTATATAAAAAGAATATTATTGCTGAAAATTCTGGAAACACTTTATTTTTTTCTCGTTTGCAGAATAATGGATAGGCTTGCGGAAATGGGGAAAGGCCATCTGCGTATGTAGGAAAAATCCTTATTACTTCGGTCCATACCCACATAGACCTTTTTATCTACCCATTCGTATGAGTTTTATGGCAGTAACAGAAAACGCGGCTAATGATAATGTGGAATGATAAAAGCTTTACAATGTTTTTGTTGTTGGCAGCGACGTGTCCGGCTAGGATTTGGTTTTTGTTTTATTTTTTTGTTGGCGGTTTGCATGAAACGTGATTCTAATCTCTTGGGCCCCGACCTTGCCCACACAAAAACACTGACTGACCTTATAAAAGGATCTCAAATCGAAATGAAACAAGACAGGCAACTGTCAAAGTTCCTTAGAGCCGAGAGCTTTGTCCAATCCATATAACTAATTACGAGGAATTATGCAAGCCATAGGCCATTTTATCATTTTCGGTCAACCCCGAACCACAACCCTCATACATAATTCGTTGGGGACATCAAAGAAATTGCATTTTGCTGTACTCCCTCTGGATTCTTGGCTGAATCTGGCTGATTTATGAAACTATATAGAAAATACGCGTGCATATAAATCAGTTCTTATGAAAATTGAAATTGACTTTGTTGTGTGTGTGGCATGTTGCAACTTCCCGCTGAGCGGAGTCGGGGGGCAAATGCATATTTGGATTTTATGGCCACAAAGAATGCCACGAAGGGTTGTTGGCATCCACTTTGAGCTGCGCCAGCTCAACAACAATCTGGCCAGCTTTCCGCGGACAAACATTGAAACAATCTGGAAAAGGCATTCATATGCAATGACCATAAGAGTTCATGCCTGAATTGAGGATATGCATATGTTAAAGGACTGCCTGTGAATGTTCAATCGACCTGCTTGCAAACCATTGGGCGGCAATTGATTTTTAAAATTGTTTTCATTCGCTGATTTGCATATCACACTTTTTCAAATTTTATTGTCTGTAATGGAATCATTTACCTGAATTTTAATTAATAGGGGAAACACCTGGACAAAGGCAATGGTATATTTGATATTTGTCACTCTTTAATATTTTAAAACTTTATAGCCACATATCTAAATTCATTTTTTGACAGTTTCCCATACTTGAATTTCTAAAACATAGATCATAATCTTCGTAGATCTTAAATACCACCTTCGTATAAGCTACAAAGTTTTCATCGCAGTAATAAATATTAAACTTCCAAGCCATTTAAAAAACTTATTAAAATGAATTCTTAAAACATTCGTTTATTACTTAAAACTGTTGTAAAAATTGCAAACAGAGTTACAGTATAAAGGGTTTGCATATATCCATTATAAACCTACGACTAAAGGAAAAATAATATGCGTGCAAGCATGATTACTCGTCATCATCATCATCGTCATCTTCCTCTTCGTCCTCCTCGTCATCATCGTCGTCATCGTCATCATCCTCATCATCATCCTCGCCCTCGATGTCGTCGTCATCCTCGCCATCCTCATCCTCGCCACTTTCACCCGCACTCTCTTCCTCGTCTTCCTCCTCAGCGTCGCCTTCCTCGGACTCGGCCTCAGCCTTAGAGCTCTCGCTGGCCGCCTCCTTGCGGGCCTTTTTAGTAGGCACAGCCGTGTCGTCGCCGTCATTGTCCTTTGGCGCAGCATCGGCGGCCAAAAGAGCCTCTTTCTTTTCACGCAGCTCGGCCTTGCGCTTTACCTGTTCCCCTGATAGCTTAATGAACTCGGCATCCTTGGTCAATGCGAAACGAGACAACACCTCGTTGGCCTGCTTCTTCAATTTAAGCATGCGCTGCTCCCGGGGTCCGACCACATAAGGAGTCTCGGCTGGTGGGGCACACAGGCTGACGTACAACGGAAGGGCCGATGTACCCACAATGTCGATCTTTATGTACAGCGAACGAATATTGGGCAGACCTCCTGGTAGGACCTGCTGCAGTTGCTTGCTCACCAGCAGGATGTTTTCGGCCACCTGCTCCGCGCTGTGCTCGTGGTTGCCCACCGGAATGGTAGTTAGATCGCCCTTGGCCAGCTGCCGGAAGGCAGTGCGGTGGAGTGCGCGAGTCACCTCTTCTGCTATCTTGGCATTGTCCTTGCTAAGACGAACGGCGTGTAGAACATTTCGGGGCTTCTGAGTGGCCTGGAAAAGATTTGTTAACAATAAATTAATAGAATGGAATGGCCTTAAGAAACTAACTGAAATTGTTAGCTATTCAAGATTACTTTTCGCAAAACCCAGATTATTAGGGTTTCCTCGAAAACCTCATTGTCCTCCTCAAAAAACATCCCCTGGCTATGATCTTACCTTGCCCAAAAATGCCGTGGCCTGACCGGATAGACGACCGTCGCAGAGCAGGTAGTCATAAGTGTTCAGGAACTTGCGCTTGGCCTCGAAGGGTCCCATCTCGTTGCGCAGCTGGTTAAACGGAACGACTGTAAGACGCTGTGTAACACCTGCCTCACGGAGAAGATCCTCGTAATGTTGTTTGGTGGGTTCAAAATCGAATTTGGCGCCACGCTGCAGATCGGGCACGATAATGGCCACATCAGAGTCTGCGTTCACTAGGGAGTGCTTCAGGGTCAGCTTCGCCACACGTTTGGGGCAGCTGGCGATCTTGTAACTGGCCACTTGGAGATTGTAGCGGTAGTCTGAGAAAATGTCCTTCTTCTTGGCCACCTCTTCGGCAACTAGATCCTTCAGGGCCTGGCACACCTTCTTCACGTTTGTTTCGCTAACGATTTCGTCATACTTCTTTTCATCAAACGCCTGGAGTTCAAAAGTGAGCTCCAGGGGTTTCTTTTCTTTGGCGGATTTCTTCGATCCTTTCTTGCCTGGCTTGTTCTTATTTTTATTGTCGGCCTTCTTTGCTTTTGGCGCCTTGTCGGGCTTTGAAATCTTCTGAGCAGGCTTGGACTTCTTCTGAAGCGCAGCAGCCGATTGAGTCTTGGCTTTGGCAGTTTCCTTGGCCGGCTTGGCATCTGGCTTGGCACTTGGCTTGATGGCCTTCTTGGTATTTTCAGCAACAGCAACAGCAGCAGTTGGCTTGGCGGCCTTCTTTACTGGCTTAGTTGTCTTCTTTGATTCTTCGGTAGCTGGAGCTGGCTTGGTGGATTTCTTTGGGGCTTCGGTCACAGCTGCCTTCTTCTGGGACTTCTTAGCCGGTTCTGGGACTGGAGCAGACTTTGGGGCCACTGGATCCTCTGCCTTGCGCTTAGCAGCTGCTTTTTTGACTGGCGCTGGAGCTGGCGCCGCGGCCTTTGCCTTGGCTTCCTTTTTTGCGACTACAGGCGACTCTGGGGGTGCCAAAATCAGAGGCTTCTTGGCTGCCTTCTCCGGCTTCGCTTTCGACTTTTTGTTTGCGGCAGGAGGAGCGGCTGGGGATTCTGGAGGTGCCAGGATCAAAGGCCTTTTGCCCTCTCCTTTTTGTGATTTCTTTTCGGGCTTCTGCTTGGGCAGTTCCTTTTTGGCCTTGACGGCGCCATCTGCTTTTTTCAACGCGGCATTCTTCCCCTTTTTGTTGTTGGCTTCTGGCACTTCCAAGACGGCTGCCGGGGGCAGTTTTTTCGTCTTTTCGGCGTTGTTCTTCTTTTTTGACACACCCTCGATACTGTTGCTCTTGCTCAGAGACTTGGGTTTCGGTTTCTGCACTTTAACCATCTTTAACGAATCGAGTGTAAATGTTTTGTAAAAGCAAAATTCTGTTTTCAAATTCAATTTCTACTTGGTGGAACTACACGTGCGAAAGAAGAAATCGATGGACACATCGATAGAGCAATCGATGAATCGATAAAAGTAAGTCCCCAGAACGAACCGGTTCAAATAGCGGTACGGCAACGCCAAAAAATTATTCAAATTTAGAATTTTAAATTTTAAAATAATTAAAAATTTTGATAAATACGGGTTGACATCTTAGAAGTTAATCATCTGTTGAACCCACCTAACTGTTTTAAATGAATAGAAATAAAATCATGGTTAAAAATATAAATTTTCAGATAAAAATAATCAATACTTTAATTTTAGTTTATTAAGGGCCATACCATCGAAATGGGTTTAAAAATTGGGTCGACCGAATGGGCTACCGGGACCGAATGTAAAGTCAGCCGAGGCAGCCATATGAAATATATATTCGTTTTTATAGCGATTTTATTGTATTATTCAACTCATAGCATTATTGCTAATCGATTTAAAATAAATAGAATCCTTTTATTAAAAAACTCCTCTGCTTACTGAATTATTTTTCCCCATTTTCAGAACTTCCTTTTCATTTCTATTTAAAAAGCAAACAGTTTATTTTAAGTCGATAATTCTAAAAATAGTCATATTCTTTACATTACACGCGTGCCTAATCGCTCTCCAGGATACCAAATGTCCTTGGCCGCACTCTCACGCCCACAGAAACACACACGCAAAAGGATGTTCTCGCAGGGAGCCTGCCAAATGCCGACGCATGGCAGCTCCCAGGGAGCTTCAAATTGATGACCCCTATGGAAATAGTCGTCCTGCAAAAGTTATTCCTAAAGATGGGAGGCAGCCTTTGAGACCGTGTGCGTGCGGTTGTGTCCATTTGCCGCCACGTGACTGGCGAGGAAGAAACTTTGCTGGGCGATGTTAATCAACAGTTAAAGATTACTTATTATCTACATTTAAAGCTTTAGCTTCTTGGCATTCGCCTTGGTTACATCCTTTTTAGGCCGCTTGTTGGAAGCTGTGGCTGCCGTGGTGTCCTGCAGTTTGTTGAAGAACGCCTTTGAAGACTTCAGGGCACCTTGGTCATTGCTACTAGCGGTGATCTGAAACAAAATTAGATTTAATATATATTGACTCACGCTACAACAAGTCCCAGTTACCTTTTGTACATTGCGACTCTTGGTGATAGTCTTGAGAAGCTTGGCATCCGCCTCTTTCTTTGTAGGCGCCTTGCCCTCCTTGGCGCGTTGGAGATCACGCTGCTCCAACGCCGTATGAATCGCCCTCTGCTTTTGCTTCTTCTTGCGGCGCTCTCGGTTCTTATCGGTACGACTGCGCTCCGACTTGCCAAGTGGAGCTGTTTTCGGACCTTGGAACACTTCCTCAGGAGCCAGCAGATTAGCATCACTAACCGCCACGGGGGCCACCTCCTCCATATGTACAACTGGGGTGTTAGTTACTATCCTAGCCTCCGGAGCGACTGGCTTGGGTGTAAAGTGGAAGTTCGACAAGGCGTCCAACTTGAGGAATAATGAACGCATTGCCTTTTTTATTTCTTGGTGCTCCTTTGGCTCTGGACCACTGTTGTCATCAGCATCGCGATTTGGATCGAGTTTGTCGAGCTCACGCTGATACTGTGCTTCATATATTTGCGACAGGGATTGTTTTGACTTTTCCTGATCCAGAATCAACTGCTTTCGGTACTCCTGGGGTGTGTTTACAGGACGAACAGTGCGGACAACATCGTCCCATGCCTTGTCTCGAATACGCTGTTTGATTATGTCCTCAATTGAACGATTGTCCTCCTCCGTAATAGGCGCTGTGGGTCGTGTTGTGGAATCGAAATCGAGAATCTCCTCCAGCAATGAATTTTGAGGACGATTGGCTGCTTGGACTTCACCCTTAAGTTGCCAAGGCTTCTCGCCAAGTACGACATCCTCATAATCGCGAATGCGTTGAAAGAGACGAGCTTCTCTGAGCTCATTGGAGGACTGAGAAGGAGGATCTGCTACTTTGTGGTTATCTTCTTCCTCATCACTGCCTTCCTTGTCAGAGTCGGAGTCGGAACCGCTGGCCGGTTCTATGCCGCTTTTAGAAACGAATTCCGATTCATAAATTTCACTAGCGGCTTCTTCCTGATTCTCTTCGGGATCGTGTTCTTCTTCACTTCCTTCTGCTTCCTCCAAATCCTCTTGGTTTTCTTCGTCCTCATCATCTTCCTTCTCTTCTTTGTCACTCTCATCTTCATTAAAGAAATTCTTAGTCTTGCCTTTGTTCAATTTTTGAGACTTCCTTTCCAGTTCCTCGTCCATTTCAAAGAAATCCGCATAGTTTACGTTTCCATCATCATCTTCCTCGTCTTCTCCAAGTCCGAAATCCTCAGCGAAGTGATCTATTTCCTCTGCCTGTTCCCCTCCGCGCTTGTTGTTCATCCGACGCATCTCCTTAGCGTCTTCCTGCTCCAGAAACTCGTTCATTTCTTGCAACTTGAAAAAGGTGTCATCCACTATAGAGTTGCGCAATCGCTTGTTGCCTTTTTCCTTCTTTGGTTGCGATTTCTTTTTGGCAGACAAGCCTTCGTCGAAGCTCGCATCCGATTCGGGATCCTCATCCGACTCCTCAGCGTCTATTTCTCCATTCTCAGCCTCCACGTCTAGATCCTCCTCTTGTTCCTCGCCCTCGTCCAGCTCAATACCCAAGTGCTGTTCCCGTATCGCCGTCATCTGTGCAGTCTGTTCCAATAGCTGCTGGAAGACTAGCTCATTGCGCATTTCCAACTGCTGCCAAATCTGCTCCTCATCCATCTGCTCCAGAACCAATTCCTGAAGTAAATCCTTTTTGTTTGCCACATCTCCGCTAATGCTAACGCTGTACGTTTGCTGGATGAGCTGTTCAATGGCTTCAATCTGCTCCGGCTGGGGTCTACAACAAAAAAATGTATTACAGATTGAACACGTGCGCGGGTAGAAAGAAAACAAACTTGAGAAAGCGTTCTGGATTGCTGGTCAGCTGTTCAAAATTGTCGGCGATTTCCTTAAGGACATTTCCTTTCTTTGTTTTTTTCTTGCTTCCTATCATTTTTATCGGATTTGTTGCAATTTAAATTAAAAATAAATCGTTTTAAGGCAGCAAGGTGCTTTCAAAATAACAAGCGGTTAGAGATGGCATTAGCATCGTGGGCAACCCAACTAGAGATGGGAAATTTTGTACTGTACTGATTACAAAAAAGATTTTTACAAAATTAATAGGTTTAGAAGCTGGATGCTTACTTACTTTTAACATAGTGAGCTACTTATTATTTTTTATTTGCAAGAAACGCATAAGCAGAAACAAATTTTTGTTTTGGAGCTCTTGAGTCGAAATATCGAAAGTGAAAAATTGAACAGCCGGTGTCAGCTGGTGTCACCACCAAGGGTGCATTTTGTGCAAGTTAGGGATCAAAACTATGCCCACCGGCTCCAACCTGAGCACCTGAGAATATAGACAGTTGAGTCATTATGGATGCCAAATTTATCAAGCTGCTGCTACTAGGCGGTGCCGCTCGCTTTTACTTTTGTCGAACCTCATTGGGTACCGTCATTGGAAACCGGGTGGAGTTCGCGACGCCATTGAACTCCCACAAGCGCAGTATGTGAATTGAATACAATGTGTTACTACTATTTACAACTTCCTGTTCTCCTAGTCCAAGAGGGAATATTCCTGCTACAAAATGGAATCGATCCGTACCAAGGCGATGTGGTCCACGAGACGCCCCTAATCCTGAGCGCCCTCTCTGGCCTGTTTCGGAACTTCCCCTTGTTTTTACCTATTTTCTATATACTCCTGGACATATTCACTGCAGCCTTGTTGTACTTGATGGCCCAGCGTTTTGTGCGAACAAAACAGGACCAACAAAATGTTGAGCGAAAGGACTACGCCAAAGATACCACAGAACTTCAGTTCAGCAGCAGCGACAAACTTGACATTCCTGAGTTGGTCATTGTAGCCTATCTGTTTAATCCACTCACAGTGCTAAGTTGCGTCGGCATGACCTCGACGGTGTTCAGCAACTTGTTTCTGGCCGCCTTTCTGTACTGCCTCACAAAAGGACTACTCCTGCCCTGCCTTTTAATTCTGGCTTTTGAAACCGTTCGTAGCTTTTATCCAGTCGTCCTATTGGCACCGCTGCTCCTCACCTTTTCGCGAAGTTCCATTCGAAAGGGATTTTTTATTACGTTGCTTTTCGCAGCCTGTTGCCTAGTCATATCAGTAGCTAACTTTTTTGTCCTCAAAAGCTGGAACTTCTTGGATGGCACCCTGGGATTTATGTAAGTTAATACGATCGATCTGACAGAGCAACTTTACTATTACTTTATACTATCTTTTATAGCTTTTTCTTCCGTGACCTGCAACCAAACATTGGCCTTTTTTGGTATTTCTTCACCGAAATGTTTGAGCATTTCCGCATTATGTTCCTCATAACATTCCAACTGAACGCCACTGTCCTGTATCTCTTACCACTAAGTATTAAGCTTCGTAAAGAACCCCTACTACTTGCCACCATCCTCGTGGCACTCATGGCAGTATTTAGAGCCTATCCCAGCTTGGGCGATGTGGGTTTCTACTTGGCCCTACTGCCGCTTTGGAAACGCTGCTGGAAATGTAAGTTCTTTCCCATAAACTCAAAAAATTTTACTCAAAATTATGAAATGGTTTTCAGTTATGGCCCATGGGTTTGTTGTCTTCACATTCTTCATGATCACTCTGTCCATGATGGGTGTTCTGTGGCATTTATGGATATACGCAGGCTCGGCAAACGCGAACTTTTATTTTGGAGCCACTCTGGCGTTTTCGACAGGTCAAATATTTTTGATCACCGATCTGCTCTTCGCTCATGTTAAACGCGACTTTTGCTTGTTTAATGGTCAAAAGATTCTTATCGATGGGGAAGAAGCAAAGATAGTCCTGAAGTAGCCAACTGAAAGCACTGTGAAACCAAAGGAATACGCTTATCGGTCCGACTAATGTCAGTTAAGTCCAGGAACAATGTACAGATGCATAATGCACGGCTCCTTGGCCATGCAGTCAGGCATATTCTTAGAATAAGCAACTCCAATCGATATCAGATTAAAAGAAAACATTTTATTTAATCATAAATGATCTACTGGTGTGAGTAACCCGTCTTGGTCTTGCGATTGAGGAACTTGTACAGGTAGAGAATGCGCTTTTCCATGTCTCTCCATTTGGTGGGTCGTGCAACGGGGTATTTGGACTTCTCCAACACTCGGCGTTTTCGCAGTAGCACCTGATACTCGTTGCCAGAGACACCACGCAGCCAGGAAGGCACTGAATACAACACCTTCACCGGGTGTAGGCGGTCGTTGCCCAGTATGTCGATGTAGTCGTTCTGTCCGAAGAGGGCGCGCTTCTGGGACCATGCGTTCTTTGGCCGGTACTCGGGCATAGGTAGCTTTCGGCCGTTGTCGACGTGCGGCAGCAATCCTGACTTGAATATCTTGTCCTTGTATCCATAGCGGCGGACAGTGGGGCCTCCAGCTCGTCGCTCCGCATGAGACAGGTTACGCACTGTGCTGGATGTGGAGGAGATTGGGGCGACGGTTTTATGGTTCACCGCGAGGAGCGCTGCTCTTCCGACTTTTTGAATTGTGCTACCAATCCAAGACATAGTTCCAATTTAATTAATGATTAGATAATTGTAAACACAGACCGAGTTCTATCGGTCAGGAAAAACACAAGGCGGCACTGCAGGCTGCTACTAACAGCTGTTCGTAGTTATCGAATAGCAAGACATATCGATAGTGCTGAGATGGATTAAGGATGAATATATTTTTTTATGTTTTTGTAGTTATTAACGAAAATAAAAGTTAAATATAATGCTAGATGTTTCAATATTGTGTTTGTATTAACATACATATGTATATCCAAAAATAGGCATCCCGTTCTTCTCGCATGAGATATTCAAACACTGCTATTTCCCATCGCTAAGACCGGCGAATCAGCTGACTTCTTACTTCAAAATATTAATTGTAATCACATTGTTGACAAACTCCGCCACTTCAATGATCGACTCCGAAGCACTGGAGAATGAGCGAACGAAGCTTAAACGGGAGATCGCTGAGCTACGAGCGGCGCTGAATAGGAAGGAGCAATGTCTGCGCGATCTGGAAACGACTATTTCAGAAGCCAACGGAGACGAGGACGATATTCATCCGGACTCCAATGGAGGAGTGTGCCACACTCAACTGAGTAACGACGACATCGCTCGGTACAGCCGGCAACTGATACTCCCCGATTTCGGTGTCCAAGGCCAGTTGAGGCTAAAGAACAGTTCCGTTCTTATCGTAGGCATGGGAGGATTGGGGTGTCCGGCAGCACAGTACCTTGCTGCAGCTGGCTGCGGAAAGCTGGGTCTTATCGATTACGACGAGGTAGAGCGGAGCAACTTCCACAGACAAATCCTACACTCGGAAGCGCGATGCGGCATGTCCAAGGCCGAATCCGCAAGGATTGCCCTTCTGGAACTAAATCGGCATTGCGAGATTCGCTGCCACACGAGGCTATTGAACAGTCGGAATGCCATGCACATCATTCGCACCTATGATGTGGTTTTGGATTGCAGCGACAACGTGGCTACGCGGTATCTGCTAAACGACGCCTGTGTGATGCTAAGGAAACCTCTAGTGTCCGGGAGTGCCTTGAAAACGGATGGGCAGCTGACCGTCTATTGCTATGGAAATGGACCCTGCTATAGGTGCATCTACCCAGTGCCGCCCCCTCCAGAGGCAGTGACCAACTGCGGTGATGGGGGAGTTCTGGGTGCTGTTACCGGAACTATCGGGGCCATGCAAGCTTTGGAGGCCATTAAGGTGATTGTCGGTCTTGGCGACGTACTGGCTGGTCGCCTTCTCATCTTCGATGGCAGCAGCTGTCTGTTCCGTAACATTCGAATTCGGTCTAAGCGGCCTAATTGCCATGTCTGTTCCGCTCAGCCACTGATCACGGAACTTATCGACTATGAACTTTTCTGCGGGATGCATGCAACAGACAAGGATAATCCACTGCAACTGCTAGCTGCGGAAGAGCGCCTGGATGTGGAGGAGTACCGGAACAAAGTACAGGAGCAACCTCACTTGTTGATTGATGTTCGACAGCCGGCAGAATTTGAGATTTGTCAGTTGCCCGATGCTGTGAATGTGCCACTAGCCGAAATCCTCGATGACAGCTATCTGAAACGCTTTCCCAAGCAACTAGAGAACACTCAGTTGCCCATAATATTGCTTTGCCGACGAGGCAATGACTCCCAGATTGCCGTGCAGCACGTACGCAATCGATTCCCAGTGCATTCCATTCGAGATATTATTGGTGGATTGCACGCTTGGACGCACAAGGTGGATCCCAGTTTTCCCATATACTGACCCCCGGAATAATATACAGTCGAATATTTAAGAATGTAGAATTATTCTTTTTTGATTTCCTAATTCATTTGTACAACGTTTCTCTCTTAATTTGTATATTCTTTACGTTTTTTTCGTATATTGTTATAATTGTATCTTGAATAATAAAGGAAATATTAAATACAAGAAAGGAAAGCTAACTTTGGGCGAAGCCGAAGTTGATATACCCTTGCAGTTAAAACCGGATATGTATCGCAAACATCGGATATAGTTGGCCGATCTTTATGAAATTAGGCATGTCGTATTATTTAGCCAAAAATAGCTCCCGTGTAAAATGTAAACTCTCTAACTCTTAAAAACACCAAAGTTATAGCTATACGATATATTCGGCCGATCCCGGCCGTTCCGACTTATATACTGCGTGCAATGGAAAGAAGGGTGTGTGCAAAGTTTCAAGACGTTAGCTTTAAAACTGAGAGACTAGTTTGCGTAGAAACAGACAAACGGACAGTCGGACATACTCATATCAAGTCAGGAGGTGATCCTGATCAAGAATATACATATATACTGTATAGGGTCGGATATGTCTCCTTCACTGCGTTGCACACTTTTGGACAAAATTATAATACCCTATGCAATGGTATAAAAATATTTTGTCTCAGGATATTAAAGCAGAATGGTGGATAATCGATCTAGAAATCTTTTAAGGTACTCCGCTTGAGATTCGGATGAGAATTGGGGGGAAGATATAGCCATCACTGCGGGCCCTATAGAGAAACACCACATTTTCAAGAGATCTTGAAAGGACCACGAAAAATGGACAAATATTCTAAAAAATATTTTGTCTCAGGATTTTGAGGCAGAAGAATGGTGAAGAATCGATTCAGAAATCGTGTAAGGTACTCCGCTTGAGAATCGGATGAGAATTGGGGAAGATATAGCCCTCATTGGGGGCCCTAAAACGATAAATGGACAAACAATCTAAAAAATATTTTGATTGAGGATTTTGATGCAGAATGGTGAAGAATCGGATGAGAATTGGGGAAGATATAGACATCACTATGCCATATATTGCCAAAAATAGCTCTCGTGTAAAATTTTAACTCTCTAACTTTAAAAACACCAAAGTTATACCATTTACGATCAATCAGTTATATGGAATCTATAGGATATACTCGGCCGATGCCGGCCTTTCCGACTTACATATGTATATACTGCGTGCAAAGGAAAGAAGGGTGTGTGCAAAGTTTCAAGTCCATAGCTTTAAAACTGAGAGATTAGTTTGCGTAGAAACAGACAGACGGACAGACGGACATGCTCATATCAACTCAGGAGGTAATCCTGATCAAGAATATACATATATACTGTATAGGGTCGGATATGTCTCCTTCACTGCGTTGCACACTTTTGGAAAAAATTAAAATCCCCTTTGCAAGGGTATAAAAAAAGGACTAGTGTTTTTGAACCAAAATTTAACAACTAAAATAAAATGAAAAACCCATTGAAATCCAAAGCAAGCATCGAGCCGCTCATAGTGCAGCATGCATGTGTTTTAGAAAAAAAAAATTTTTCAGGTAGATTGGCGGGCAGGTGTTAAATTTCAGCCGTCTGACACGACTTTGATTGCGAATGAATGTGAGACCCAAAGCAGTTCAAATTTTGTATCGATATCGAGAATACAAAATGTATACAATGTATATTTCAAGTCAGTGCAGCTCATTTGGCTATCGCATCCGAAGACAGAAATTTTAGGATTTTAATTCCTAATAAATATATATTTATAATTATATTTATTAAAAATTAACATTTATTAATATAAAAATATAATTTATATTTTAAATTCTTGAAAACGACATTAAAGAAAAAATCAAAACAAGACCAAAGTAAAATATGTTTTTTTATAGAATTTAAAGAATCGTATTTTTATTTATTTTGTATTATTATTATGAAATAATTACATATATGTATTTAACTTATTTTCCTCAAAAGATTACCCGATCTGTTCTTAGCCATTTTCATGTACTGTTAGCAACACTACGTTGCAATACTGCGCTGGAACTTCAAACGTTCCTATATAAGCAGTTCTAGCATCTCAAAACGACACTCACTCGATGCCGGCACGGCAGACATAGCAGTCTTTGGAAAAATAGCCCCTGTTCGCCTCGTTATTTTGTGTTAGAATATTTAAATTAAAAGTGCAAAGTAGCAGGCCGTAAAGAGATAAGGGCTACTGGAACTGGGTCAGGCGGTGAAAACAAGGAGATGTTTCTAAAAAGCGGGATGCTGGCCATTTGGCTAGTTCTCTTGCTGTGGGTTAGTACTACATATATCGGATCCCTATATATGGTTTTATATTTAAACCTTTGTGTCTCTAGTTGCCCCATGGACTGTCCATGGGTAATTCCTGCTCGGCCTCTGTGCTGGAAGCCCGACGCTTCTTCGAACTGGAGAACGAGCAGCTGAGAAGGCGGTATCACGAAGAGTTCCTCTCCGGGTACACCTACAACACCAATGTTACGGAGGAGAACCGTCAAGCCATGATTGAGGTCTATGCCCGTAATGCGGAATTGAACAAACGTCTGGCGAAGACGATTAAGGCCTCCGATTATGCCCAGTCGGAGGACGCAAACATTCGTCGACAAGCCGAGCACCTCTCTAAGCTGGGTGCCTCCGCTTTGAGTGCAGAGGATTACCTAGCGCTGCAGAACGCCATCAGTTCCATGCAGTCCAACTACGCCACAGTTAATGTGTGCTCCTACACGAACAAAAGCGACTGCTCGCTGGCCCTGGAGCCGGAAATCCAGGAGCGCCTGTCCCACAGCAGGGATCCTGCGGAGCTGGCCTGGTACTGGCGGGAGTGGTACGATAAGGCGGGCACTCCCATGCGGGAGCACTTTGCCGAGTACGTAAGACTAACGCGTAAGGCGGCGCAGTTGAATGGTAAGTGATGCCTCGATAACCCCTGTCTGACCTGTAAGGGGGAAGGTTTAAATACAGAAATAGCATTTTATATGTTTGGCTATCCTCAGCTATCAGTTCAAAAAAGTAGAGTGATTATTCCACTTTATTTTCTCCAGGGCTATCCAATAATGCCACTAAATCTTAAAACTATTAATACATTATTATCAGCTATACAATTATTTATAGTATTATTTAATAGACTTTTGCCCTAAGGTTATCGCTCATATTACTTTTTACGTAAAATTTCAAAAGTTCCATAATGAGGTTGTATATTTCTGATTTATAGGCTATCCCTCCTACGCCGACTATTGGGTGCAATTCTACGAGGACACCGACTTTGAACGGCAGCTTGATGCCGCTTTCAAGCAGTTGCTCCCCTTCTACAGACAAATCCATGGCTACGTGCGCTACCGCCTACGGCAGCACTATGGTCCGGACGTAGTCCCGGCTGAGGGCAACATACCGATGAGCCTGCTGGGCAACATGTGGGGGCAGTCGTGGAACGAGGTAATTGACTTGTTCACCCCATACCCGGAGAAGCCATTCGTGGACGTTAAGACCGAGATGGAGCGTCAGGGATACACGGTGCAGAAACTGTTTGAGCTTGGAGATCAGTTCTTCCAATCACTCGGCATGCGCCCCCTGCCTTCCAGCTTCTGGAACCTAAGCATGCTCACCCGCCCAACGGAACGTCAGGTGGTTTGCCACGCCTCTGCCTGGGACTTTTATCAGGACAGCGATGTAAGGATCAAGATGTGTACCGAGGTGGATAACCACTACTTCTACGTGGTGCACCACGAACTGGGTCACATCCAGTATTATCTGCAATACGAACAGCAGCCGGCTGTGTTCAGGGGAGCTCCCAATCCCGGATTCCATGAAGCTGTGGGCGATGTCATCGCTCTGTCGGTTATGTCTGCCAAGCATTTGAAAACCATAGGCCTGATAGAGAACGGCCGACTGGACGAAAAGAGTCGCATCAACCAACTCTTCAAGCAGGCGCTCTCGAAGATTGTATTCCTTCCCTTTGGCTATGCCGTTGATAAGTATCGGTATGCCGTGTTCCGCAACGAATTGGATGAGTCCCAATGGAACTGCGGCTTCTGGCAAATGCGATCGGAGTATGGAGGCATTGAGCCGCCTGTAGCCCGCACGGAAAAGGACTTTGATGCGACGGCCAAGTACCATGTGGATGCTGATGTCGAGTATCTGCGATACTTTGCCGCCCACATCTTCCAGTTCCAGTTCCACAAGGCTCTATGCCGCCTGGCCGGACAATATGCGCCGGACGACAGTCAACTCACGCTGGACAACTGCGACATCTTCGGCAGCAAGACGGCGGGTCGGGCACTGAGCCAGTTCCTCTCCAAGGGCAGCTCCCGCCACTGGAAGGAGGTGCTCCAGGAGTTCACTGGCGAGACTGAGATGGATCCTTCAGCTCTGCTGGAATACTTTGATCCACTTTACCAATGGCTGAAGAGGGAGAACAGCCGGTTGGGAGTTCCCCTAGGTTGGAGCCAAACAAATAGTGAGTGGAAGAATAATTTTTTTTAAATCCAAAAGCTAACCTTATACTTGTTCTTACAGAAATTCCTTCGGACTGCTGCGGTACTTTCAGCACTTAGCTGACAACTTGACTTACATTTTTTTTAAAAACTCCACAAGACACTATGTTTAGTCTTTCATCAAAAGCAATAAAATAAACATAAACTTTTATAAATTGTACAATTCAAAATGCGTAATTGATATTTAAATTGATATTTATTGTATCGATTCATTCGTATCGTTTCGTTCGTTTCATTAATCAATTTTCCATTACATAATACACTTTATAACGATATCATCCTCTTGCCATCGAAACAAAAAATTGTCAAAATTATTTTGTTTATAAGATTGTGATTTCATCCCAATTTTCGATTAAAGTGTTTCAGTTAAACAATCCCACACACAATGTTTTATAATTTTTGATCTGTGTATATCCTTTTATAATCCTGTATGTTCAATATAAACAGCAAAAGCTCTCAAAAGTTCATCTCAAATGGGTGTTTTTGATGATTTTAGTGTCTGATGCGAAACTTCGAATAGCTCAGATAAAGGATGGTAAAATTTAAAAGTATTTTTTTGATAAATGTCAATAGAATAAATTGATCTTGATCTGAACTCTTTTTTTTAAATTGAAACAAAAAAAGGTTTTATTTTGTAATTTAACCAAGTTATTCAAAGTTCTCACCGACTTCATTTTTGGGTCTTATGCTGCAGAATATGTATATTTGTGTTTGTCGATGTTTCAGTTAAATACTTGATTTCTGATTTTGATTTTGATTAGTAGTTGCAACTAGTAATTGGAAGTGTATTTTGGATAAAACAAAACTAGAGAATTGTGTGGAATTTGATCGTTTATCTTCATTCATTAGGTGTAAAAAATTTTAGTTAGGATTTCAAGGAATATCGAGTTTCAGGAAATAAAAGAGTGACACTAAGAACTAACAATAAATATTGGAAAATTTCAATTTTCGATTAGGTAATACATATATGTAAATCTTGTTTCATTTCACAATCTCCCGTTTGTTGCTGCGTGATATGGGAAATACTCGGTAGTATTTAGGGAGGCTCCTTCAATAAACCTTTTTTTTTAACTGTTATGGTAAAAATTGTATACGTATATTTAGTATATATATTTTTAGCAATGCCTTTCAAAACTGTAAAGCTATTCATTAAGTTTCCTTATAGTTGAAGAAACTTAAGAAACAGCATCACAGTTGTGCAGCGCATTGTACAAATGCTCGGGGGACTTGCTCCAATACTTGAGCTTTACATATATATGCCTAGATGCAGGAGTGTTTATGATAGGATTATTTGACTAACAGTAAGATCAGCTAGTTTTTGCTTTGAGATACAGATGCATTTCGTATTTCGTATATATAAATATTATTCTTTCCGTCGAATTCTCATCGGGGAAACTAAGACTTATCAGGGCTATAAAATCATATCAGTTATCCAAATACGTAGGCCAAGAGTTTAGTTTTGGTTAGTGCTAAGTGAGTTTGGAACAATTTGAATTAGTTTTTGTTGGATAGTATCATTGCATTCTAACAAATCATTTAAGAGTCAACGCAAATAATGGAACTAGATCTATGAACTTGATGCATTTCAGAGTTTCAAGCATTTTCAATTTATGTTTATACAAATGGAGTAATACATAGATGCATATAAGGATCTTATCCTTTACTACTTAGCGATTATTATTGAATACAAATTTCTTGCGTTAATTATTTAATATTATTTAAACATGAAAAATGCTTCGCGCTTACATTTAAATACATTTTTCATTGTTTTCCAAAAACTTGTATAAACATTTTTGTTTTCCTTATGTTTCGACACCAAGAACGAACGAAATGGAGGAGCATGGCAAGCTTCATGAAATGAGTGGTGGAGTGAGTGAGTTTTCTGCACTTGAATTTGAATTGACTCTTGAAGAAATGTCGTCTAATTGACCCTTTCCGAAGTATTGGCAGCGGCTGCTATTTTCCAATTTTCTGCTGACGTGAATCTTCTGTTCTTGAACTGGGCTTAGTCCAAGAACGGGTTTTGTCATACGGGGCGCGAGTGGTGGGCGTGTGAATGGGGATGTTGGTGTGGGTGAGACTGTGGCTGGGTGACACTGCTGATACTGTGGTTGCTGCTGCTCGTGCTGGCTCCGCCACCTCCGCTTCCTTTGGGCCGTGTGGGTGGCGGCGGGGGCGGTGCCTGTCTCATCCGCTGCTGCAGGATCCTCGGTAGCTGCGGATGCGCCTTGTGCTGGGCTGGTGGTGCGGGTGGTGGAGCTGGTCTCTGGTTGTAATGGCCAGTTTGCTGCTGCTGTTGTTGTTGCTGATGCTTGCCCATCGAGGAGGCAGCCGAAGAGGAGCCTGAGGTTCCAGAATTTGAGCTGGTCGAAGCATGAGAAGTGGTCGATCCCGTTGCTAGTTTCGTAGGTAGTCCTCCGCTAGCTGCCGGCGAAGCTATGGTTCTGGATCCAGCCGCTCCAGGTCCCGGGCCTCCAGGCGCTTCCATTAGCTTGGTTCCCGTTACTGGCGCATAGGATCCATCGTCCTCTTCGTCGGACGACAGCGAATTAGCATCCGATGGCGTGCGTGATCGCGACGGCGGCGACAGGGCATCCTGCTCTTGCAGAAACACCCGAAATCCCTGTATCGACTCATTCAGAGCCCAAAGCTGCGACAATAGCGACAGATCCAGTTGGCGCAGGCCATACATCTCGCGGCGCAGAATAGCCAGCTGGTTGTCGATGGTTGACGAGGTGGCACCTGTACTGCTTGAGCTGTTGGTGGGCGTGTGGCCTGCACCCGCACTATGAGTAGACGAGGCGCGACTGTGCACAGATTCGCGATCGCTGAGCGACTCCTGTGTGGATGAGAGGCTGCCATGCCGCTGGCTGTGGTTGTGTCCGTTGTAACTGCGATTCCTGGCCGCTGACGAGGTGGATGGGCCCAAGTAGAGTTCACCGGCGGCAGCGGTCAAGGCAGCCACGTTAGAAGCTGGCGATGCAGTGCGCGAATGCGAGGAAGCGGATACGGAAACAGCAACGGGAGCAGCTGCAGCTGCACTCAAACTTTTTGGCAGTGGGGGCAGACCCGTCAAATGCTGCTGGGCTTCAGTGTTTTCCATCATTCGATAAAGCTTACTTGGTTCGTCGTTCGGATATAGCTGCTGCTGCAACTGCTGATGATGATGATTTAATTACTTAGCTAGAATGTTTAGTGTATGTTGAACTTCCAGCTCTGGCGGCACATGGGACACTGTTTATTCAACGGTTGCAGGTTGAGCCACTTGACAATGCAATGCATGTGAAAGCAATGCGAGCAGACACCCCACACGAGTGGGCAGTCGTCACCGGGCAGCGCGCACTCCGGGCAGGTGCTCTCGAAGGACATGCGACAGATACCGCAGTTCTCGTCATTCGCTATCCAACGCCAAGTTGCAACTCCCGTCCATGACTTGATTGTTACTTTCATTTTGCGCACATTTGCTTATGCTGTGATGGTCGCTCTCCCCGCTATTCCAGTGCCTAGCATAGATTTTATCCTTTCCTCCTTTAAATTGGTGCGTATGGAATGGTTATGGCAGTTTTTTCGCAAAATATTGCTTTTTTCTTTAAGCTGCCCCTCTGAAAAATAGGTCGAGCGTAGTGGTGGCCAAGAGACTGAAGTATCGATAAGCAGTGCACCCTCTTGATGGAACTTCGTGATAAATGTGTGCCGATAGTTTTACCAATCGATAATCTTTGGGGTTTTATTTGATTATTTTTTGAAATTTTATTCAAAGTTTTGTTTTGAATGTTTTTGTTAGGCCAGATGTTAAAATATAGAGTTTTTTTCAAAGACATTTTAATTTCTTTGTGTTTTTAAGCAGAAAGTAGTTATTAATAAGAAATTAAAGATATATTTTTAATTTTAAGACATAATTATAAGCTATACAAATTTTGTAACCTTTATTCTTGTAATGCTGTTTTTTTAAATAAAATAACTTAAATTCCTAAACAATTCTTCTAATTTAAAACAGTTTCAAATAAAACATCTTAACTTTGCTTAAGAATAAACAAAAATAGAGGCCAGGTAAAAACCAAGTTCATTATCATGGCCACATCCTCATGGCCCGCTCCGACCACGAGGGCCATCAATTTTGATTTTCGACAAAACACCATCATCGGCAGGTCGGAGCCCAGGTCAGATCATTTAATCAGCCGTCTTAACTTCCGAAACCGAAAGCATAAGCTCATGCTCCACCGGATCCGATTGGATGGGGCTTTCGGGCTGCTTTGATTGTGTGGCGGGGGCTGTTGGGGGTTTTGGAGTTGTTGGGTTGCCGTCGTCCCCCGTTCACTCGGGCCGAATTAGTCAGCCGACGATTTTTAAACCCGAAAGACGTGCGCGCATGCTGCCTCGACTGGCGAGCTTTATTTGTTTTGTTGTTGCGATCACGCCAAAAGTTTGTTGTGTGTTTTATTATTGTGACGCAGTTCAAGCCCCGATTCGCGAAGCTTGACTTAAAAAAGGACTGAATTTTTAAAACAAAAAAAATCGAAAAAAGTGCATACGAAAGGAGTTTATTGAAAGTTGTGCAATAACTTAAAGAAAAAACTCCAAGAGTGCATAAAAGGAGTAAAAAGCCGCTGGAAAAAAAGGTCAAACAAAAGTTGTGAAGTGAACGTCTTGTGAGAGTGGATAAAAAAAAACATCGTTTTTGTAAGAACCTGTAATTGAAAACGCACTTGAATACACCCATACACGCACGGTGCAAAATTTAATACAAAACAAAAACAACGACTACACTGTGCAACACGTTGTTGACCCTGAAGGCAGAGCCGCGTGATTCTCCAAGAACAACGTCAGGCGAAGGAACACCCCTCCCCCTCTGATGGCAATTATTTAACATAAAGAACTTATGCTGTAGTTTATTGCACTCTTGGCCGGCCCCTCTCCCCCATTATTCCATCCCATTTAAAACATGTGGTTGCTGTGATGGGAAAACTTAAAACCGTTTTGCTAGCTGCCTTGCAAGGAGATTCTGCCGCTTCTGGTGTTCCGGTTTTGGCCAGGCCCGGGATTTTCTCGAATTCTTCGAATCACGTTCCAATACAGACACTCGCCTCCCATAGCAGGCATCTTGGCAGTGCGAGCTTCGATTGCAAAATGCGAAATTTCATTTGGAAATTTGCGATTTATTTCACTTTGATTTGTCTTGCCTTGTCATGTGTCTCGTCCATCCATAAAATTCTGCTAATAAACAAACAAAACCGAAAGATGCGACTTTCATATGCCGACAATTTAACACTTTATCAGAGGTCCGAGATGAAACTAAATAAACAATTTACAATCAAATAAAGCTAGCCGAATGAATGAATCATTCATTTACAATTCCTGGAATATTTTTCAGAAGTTTCTTAAGGAATGGAATGTTGATATTGATAGATTGAACATATTTGTCAGCTAAGTCATGCTCAGAATAAAAAAAAACCACAATTATTTATTTTAAAGAGAATCCTCTATCAATATATAGTTCTGAATCATCATGAGGTCAGTATTCGGAGTCACCCAAAATGCCGCTAAAAAGTGATCTCTAATATGTACCGCTTATCAAGCCCTGCTACGCAATTTTGATTGATTACCAGATCCTGGCGATTAGTTGACATGTCGTTAACATTCTTCCTTTAGCCATATCTTATCTATTATCTGTTAACACACAACAAAATTGTCATATCATAGAAAGCCAAAAGCTCCAAATCAAATTTCGTCAGAGCCCTTTCCAAACTCAACAGTCTAGTTTCAAAATTTGTCTGGGACTTGCATTATCGAAAGTCCCCGGTGTCTGACAATCTGTTCCCTCCTACGTATCTTTAGTGCCAGTGCTATATAGCCATGAACAATCAAGTGATTACTGATAAAAATTGAAGCAAATAGGCTGATAAACAAAATACTTGCCAGAACACAGATTATGCCGTGATATGTTCCCATACATTTCAAAAAATATATATATATTGTGCACAGAATGTATTTTAAGGAAGCTTCTCAGCAAGAGACGTGTACTGAATGAATGATTCAAGTAAAAAATTACTTATGAGACACCTGTGAGTCACTTACCTGAGAAAAAAGCCAGAGAAATACAGACGCGGAACTGAAAAGATCACAATAAGAAAATTAAATCGGCTTAATTAAAATCGAAGATCGCCTACATAAATTGCATTCATTCATAAAATATGAAAACGTACTCACTGCCTTAATAAAGGGAACTTAATGTCATGGGAATCGGTTCTAGAGAACAGATCAGTGCAAAAACCTTTTCCGTTTAAGCTGGAAATACTTAAGGTCTCAAGGTGTTTTTTTCCTTTTCAATTACTTGGTAAACAATTTAGTGAACCTTTGTTATTAATTGTTGCCATTATCTCCGTGTTACCATGGGATTGGAGTTCCCAGCACGTAAACGGTAAATGTTGTGGAGCAACAAGGTGAGATTTTGGATTCATTGAGTATTGCAAAATGTTGAGAACTAGAGGTTCCTCAAAGCCAATCAAAGCATAAAGTAGTTTTCTTAAAGTCTTTTTCAGTAAAAGTTACAATTTTGTCTTTTAAAAGACCAGAGACCCCAGATCACAAAGAGCCGAACCACCAGACACGAATTGAAAATATTTGTTTGGTCCATTACGCTTCAGATGCTAATTAATAAGATCAACACAAAAGTCAGCGCGTGCTCTATAAAAATGAAAAGATATACACTTGTACATATATGAAATCGTTCGAGAATAAATCTGCTGTGGCAAACAGTTTTGGGGGGCGATCGACACGGGGGATCTGATGAGAGATGAAAGGGGGTGTTGTGGCAAGAGAAACTCGCTTGCCTGGCAAGTCCAACTCGATCGAAATACAAGTCACTCGCCGATGCCTGATGCCTGTCAAAGCCTAAAAGCTGAAACGAGGCCAATGCACGCCACTTGTCGTCTGGGGTTTTTAGTTTACCATGAACCGAGCGAGCCATTATATTATATCCAAGCTCTGAGCCTGGCTGCGGTTAATGACACCTGCCAGCGATCCGTCGAGAACGACCTGAAAATTCTGGCCAGTTGCATGGACAGACACTCAGTTACCAGATGCGTGTGAATGAATGATTTCGTGTGCCGGTTTGATGTAATTTACACTTTACACCTCAAATCAAACATCAACATACAAAAACCATATTTGGAATCACAGATTGATAATCAAATTAAGATGTAATTTCTTGAACTCGATACTCGTAGAAGTACATGATGGTGTAACGACAATACTTGTATAGATTCTTTATTATCAACATACTAGTTTACTACAGGCATACTAGCATACTACAGGACTTATAGAATGAAGTTTTCCTTTTTAAATACTTTCCAAATTTAATTTTTGTCGGATGAGAGAAGTATCTGGTATCATACAGCGGGGAAACTGGTCTGCAATCGTATTAAAGTCTTGAATTTTGGAACTAAAATGATCTACAAGCCAGTTTGTTGATATGTCGAAGTCGCATAGTGGAGATCTTAGGCGACAGATCAATAAACTTTTATAGATCAATAGACTCCCATAATACCCACTCAGACTTCAACCAAACTTTTCAAACAACTATCTTATTGCCAGGGTTTTAAGGCAGAGGCGTACAGGATATCATACAGACAAAAAACTGGAATATATGCGCAATTTTTAATAAAAATTTCAATTTTTTCAACTAAAATGATACACTTTCTACGAGCCAATCTCAAGACTAGGGCAGCTTGTTTTATTTATTAAACATAAAGTTGTATCTACGTCAGTATCTCAAACAATGCAAAGCTCAATTCAATGAAGTGGGAACTTCATTTGAATTTCTACTTAGCGAGCTAGCGATAAAGTGAATAATGAATATTATAATAGATCATGTAGATACAATACACGTTTCTCCTGTGCAGTGCAAAAACAGAAAAAACGTACATTCGCTTAACATTTCGGTGATTTTCCAGTGAGGGGTTCTAGATAATGTTCACTTTGCTGCTTATTATATTATATGTGTATAGTATAAATATACATCAGTACATTTTTTAATGCCAGAAAACTCGTTTGGAAGTCGTAAAATGTTTTATACGTATGTATAATGCGAGGGTTCAAATGGGTTTCAGATGGGTAGTGACAGGCTCATAAAAAGTAAGCGAATTAGATCTAAAAGATAATATATTATAATATACTATAAGATAATAAATATAAGAAAATTGTCAGGGAATTTGAAAAACTAATTTTCCGAAGTTATTATAACAGAAGTTCATTTCCTAAGTCTTATTTTTTCTGATATTTATAATTTTTGTTTTTGCCTTTAAAGCTAATTCAAAAATAAAATGTAGTGGGTTATTTTTATTATATCCAGTTTCCAGTTTCGTTTTTATTTGGTTTTTATAAAAGAATTCCCTGCATTGCATGCATCGCTTGAGTGACTCGTAAAATTATACATATTGTAATCCGATTGTTATTGTTCGCGAATTCGGTTTTGTATTTGTTTTGCACTTTATGCGGAAGTTATTCGCCCGAAAATTGTACCTGTGGCATGCGATTTAATTTGACAATTCAGCGGTCCAAGCCGATTGTTGTCAGTTCAAAGGTTGGCGGTACAGTGAAACGGCAAAAACCAACAACCCACAAAAGCTCTCAAAGATTTAGCACGTTTTTTATGGCAATCTTTTCACAGACCATTAAAGTAACCTAAATTAATTAATTTTTGCTGAGATCGGTTTAATGTTGTTTCCAAAGTAAAAGAGGTGTGATGTGTGCTTATTCGAACTTGCTGTGTAGGTCTTATTATATTTTTATCCACTAAGTTTCAGACAAAGTAGCTTGACTTGTTTCAAGGTAATTGAAATTTATGTCAAGTTGGTTTTTAATTGCAAATTAGATTTTCTAGCCGCTTAATAAATAAATCCAAAGAGAAACTTAATTATGAATCAGGGGAATAATAAGTTAGCTATGAGAATAGTATTGTTTATTATTTATGGGAATTTGTTCCTTAACCAACAACTTTCCAAACTCCCCTCGCTTTTAGTTGTATAACACGATTCAGGTTGAAATGAGCTTCACGCACAAAACGTGTAAACATCAACAAATTGCATTACACGGCTAACAGTAACAGTATCAACGACAGAAAGGCAGCAAACGAAGTACATGCTATTCATTTCATTGCAACTGATTGACATTCAATTACCGTGGGCCCTACTCCCCATAGCCCCCCACTCGCCACTCGCCACTCCACGCTATCTTACGGGCTTTAATGAGTGTTGAACGCTTTTCAATTCAACTGTCGCCGAAAGCTATGAATGCTATACGTTTACGGCTTTATCAAAAGACAATCAATTGATCGATTGTCGTAGCTAGTCCTCACATGATTCGCTATGGTCTTTGAACTCTTGCAAAGGTTTCTCAACTGAGTAGTTGGGGGTTACACCGTCCAAATATTTGGTTAGCCAACTCTTCGTTGGATCTTCACACCTCCAAACCGTATAACAAATAACACAAGGAATTAACTTATCTGCACTTAGAGATTAAGTTCCACGAATGAACTTGATAGATAAAAGAAAGAATTGGTCAAAAAATATATATGTATAATATGGCCATTTCAATCGTTTTAAAGAATTCTTAGAAAATTGCAAGAAAATAAATTTATGGTTTTAACTATGAACAGTATTTGAATTGACTTAGTTGGTAAGGTTCAGTTTATTGAACTTTTTCAAGTTTTTTCCATTATCAACTCATTGAAAATCAATTAGCAATCAGTCGATAAGACTTTACATGGCGATAAGATTATGCATGATAAGATTTATGCATGATTTATATGATTTTATGAATAAGCTCCTGGATTCGCTAGGAAAGATCAATATCAGCAGCAGCCTAAAAGTATGCCTACTCTGGGGAACCCTCAACGAATCTTTCTGCCCCACCACCCAGCCCCTACACCAACACTCACCTGGGCAGGGAATGTGGCCTCAATTTGCAGAAGCGCTTATCGTTCAAAGCGTTAAGTAAACTCAGTCGGACAAACACTGGTACATGTGTAGTAAGGTTATCGGAGTATCTGTGTGAGCGTCGTGCTGTGTGCATGGTGCAAGTTTAAAAAGTTTCAATTACTCCAACAACACATTCTCGGTAAGGCTTGAGCAGGTGTCACAATACAGCAGCAGGATACAGTGGGCATAAAGTTGGCGTTTGTTAAAAAAAAAACAATTAAGCTTTACCTTAAAAGCTCGCATCCTTAAGCTAACATTTTTGAGAATTGTATTTTATGAATAAGCAGAAATTTTGTCATTTACACATTAATAAAATTCTGAATCAAATACGCTACTGATAGCAGACAGTCATAAATTAAGAGCATTCCAAAATTTTTGGCAATTTTAATCTGATAACTCTGGTGGAAACTCGTCTTACGACTTGACCCACAGTGCCCAAAAGAGAGAGAGAGAGTAGGTGAGAATCGGAGAGAGTGCCGAAAACAGACTCGAAAGCTTGCTCTTGCGGTAATCTATCATGCGCGATCGATCAAACGTGCACTCTCTCGGCCTGCTCCTCTCCCCACCCATAGGGGCTTGGTGGAGAGGTTCATTAATTCGTGAATAAAGCAGGAGAGTGCTGGGGCTCCTCCTGTGGTCGGTAGCTCGCAAAGCAACTTGCTTTTATCACACACGCGCGCACCCATACGGGTGCTCACTACACTGAGAGAAACTATAAAATATTATACATTTATATCTTTGAAGGACAATATTTAAAGTCTTTTATAATTTTATTTGTCAACAGAAAAATAATTTAAGATAGTTGGAAAATAATTCGTATAACACTAAGCTTACAATTAGTGCTTTGTTTTTCTCTGAGTGTACCAATTGAGGGGGAGAGAGCGCCGCCGATTCGAGTGCCTAGCCATCAGAGCGGGAGATACGATTTGTGGGCCACATTCGCCGATAAAACGTCAACCTGTCTCCACGTCAACCTGTTGCTCTCCGTGGAGGCAACAACAACAGCAGTAGCGTTCACGAATTTCTGGAACGAGTCACACGCACGTTCCCCAAATAAAACCCGAACGTATCATTTTCCTTAACAGAAAAAAATAAATTAATCAAAGCCTTGTTACAACACACCCGATTCTCGATTCTCTCCTGTGGCGGAGAAAGACGAGACTCTTGACAAAAATATAATATTTTTTAAAGACAGACCCGTCGGAAAGAAAGGGAAAACAACAACAAAAATGTGCCGCTGCTGTCAAAAGTGAGTAAACTTTTTTTTCCTCTCGTAGTTGTTGGTTTAACTATTTTCCAGGTCTGCTGCCTGGTGTTGGCCAGCAAATTACTTGGCTAACATTCCGAATTGCGTTTTTCATTTCTTCACCTTTTCTTCTCCCGCTCCTTATTAACCATTGAACTTTTTAGCTGTTGGGAAGATTTCTACTGGAATTGCTTCGAGGAGCGTTTTTGCTACGATGAATCGATCGGTAAGTTTTGTTCGCTGATTTAATTGGGCGGTTGACGGTTACCTGAGCGAGTACACTCAGGTACCCGCAAAACATACATACACTGGTATACGGTACGATCACTGACACACACTTGAAGTAGATCTTGAAACGCACAATACGCTGCGACTTTGTGCGATTTTACGTGTTTGGCATTTCAAATGGAGTAACCACAAAAAAGTACATAAAAAACAAGCATAACAAAAAGAGGAATAAATAATTTTTTTGAATTTTTATTTGAATATTGAGTAGCTTTATGAATGTAGGGGAGTATGCTGAACGTCTGGTCTGGTAGCCATCCATGCAGTTTTTTCATATTTTTTGTTTTTGAACTTGGAATTTTAAATTAAAAATTTAGATAAATCATACAAAAGCTTATTATTATTTAATTTTGCTATATTTTTCATAAATAGACTCCTTTTATTAAGGCTCCTATAAGAAAATTAAGGAAATATGTAGATCTATCTAATGATATCTGATGATATGAGCCATATTAATACGAATATGAATAATATGAAATATAAGATATTAATAAACTTAATATTTATTCTCTATTTTCTATATCAGCTAACTATAATCCCGAGGACGACGAGGACTACTTGGCAGCCCAAAAGAATGGACACATCATCGGACGCATACAGCCAGCCTCGTCGGACAACAATAATTCACTGACAGTGCCACAACCGATTTGCGATCAGCCCCAAATGCGGCACGGAAACTCCGGCCTGGGCCTGAGCTTAATGAGGTACTAATTGATAGATCAAACTGCGATCCGATCCGACGAGCCAAACGAGCCAAAATCGCAGTTCGCACTTTGTTAGGCAGTCGATCGATTAGCGATTAATTGGCAATATCGTGATGGCTGCAAGTTGGCAATACCTATTCACGTCCATATCCTCCTCTCTTTTTCGTTTGTGGTCCGTTTAGCGCCAAGATCCATGAGGAGGACTATCGTCGGGAGACACAGATCAACGTGCCCACCCTGGGGCCGGAGATATTGGCCGTGTTCGCCAATTCGCAGATCTTCCAGGACCATCAGCCCACCAAGCTCAACCGGATTAGCACTAAGACATACCTGGCCGGGGTCCATTCGCCGAACCGCGAGATGCCGACAACTCCGCGTCTCAGCGACCAGGAGAGGTTGCTGCGCCGTCTGGAAGGTAATGATGGCCCTAGTGGTGCCCACACCCCCCTTCTGGGTGGGATGGGTAACGGTAAAAGCAGCGGCAAGAGCACCCGCAGCAGCAGCATCGTAAGCAGCGGTGTGCCCAAGGTCAAGTTCTATCTGAGCTGAGTGATTCGACATCACTCGAATCAATGTTGAAGAAATAGAAGGGGTACTTACAGTATTTGTGCCAAAGATTGAAAAACTTTCGCATATACATACATGCAAATATTTTATTTAGAATGAGAGTGACCAATATCGCCAAAATGTGACTTAATATTATTAACTAATTAGCTGTAAGTGTTGTCAACAGCAGAAAGACTTGCAAACACAACTATACACATTCGATAAAGAGTAAGCACTGCAATGATTGCAGTGCCTAGTATTATCTAGATATTTAAGACCCATACTTTAGTTAACTTTAAAATATTATATTTAAGTCTTAATTGTTGGACCTTGTAAATGTTTAGTCCCAAATAAGAACTGGTAAACCCGTTTGAGTTTTCATAAAGTTTTCTTAAAAACATTTTATGATGTAAGCATTTTGATGGGAGGTGTAGTTTCAAACGATATGCCATATAAAAATTATATACCACATGCATATTATCAGATTTTACTGTACATTGTATTCATTAAAGCCCATAAATAATAATATTAATCCGCACTTAGTTTCTGTTTGGAATTCTAAAGTCTAAATGCCTTACAAAAGTAATTTCTACCATCTTAATGAGTCTGTGACTCATTTTTAAAGTGAGTTAGCAAAGTGATCTGTGCACTTTAAACAATTGCTTTGCAAACATTACTTAACAGTTTTAACAAATTTCAGTCACTGATATCTATACAAATATTTAAAATTGTTTACAAAGATTTCACAAGCAATTAAAGTCACAAAAATTGTTAGGGAAAGGATATAAAAATAAAACAAAATTTATTATTCCTTCTCTGATATATAGAAATCATTTTGAAAAGAATAAAAACTAAAAAAAAATGTGCTAAATAAAACCATAATATTTGATCAACCAATTATGATAATTTCAGAATTGAAATTTTCCGTAATTTGGCCACATTTATGACTCATTTCGAACTCCACCATACGACTCTCCTCCATTAATCCATTAGTCTTTCGAAAAATTTCATTCATTTGAGCTTAAAACGAGGAAGAGTGGAAAATTAACAAACCTGGATCGGTGGCTAAATTTAATTAACAACATTATTTCGCACTGACGCACTCAGCGCCCCAAGGTACCGGTTCCATCTGGAGTTGAGAACCATTTGGCTTTAATTTATTTATTGGTTTAATGCATCAGGGAAGTAAAAAAACAGATCCAATTGCAGGTGATTTTACGGCCGGTGAGGCAGGGCGATGATTTATCATTATTTTCACAAATTAGGCAATCACTGTACCAGGTACACTCCCAGAGCCCACTCCCACTGCAGTCTGGGAACAAATCAGGTCCAATTAGTCAAACTTCGATTCCCCTTATCGGTGCTATAGAAAAATGTTAACAACGAAAAAAACACCAATCGAATATGAATATTTATAGAAACTTTTTGGCGCTACTATTCAGTTGGACTGAAATATATTCGTACTTTTTAGGAAATTATAGATAAGAAACAAAAACTCATGATTTTCTCAGTTTTTCTCAGTTGATAAAGGCAATATTTTCATAAGAATTGGTTTGTTTGTGTATAACTGATATCAGGGTTTGCTTGATTTATTATTTATTTGCTTTATTGACCATAATTTTGTAAGAAATTAGAGAAAATTGTAAGTGCATTCTTCGATGCCCAGCTGTTTGTAGAATACCTGGAAGTTTGTTTGGATTATCTCAAATTTACGCTATCACAATATCCAATATTTTCAAAGAAAAACAATAAACAATTATTAAGCCTTGTATCGTAAAAATTAAACAAAGCTTTCTAGGGCTTTTGTTTCCTGATCTACTTTTTAAATACGCTTGTTCATAATGATATCATAATGACTGTCATCACGTTTTGTTCTTTTTAATGATAATGACTTGTTTCATTCGCTAGCTTAGGACATCTGTACTGACTTTATGGCTGAACTGGTTGCTGGGTATGTTCCCCAATAGCGTCATATAGTTTCGTCAGTATCATTTTTATACAAAGGGTGACATTTATGGACGCTAACTAACGAAATAGCAACTGTTTCACGAGACGTGCCCACAATTTTTGCAATTAAGCAAGACTTATCAAAACTAAGGGAAAGCACTTTATTAATCTCAGAACAATACAATAGACTCACTAAAGCTAAAGCTTTTATATCGAAATGGGAAAAACTGATACTTCCAGCCGAGTCATTTAAAAATCACTTATTTAATAACGATTTCTACTTAGCCCGTAAAATTTTAAGAACTACAAAGTGCATTCTAATATTTATGGCTGTGAGTGTAAAATATTTAATAAAATGAATGACAATATTACGAGGGACTTAGTATGTACTTTTTTATAATAAAAGTGGAAACAAGAAGTACTACTATATGATTCCCGAATGTAGCATTCCCAGTACCCTCTTCTTCCAATCCTTCTTTTTATTAAGGAGTTTTAACTCTCAAAGTATAGTTTCTTCAAAGTACAGAAAAATCTTGAATGATATTAGAATTAAAAAGTGAATTTCTTCTCTAAAAATCGTCGGCTTTGAAGTTTAAACAAAATTGAACCACTTGGGTATTATAAGTCCTTATGCTAAATCGTTTTGCTCAGTCTCTGACATTCACACGTTCATATAGATTTTCATGACCGACTACATCGATTTGGCTGTTGATGCTGATCAAGAATATATATATAATTTATGCTTAATTCCTTTTCCCTTTTACATAAATGTAAAAAAACACTATGTAGTCTCGTACTCTCACAGTACCGGGAATTAAAATAAATTTATAAGATATATTAAGTCTATTATATAATTTCTTTCATATTGTTCCTCCTTTGATCGAATATGGCTAATATGTGAAGTCATAACATAATCTTTAAATTATATATGACTGCATCGGAATTTTTTACTGATAATGAACGACGTGCGGTTTTAATCGTTTTTGGTTAATATTTGTATACGAATATCTTTATAATGTACTGTGCCTTGATGGCAGGGTTATTTGAATCTATATCTGAAGATCTATAAATGAAAGCATTGTCATTCGAATCTATAATTGGAAAATGAGTAAAAACTAAAGTTTCAATATATATGAAACTTTTAAAATGCAATTCAGAGCCCCATATGTTCGCAAAATCATATCTATGGTAGTTGTTGGAAATTTTTTATATTTTATTAGAAGGTATACCATTTACTCACGTCATTTAATTTACTGAATAGTTAAATTTTGTTTCCAGAATACCTTTTATGAGGGGGTATAGTATCTTTCCACACTGTTCCTATCTGTCATGAACTCAGCGTTATCTTATTTGGCAACCTTTTATGGGATTTACTTGTCATCCGCTTGTTCATTTTTTATTCCGAAGTTCCATAACGTAATTGGAGTAGCATATAAATAAATATTCTTTGCAAAGTATATAATATGTACGCATATTATATCTTTATTGAGGAGCCTTTATGTCTATATAAGATTTCTCTAAAATATAGTCTAAGTTTTAATAAAATGTTACAATTTTTAAACATTTTAAGCTGGTTTCCCTTTTATTAAAAGATTTCCCCATTTTCTGTCTTGTAGGGGATGCCACAGATTCGAAACCAGGTTTGACGGAGAAGCGAATCACATTCACCCTGGCTTCCAACTCCGCCGAGTGCTCACCCTCTGGCAGCCAAACAACCCTCAGCCCGAAAAAGTTCGAGGCTATTGCCGAGGAGGAAAAGGAGGACGACAAGGCCGAGGAGGATGAGGAGGCCATGGAAGAGGTGGTACTACGTCCGCGACTCATTGATCGCCACCCGCATCTGCTGCCCAACCCCAGTGGCCTGAACACCACCCCGAAGCGCATCCTGCGAACCGCCAAGAGCGTTCCACACATGCACGTAAGGTCGGCGGCCAGCGAAACGGACATATTTTCGATCAGCGGAACTGTCGGAGGCAGCCAGATCAGCATGACGCCCGAGGTGCCCTCCATATCGTTCAGCAATCTGCCGAAGAACTACGAGGATACACCCACAATCGAAAAGTACCGAGTTTCCCAGAGCCTCTACTCCATCCAAACTGCAAACGCGGCACGGGCCACCCAAGATGACTACTCCATGCCGCGTTACTTCCGCCGATCCGCCATGCTCTTGACTCAGAGTTCGGAGGTTCTGCCTGGGGCCAGTTCCCTGGCGTCCATGTCGCCCTCGGTAGCCTCGTCATCCGCCTCGCCGGGATCCTCCAAGGACGAGATCCGTCGTCCTGAAAAGGAGAAGAGCAAGCGGCTCCAGATGTTGCGAGGAAACCTACCGCCCCTGCTCATCCATTCCGTGTCCTTTAAACGTAATCGCGATGAGGGCAAGCAAGTGGACTAATAAAAAAATACATGTACTTGTTACAATTACCCACTTTTAAATGTTTTATCCCGGTTAAGTGTTTTTTGTATTATTATTTTCTTAAAATATGCCCTTATCCGCCCCTCAGTATTGTATGTTCTTCATTTTATCTGCAAAATTGATATTAAACAATAAACACAATTTTACATTAAAAGAATTATTTAATTTCTATAAGTATTAAAAAATAATAATTAAAAAACAAAAAAATTAAACATCTCCCCGACGGGGAATTGAACCCCGGTCTCCCGCGTGACAGGCGGGGATACTAACCACTATACTATCGAGGATGTTGATGAGGGTCGGCCAAAGTCGCTACTTCAGTATCAACGTTCCATCAAAGATTATCAACTTTTTTCGTCGAGCTTGTGGGTGAGGGGGGAACGCACATGCATACGATTCTATTTTTAGAACTCTTTACATGTATCCGTCAACAAAAATGTGAACCTATGTGTGGATGTGTGACTGCTCGCACGACGGAGTAAAAATGTTTTGGCTTCCAAATTTCAATTTCAATTTCACGTTTCTATTAAAAATAATAAAATAAACGTAAAAATTAAAAGCGGTATAAGTAAAATTATTACAGCGGGTTCCACGACGGAAAAAATGAAAACATTTGAGAGCGGGTTCCATGACGCGGCCTGCCAAAATGCCGTAGAACCCGACCTTATAGACATTTTTACAGCGGGTTCAACTACGAACTGAGACGATGTTAAGGCGATTTTACAATTTTGTATTTTTTTTTATTGGATTATAAATTTAGGAAAACACATTAAAAGAATAAAAATATAATATAAATAGATTTAAAATTTAAAAAAATAGACTTCCCAAGCCTGGTTCGAACTTGTTTTACTTTGCACACCAGCCAAGCACTCTACCACTCGGCTATTCCTCATTCGTTGTCGCGCGAAAAATTTCTCAAACATAACTTGTCGCGCAATGAAACCCTCGTTCCAGCGGGTTCCACTGCTGGAACCCGCCATAGAAAATTTTCCTTTGTATGAGATGTCCCATCTATGTACTTTATAATCTTTGGTATAAATTAAGAACCAGTGAAGCCAGTGTTAAGAAAACATACTTTATACATCTTCTCTTTTTTAAGACAAAAAATATAAATAGTAAGAGAAAAAAACTACACAATTTTCTGTTTAAATTGGCCCTAACGTTTTGAATAATTTTACTTTTGGAGATAGAGATGACGAAACTTTTGATATATCGTTTATAGTTATATAAAGCTACATATTAAACAGTATTCTTATTCGGCACGTGCAAGAAAAACTAAAAAACACACACACGTACAGCGTACGAACATTTTTTAATAGTTTTAAAAAGCTATGTTAATTTCTTTCGTCACAAAAAGGATATCCAATATTTTGAGCGTGGCTTGTGGGTTCGTCACCGTTATTTTACCTCGTCAAGAGATTTTTTTTTATTTGATCAATTTAATAACATTACACTTTATTACATTACGCCTATAAAAAATCCTAAGTTCTTCGATATCTTTAATTTTGTAAGGGAAAAATATGCATAACTCTGCTAATACTTGCCAGATCCTAAAAAGTTTTACCTTCACGATCTTACATCTTCAAGAACTATGAATCATTATCAATCACTAGCTGGCTAAACAAATTTCTATAAATTACATACAATTTTTCCAAAAGTCATATTTATATTTTAAACTTTTTTGTGAAGATTGAAGGTAATTTAAACTGTGATTCATAAATGGTATGTTTTTGAATCAAAAAATTAACTGGTTTGAATCTATTGGAAAATAGTTAAAATATTCACTAAAACGTCTATCAAAACCTAACGTTTTGGTTTTACTCCTTTTTCAAATTGATATATGGCTAGAGTATTAGGATACAAAAATCCCCTAAAAATAATAATAATAATAAAAATATAATACCCTATTTAAGATTGTCAATTTGCTGATTCAGCACGAGTTGCTTAAAAACTTATCAAATATGAATGATAAGTAATTGCGATAATATTTGTTTATACTATAATAATATTTACATATATTATCATAAAATTATAATATGGATTATGTAATTGTTGTTATTTTTTTAAAATTTGTTACCTATATTTTTATGAATGGAATTTCTTATCAGTCGAATATTCTTAAACAAAAATTGTACTTTCTGATTGAATTACAAATAGATTACGCATAGATTAGCGATGATCACTGTGGACGGCAGTCCACGAGTGACGAACCTTTATTATGCGCGTAAAGACACTATATATAGCCAAAAAATTAGACAAATTTTTGTACCCTTTGATCTGAATATATGATTTGAACATATGATTAATTTGATCATTTTTGTTAAAACGTTTTCTAAAAGTATATCCGTTTAGGATCAATTTTGCATAAAATTAAATGTTTCACGAAGCCTCATGACGTTATTTTTTTGCAGTAATAGAACATATACCCTTTTCCTGTGCATTTCAATAATTTTAAAACATCGATGGATCATGGATGTTTTTTCTAACAACAGAAAAAGCAAAGGAAAGATACAAAAACAAGGAAGGAAAGCTAACTTTCTAAGCTAACTAAGCAAAAGTTTCGTCATTTGTGATTGTTCAGTTACAATGGCAGCTACATATAGTCGGCAGATCCTTATGAAAGTTTGTATGTCGTATTATTTGGTCAAAAATAGCATTCATGGAACCTATAGGATATGTACTAAAGAAAGAAGGGTGTGTGCAAAGTTTCAAGTCGATAGCTTTTAAACTGAGACAGACCGACATGCTCATATCACCAGGAGGTGATCCAGATCAAGAACATAAATTCTTTATAGCCCGGACATAGTCATAAACTAACCTAATAAAATACAGACATTTGAAGAGTAAGATATTCTGTATTGTGTAATTTTGTATACCCTATATCATATTTTTTCGTCACAAAAATTGATACCAGATATTTTAAAAATGGCATGAAGGTTTATCGCCAGCATTTTACCTTGTCAATATGTTTTTTTTATATAATATCAATAGTGTTTTGGAACTTTTGAAGAGACCTAGCAGGAATTGCTAATTAGGTCGAATATAGTACAAAATCGTGTTGGAACAATTTCTAACATCCTTAAAATCTTGATTTATTTAGAAAAAAAATGATTACAATTATCGACGTTTTTCTATAGTTACATGTTGTAGCTTTAAAAAAAAAATAGATTTTAAATTGTTTAACACAAAAAGGATACAATTTGTACATAAGAAACTGACATTTTAGAATTTTTGTCGTGTTTTTCCGACTTTGACGCCATTTTTTCGGTACAAATTACAGAAAATGGTATCATTTTTGACACACACCAATATTGTCTCATTAATCCTGAATAAAAAAAAGAACAATTTTATTACAAAGTTATAAAAATTGTTGAAGTTATAAAGCTTTTACTAAAAATTTAAAAATGTCAGTTTCTTGTGTACAATTTTTATCTATTTTGTTTAAATTAATTGAAGATCCATATTTTTTCAAAAATGTCGCACTTAAAAAAGAAAAAGTATGGAAAAAATGAAAAGGTATGCAACATAACAAAATACTTTTATTGAATCACATAGTAAAAACATATGTTGTAATTTTATTAGGTATTTTAAGCGAACCTTCTTAGTGCTATTTGTTCTTTCCGGCATTTAGGGCCGCCAGTTCCCACATCAATTTCAAATAGGCAATTGTGCCATATGTGAAGATGGTATAAAAGAGGAATCGTTCATTGGGAGCGAACAAGCCAAGAATCAGCAGCTGTGGTTTTAGCAAATGATGCATTGAGTCCTGGGTAATATGATCTGACCAGTCCTCGGTCCTCCAAGTAGAGAATGTTTTCTGCACCCAATTATGATTGGACCGAAATTCGTCATATATGGGCGTCACTTGGAAATCCACGATATGCGATGAGGAGTACATCGTTGCTAGCCTCCCGAGAGAAATTAGAAAAGAATGGACAGCCATTCCGCAGGCAACATTTAGAGCGAAAGATGTAGGCCCCTCAATTTTCATCGTTGCTAGAAAGTTTATATTAAAGTACGTCAAGAAAAGCAACTGGGTACCCAGGCATTCGAAAATCATTTTGATGATTTGTGAACACACTATATTCAGGGCTTGCATGTAGGCCAATCGCCGCTTCATCCGTCTTACCGCCCGGTGTTCCATGCGCAGGACCGCTAGCGGTAGTCTTTTTCCAATAGCCGTAATTTCTTCATTCACAAATTCGATGTATTTAAATATTAATACAATGGCAGAGCTCACGAGCATACAAGTTATGTTAATGATGTGCGGCACAATATTATGCGGCATAAACTGACCCGCGACAATAAAAAGAATGGGTTGCTGACTCGCCATTTGAGCAAGCAAGGAGAATTTAAGCATTAAACTCAAAGGTAGGGCAGTGTTAAGTTGGAAAGTTCGTTTGTAACGCAGATATAAATGCGAAGAAATCCTAAGAAAATCGTTAGTTAGCCTGATCCGTTTTTCAAATACCGAACGGGGTTGCACCAGCAAAAATACAATAAATCCCAACTGTATTCCGTTTATAGGCCACCTTCTAATCAGTATAAACGCCCAAAAGAGACCCACCATATTGGCAATGGTGACACTATAGTAGGTCAATTTCACAGTGTTTCGTGAAGGATCGAATTGGGTTCGCATCAAGCCGAGGTAATGAAAGAATACTCGATAGAAGCGCCATAGCAGGATTTCCAACTGTATAATAAGTAGGTTTGAGTAACTTATAGCGTGGTTAACCATGGTAAACTGAAAGTTCGGATCTGAGTTCAACATTCCAATGTTCTTGGTGCTATGGCGCTGTGGTAATTGGGCTATAATATTTTTTTATGGCTGTTCTATTAAAGAGAATGTCTCTAATTAAACGTACATAGTACTGCCGATATACATATATTAACAGTTTTCATCTTTGCGCTTTGTATTTACGCTGATGTCCCAAAATTATCTCTAGATGTAAATTTTCTTTCATTTCAAAGTATTCGGATTAAAGGAATCTACGTGTAAAAATGTACTCCACCCGTTCATACAAAAAGACGGATGCGGATAGCTACACTAGGCTGGTGATGATGACCAAGAATACATGTTTAATAGGGTCGGAGACTTGCCCGAAAATAAAAATCTAAGTTTAAGAAAAACTTGCATTTAAAACACTTTTAAAATAAGTCGTTTATATATATATATATGGTCGATCCTAAAATTACCGTCTTATACTAGCGAATGTATGGATAACAAGATGGAAGGAACAATAAATGGCAAATAAGATGTATGGGATGATATTTGAATGTGATATGCACAGATATTTGGACCGATGCTTCGCCTAGGGCGCCTTTATGCCGCCCACTGCAAGGGATGCAACTACACCTGATAGCGCTGTTTGTGTCAGGCTTTCCTGAACATGTCTCCGGAACCGTAGGAGATGCGTCGCTCCTTGGTGTTGTTCGTTACAAGCACCTCCTCGTCGAACTGCGACACCCGTTGCATTTTCGGACGCATAAGACCACGCACATCGCTTAGCGATATATCTATATCTTTGAAGGCATTGAGTAGGAAGACAGCGGTAATAACGATAAGAAAGCCACACACGTCTCCGAGGATGTCTTCAAACTTCATGTGGGTGAACTCCTTGAAAAGAATGGCGGATGCGACAATTACCAATGTGGTGAACATCACATAGTAAACAGGGGTCACTATGCTTGTGTTGAATATGTCCAGAGCCTTGTTGAGATAGTTCATTTGTATGGCTATGAATGTAACAGTTACAAGGATAAGGAACCAGGGCATCCAGGTCAAGAAAACGTTGCCTCCATTGTTAAGCGTCTGCCGGATTGCCAGCCCCAGGGCCTTGCAGGACATCACCGTTAGGGATCCGATTCCTGAGCACATAAATATGTATACCGCCACATTTGTGTGGCCGTGGCGAGGAGCGATGAAGAAGGCAACGAACACTGTTGAACCAACTATACAGATCACGTACAGAATGAAGACTGGATCCTGCAGCATGTCGAAAAGCAACTGCAGATCCTCGACCTCCTTTTCCTTGGGCGAGTGAATCACTATGATCGTAGATCCCAATATGCACAGAAAACATCCAATCTTGCCCAGCAGGTTCAACTTCTCGTTAAGGAATCTGGAGGACATCACGGCGGAGATGATCACACTCAGAGCACCCAAAGGGGTCACCAAGGAAGCCGGAGCGAAAGCATACGCCGCGAAATTGGCTGCCTCTCCCAATCCCACTGAAAAAACAAAAAAAAATCATGAACGATGAGTCAACTTGGTTAGTGCGATAAGAAAATATGTTTGTCTGTTAAGAAGGAAAATAAACTGTGTCGTTTAAAATAAATTGTCTGTGTCGTTGGAAAATAAACTGTTCTCACAAAGAATTTAGTTTTTAGTTTTAAATATTTAAGTTCCATGAACCAAATCAACAACATAATCTGCAAAATATAAAAAGTAAAGTTTACTCTTTAAGTTTTCAACTTACTTGTGAGAAGCCCAGCCCACCAGATCCACTCCCGTAGGTATCCAAAGCCACCGGCCGATGCCCGAACTTCCCCATATCTGCTTAGTCGTATAAGAGCCTTCTTCTTGATGATGAAGCTGGATCCTATGAAGAAGCAGGAGGAGATCGCCAGCCCAATACCAATGTAGAAGTCCGTGTTGGAGATGGCGGCTGCGATGGCAGCGGGCGTAGCTGCGGGAATTTGGCCGGCTTCTCCCACCGCCTGCGGAGAGGATGCCAAGGGCATCTGCAGTGATGAGGCTTCACTATTCATGTCTAATTCTTTCGGCTTCGTCTGTTTATCTCCTGCTTTTTGCAGCCCGTTTCGCGTGAGTCACAATAGTACTAGGGTTGTGGCATGTAGCAATATATCGATACTACTTGAAAAAAATGATATGTATTTTTTTCATGAAACATGAATCGATATTACCTAGATATCGATAAGAACAGTTTTGGTTTTGTATTTAAATATTTTGTTACATTTTTTGCAACTATGTATATTTTTTCATTTATTTTTACATTTTGGTACTATTTTCTTGTTTTTTTTTTTTAAGTCAACGCAAGAATATCTATTTTTTAAATAATAGATTACTACCTCAACCTTCCGAAGAAATTGGACATAACATATATTGAACATATTTAAAAATTTGTTGGGTACAATTAATACATTAATAAACTACAGGCAATAAGTCAATTAATCATGTACAATTTCAGTTTATATAGGTAATTTCCATTAACGATTCCCTCAGCAATATTTCGAATGAAGCTATTTATTTGAAAAAGGTTAGCAGCACCGCGGGACAACATAAAAACAAAACGTGCAACCGGTGAAAGAAATGCCGCCCAAATCAAATAGTAAGAAAAATCAGGCCAGTTGGTTTCACTGCGAAGTTTGCGGAGTTCACATTCCCTCCAAGGCGAGGGACAATCATGAGGAAGTATGCCCTAAACTTAGTCAGGACAAGATTGACCCAAATTCTACGGCCGAATTTGTGCGAAATGGGGTGATCTATACCACTAGCCTCCAGCAGAGAAACTTCGAAGTGGAGTCGCTAAAGGATCTCCCTCTTAAGTACACTAACATGTTAATCTTCATCTCCGAGGGAGCTATGCATCTGGCAAAGTTACATATCGGTCAGCACGTCGTTATTCAGGCTTTAGCTACGGAAGAGTCCCCATTGGTAAGGATCGTATGGCCTGTTTCGGAGCAATTCCTAACCACGATGTTTGTAAACGATGCGGGTAAGATTCATTGTTATTGTATTTAACCCAGTAATCACTTGAAACTTCTAGAATTTAAGTTCCATTGGACCTCACTACGAGGAAAACTCTTGAAGATATTCGCCCTGGACACGAGTAGACTCATAGCAGCTTCCAGCATTTCCCTTCGTCACATTAATAGCCAAGATTCGCCCTTGCGAGCAGATCAGCTCCAGGATGCCACACACCTAGTAAAACAGGACATTGTGAATCGTATCTTTTGCGTGGGAAATCGAATTAGTACAAACTTCTTCAACAAATCGCTGACTTTGGCTTTTGAGAATTGGCAAAGTTCTGTAGAGGAAACTTTGGCGAATCTTAGCCTGGAGTCCAACCGTCTCACATTTGTACAGGTCACTAATGCCACGAAACTTCAACTGGTATCAGGAGTTGAAGAGCATCCGCAGGAGAAGCAGACGAGCAGTGGTCGCATCACGAAGTCCCAAATAGGTGGCTTAGATAGACAGTTACAGCTGGTTGAGGAAAGCATGGAGTATGCATTGGGTTTTAGGAAATTACCGGCAGGTAAGTTATTGTTTAGTAAAATTCTTTTAAAAATACCAAAAACCTCTTGTTTAGGCCTTAAGGTTTCTCGTGGAATGCTGCTCTACGGGGCTACCGGTTGCGGAAAGTCCATGATCTTGGAGGCCATGACCTCGGTGGCCGAAGAACGCAGCCACGGACAGATCCAGCTGATACCCATCAATAGCTGCGAAGTATATAGCAAATTTCTCGGCGAAACGGAAAAAAGGCTGGGTGAAATTTTTGAATTGGCCTATAATCACTATCCCCATCCAACTCTCGTGCTGATTGAGGATATTCATAACCTGTGTCCCAAGCAAGAAGCCACCGATTTGGTCAAGCGCGTCTCGCTTTCCTTTCTCTCCCTTTTGGATCAGCTAAATAGTCCTCGGAATCTAAAGGGAAGTAAGACCTTTGTGTTGGCAACAAGCTCACAGATTGAAGCACTGCATCCGAGCATCCGAAGAGCTGGTCGATTGGACAGCGAACTGGAGTTAGGTGCCCCTAGTCCCACAGCAAGAAAGGAAATCATCAAGTGTCTTACGCTTTCAGTGGAAAACACATTGAGTGAAGACGATCTGCAGCATATGGCGTCCATAACTCACGGTTACGTGGGAGCGGATTTGGCGAATGTGGTTTACGCTGGAATGCTTAATGCCCACCCAAATCCCCTCCAGCTCCAGCACCTTAAGGCAGCTTTAACACGCATCAAACCCTCGGCCATGCGAGAGGTGCTCATTGAGTGTCCCAATGTTCAGTGGTCGGATATTGGTGGTCAGTCCGAGCTCCGTTTGGCTATGCAGCAGGCCATTGAGTGGCCGTTGCTCCACGCAGACAAGTTCCAGCGATTGGGCATCAAGCCACCCAGAGGAATCCTTATGTTCGGGCCCCCTGGCTGCTCGAAAACCATGATAGCCAAAGCTCTGGCCACCGAGAGTAAACTAAACTTCCTGTCAATCAAAGGGCCGGAGCTCTTTTCGATGTGGGTGGGTGAATCCGAGAGGGCGGTGCGTGAAGTGTTTCGGAAAGCTCGTCAGGTTGCACCAGCAATAGTTTTCTTTGATGAAATTGACGCTATAGGCGGTGAGAGAGCGGACGGTGATTCAGGCTCGGCCTCGGTGAAGGAACGCGTTCTCACGCAGCTGCTAACTGAAATGGATGGCGTTGAGGCCCTTCAGAACGTAACCATTGTGGCGGCCACCAACCGACCAGATATGATTGACAAGGCTCTACTCCGTCCAGGAAGAATCGATCGCATTCTCTACGTCGGACTGCCAAAGTCCGAAGCGCGCCGGGAAATTCTAAAGATCAAACTGCGAGCAATGCCTTTAGCCAATGGTGTGGATGTGGAGAAGTTGGTGGAACTAACGGACGGATATTCTGGGGCGGAGATTCAGGCCGTGTGCCATGAGGCAGCGTTGAGGGCTCTGGAGCAGAGCTTTGATGCGGAGCAGGTTCAATGGGCAGACTTTGAGCATGCCCTAAAGTCGGTGCAACCGAGGACCAGTCCAGAACTTTTGAAACTCTATGAAGCTTATCTGAAAAGGTAAATGGTTATTTATATCAACATTTTCCAAAGAAGTAATCTTTTACTTAAAAAAAAGTCATTTTTAAAAATAATTTTGTAATTATTTGATAGATTTTGTTACTCATGCACTTTCAAGCAAAAACGACTTGAAAAATTGTAAAAATCACGTTTCTTTTGATTCATAATCAAGTAAAGTGTGGCAATATTAAGATATATAGACTGCGCAGTTGGTTAGAACATCCCAGGCTATAATTTAGTGTCCAGAGATTAGGCTACAATGATAAGAAACCCCGTGCCAGTAATCGGGCAACAGCTTTGGGAATTTTCGTCAAAATTTAACTGCTCTCGAAAATAATCACGACATCAAATTTCGAATTGGAATTCGTTTATTTATCATGTGCCAGAACAATGTGTTCTCAAAAATGTGATGCGTCAGTTAATTGGCCTTATATTAATATGGGGCAACTGAAATTTCTCAACTTTTCAGTGGGGTCTTTATTTATAAAGGGGTTGCCTCTGATAACTTTTATTGTCTGGCAAATCAACAAGCGAGGCACAAAACTATACATTCATAAGTGGAGGCTGTTAAATATTTTAATTAATTTTTTTTACTCGAAAAATTACTCTCAAAGGTCTCAAATCTGAGAGCCGATATAGAATTCAATTTTAAGAAAATTGTTTTTTTCACGGTCCACTAAGGTCAAACAGTGTTGACAAAAATAAAATATTTATGTTGACAAAAAAATACATTTATTTTTCAAAAATAATAAACTCTTGCCGTTCTGGTAAATTATAAACTACTTTTAATTTATTTTATTATTTTAAGGAATTTTATATCTTTTAATATTTTTTCGAAATCTGGGATGAGAAATAAATGTGGAAACTTTATATCAGCGCATGTGATAAGAGCTTTTCGCAATTGTTGTGAATGATTGCTTTTGCCACACACTGTGAAAAAGAGCGAAAAAGCTGAAAAAGAGACCTCTGCTCCAAGTGGCTCTCGATCAGGGCGATCAGTTGCCGGTTGGCGTTCGCCGCGTGTTACGACACCTTTCAGCGGACGCAACACCTGTTGCCGGAGCGCTGCGAAGTACGATTCGTGTCCACTACAACTCATAACAGTCCCGGCGTCATGGATAACTGGCTCAAGATCTCGCTGCTGTTGTGCACGTTCGGCTTTCTACGGGAACTCCGGCCCTCGGAGCCGTACGTCACAGAATACCTTTCTGGGGATTTTCGCAACTTGACCAGCGAACAGGTCTATCAGGATGTTTACCCATTTGGCACCTACGCGGTGCTGGCCCAGCTGGTGATCGTGTTCCTCATTACGGATTTGGTGCGGTACAAGCCTGTGATCGTGCTTTCTGCACTGGCGGGCATCGTTCTGTTCTCCCTCCTCATCTGGTCGCGGACCTTGAGAATGCTGCAGGTGGCGCAGGTCTTCTTTGGGACATTTACCGCGGCCGAGGTGGCGTACTACACGTACATCTATGCCAAGGTGGACAAGAAGCGGTATCAGATCGCTACCGGGCACACCAGAGCGGCCATCTTGACTGGGAAGTTCTTAGGCGGGTTGTTGGCCCAGGTTCTGGTCTCCACCGACAGCATGGATTTCCGGGAGCTGCACTATATTTCTCTCGCGACTCAGGCCATCTCTTTGGGAGTATCTCTACTCCTCCCAAGCGTTCCCAGGAGTCTTTACTTTTATGCAACTGAAGATAAGGGTCTAGAACCCGGTGGAGAAGTGGAGCAGCCGAAATTCTCATTGGCCAATGCGGGACGTCTGTTGGGCTTCCACCTTGTCTCGTCCTACACCAATCCTATAGTGCTAGTCTGGAGCTTGTGGTGGTCTATGGCCACCTGTGGACAAATACAGGTGCTACTCATATTTGTCTTTTAATTTTCTTAAATACTTCTTATTTCGTAAGCTATTTTCAAAGAAATATTATATTAATAATTGTAATTTACAGGTAATTTCCTACATTCAGTTTCTGTGGAAAGAAGTTGCTCCAGATCATCAAAGTGTGTACAATGGAGGTGTCGAAGCCCTGGCTACTTTGCTCGGAGCCATTGGAGCCATATTGGCCGGCTTCCTAAAGTCCAACAATCACCGACGATCCTACATGCTGGGCATTTCCATTTGTGCCGCCACTTTGGGTGGCCTGCTCATCTTTGCCGCCAAAACCCAAGTTATATGGGTGGCGTACGTCAACTATGTCCTTTTTTGTGCCTTGTTCTTCTTCATCATCACCGTGGCCGGAGCTGTGGTGGCCGAGAATCTGGTTGACGACAGCTTTGGACTGATTTTCGGAATCAACACTTTAGTAGGCTTGTTGCTGCAAACGATTCTCACCGTGGTGGTAGTGGAACCAGTGGGATTCGGTCTGGAGCCGCGAGACCAATATGTGGTCTACGGCAGCTACTTTTTAGTGTTGGCTGGGATCTACGTGGTTGGGATAATAATGATGAAGTTGTGCCAAAAACCAATAAAAACCACAGCGGCTACATAAATATTTTCATTGAAATGTTGAGCTTAATTCCAATTAGAATAGATTGTTTTTTAGAAAATCCATGTCCTATGTTTAACTTAACTTTTGTAATATAGCTTTAGAGTTACTTTTAGTTTCTATTTCTTCTTTTGGATAATATTGTAAAATGTAACATATTTTCTGAGCGGGATCCCAAATGTTCTGATTAAAATGAAACCCAAACTCCGTACTACCTAAAAAGATAACATGATATTGTAAATCAGCAACTGATAATTTCTTCGATTAGAACAATACTGACTTAATTTAAGTCATAATTTCTATGAAACTGGTGCCAATATACCATTCTATAAATCGGAAATAATTTGCTACCTAATAGGAGAATCTTATATAGTACAGGTTGTAGTATAGAGCGAGAATTTGTTAAATTTGATATAACTAAGTTAATTATATTTGCAATTAAAATATGAAGATGAAGTTTGTAAAGAATTATTTACTAAGATGAAGATGAAGTAAAGAATATTTGTAGAATAGGCTACCCAAAAAATATATTTTTCGGGTGCTTCTCTGAAATAAAAAACCTAGTGGTTTATTCGTAAATAAGCCCAGGGTGCACACAATAGATCATTTTCTTAATATAAACTTAAGAAGTAAGATGAGGAAAGGAGTAAGCCTCCAAAATTGTGAAAAATAACCGATGAACTTATTTTCCTTCGTCTTTGGTGGAAAGCCTAAGTTTATTTTAAATTTAGTTTGAAGATGCGCCAACTCAAGATTAAAAGCCCTGAATAAGAAATCTTATTGCTCTTATGGCTCTAATCAAGATCATCGTTTTTGGGCGAGAAAAACTGACAAAACGAATACAGAAACTCAACTGAAGCGACAGTGTTTGACATTCTTTGCTGAAAAGTAATTCTTAGACTACATGTTCCAGTGAAAGTTTTCTCCCGAATTTCGCCCCTCAGAACCGTATGACAGAATTTTTGCCTGGGATTCTCGGAGTTGGACTATTGAACAGGTCTATCAGGAGGTGTTTCCATTTGGAACCAACTCAATCCTAACCCAATAGGTAATTATGTTCCTCACCACGGATTTGGTCAGATACAAGCCGGTGATTTTTCTATCGGGCATAGCTGCCCATTTGGTTTATAACTTTGATTACTCTATATTTGACTGGAATCGCGGGTTGCATCGCTGGAAGTATTCCTAGCCATACCCAGAGTTCATTGGAGTCTCAATATACATTCCATACGGAAAAGAATGCTGTATCTCGAGAGGAAGGGCAACCGAAAGCGCTCCCTAACCAATGTCTTGTCTGTTGTGGTCTCATCCTAAAAATTACCGTCGTAGTTCCCCCCCGTTTATTATGGGCACTGGCATCTTGTGGCCAGACTCAAGTTTGTCAATTTCCATTTTTTCGTTTTTTAACTCTTTTTATCCAAGTCATCTGGAAATAGGCTACTTAGGCTACTTTATTGGGAGTCATTGCAGCGTTTTCTAAAAAACTGGGTATCTCCATTTTCGCTTGGGTATTTTCTACAAGCTGGGTATCTCCTCCATTATCTCCGCATCGCCACCAAGCAATATGCAATATGGGTGGACTACATTAATAATGTTATCTTATGCGATGCTTTATGCTTCATGATCACCGTGGCCGAAGCTGGGGTAGCAGAAAACCTAGTAGAAGATAGTTATGGATTGATTTTTGGAATAAACACTATAGTGGCCCTGCTACTGCAGACCATTTCCTTTATTGGGAAGGGAAACATTCCTGATGTATTGCTACTACTTCCGTGTCCTTTCCCGTAGTGAAATGCGCAAAGAAATATTATCCAGAACCATACTGAAATACTGACATTTTATTTATTTTATTTTAAATCCGCAAGCTTAGCTGTAACTAAGTATAAGAACCCTAACACCTTTCAGCGCATGCTAAAAATTTGTACTATAAAAATTCACTGCAGAAGCAAATCCATCTCCTCGGCATTCGAAGACATCAAATCCCGCTCCAGGCTGGTTTTAGCCGTGGTGGCCTGGTTCAGAAACAAGTCAAAATCGTAGGCATCCTTTTGGGCTGCTATGGAGTCCTTTTGATTGCTGATCGTCTGCGGATTTGAAAGCAGGTCCACGTCGTATAGGCCGAGTTCCCGAAGCATGCTGTCGTTGTCGTTGTTGGTTTGGCCAGAGGAAGACTCAGTGGATTCCTTGATATCCACGTTTATGATGGCCGCCGGCTGCTCCACCGCCTCGTATCCACACTCAACCGAGGTGGAGCCAGTGGTACGTGGAATGTTGTTGGCTTCGAACTCATCGTCATCCAGCTCCTGCGGCTTTAGAGTGCTCGACTTGTATTGAAAGTCGGTCTCCTTGAAGTCCACCTCGATGGGAAAAAGAGGGGGCAGGGCGTCTAATCGCTCCACAAGGCTCCTGTGCAGCTCCGCCAAACTCTCGAGGAGGCTTCTCAGTTGCTTGTTCAAGTCCATGGCATGCTTGCACTCCAAAAGTTCCATCTTCTCCAGAACGTCCGTACGGAGCTTGGCAAACTTAGTCCTTGCATCTTGCCGGCATCGCAGAATCAGTCTATATTCGTAGTTTCCCGTCTCCACCCGATACAGAGGCTCTTGGAGCGCAGCAAACCCGTGTTCCTCGTCGTCCATTTCCTTAACTTTTAAGCAGTACGAAAGGTATGTGAATTTGGCATCTGCGTATCGTCGTACCGTGAGCTTGGTATCTGGAATGGCCTTGTTCAGATATGTTCCCAGATCGGCCAGCACAGGCTTAATCTGCTTAATGATCCCCAAGCCATCCTTCTCGAGGGTGCGGTGAAATTCTCCGAAGGTGCGGAATGCCTCCGATGCCCGTTGCTGCGGTTCGTGAACCGAAAATTTGGGTGAAGCAGTCACCGAACGATTTATAGGTCAGCAGGAGGTCGTAGTAGGCTTTCAGCATTCTTCGGGCGTGTTCCACCAAACCTTTGTACATCAGTTCAGTCCCCTCCAGTTCCTCGAGTCTCTTGACCAAAGAGTCATTGCACAATATGGCCCTGGATAGCCCCAATGTGTCCGCCGAGTTACTGGACATGCTGTCGACAATCCGATGCTTAAGCTTTTTCAGAATTATGTCTAGTGTCTTGCCCTGTTCCGGATCGGCGTGCAGTTTGTTGTAGTGAATTACCACTTCGTCAGTGGCCGTTTGAATCATCTTGGCCACCTCCACTTTGGTTTTGCCTTTCACGCTGACAGAATTCACGGCCAGCAGTTCGTCTCCAGATTGCAGGGATCCTTCGCGAGCAGCAGGGGTACCGTCAAAGATCTGGAGTTAAGAAAACATGTTTTATTAAATTTGAATAGTATTTTTAATATAACACCATTTTACTATATACGAGTACCTATTATATTTTTTTTTTTTTTTTTTATTATCAATCAATCAATAGTTATATTTAAAATCTGTCCGGAGATATGGACAATAATTAAATTTTATAATGGGACCTTAACTTAATGAAATATTGAGTAGTACAATGTTTGCTTATCCTAGGAAACTAATTTTAACAGTAAACCTTAGCGATAGAATTCAAGTTATTTCGCCCGAGTGGCAGAGGTCCAATGGGTGGGTCCGTTTCAGCCTCCTTGTGGTGTAGCTGTTGTCCAAAAGATTGATGGCCTCAGGGTTAGGATGTCGGTCCAGCCTTTCCACGTACCTATTGGCGAATCGCTGAACTTCTTCGCTCACATATGGGACTCTCAGTTGGGCGTGGATTATCGCATTGTCGTGGAACGGATGAGCTCCAGTTAAAGTTCTTAGGGCCTTGTTTTGGGCGATCTGGATGATCCTTCGGTTGCTTAGACACGCCGTCCCCCATAGCTGGATACCATAGGTCCAGACTGGCTTTACAATGGCCTTATATATAAGGAGCTTGACTCTTTGCTTCAGTCTGGACCTCCTTCCAATGAGCCAGTTGAGCTGACGTAGCTTGATCCGGATTTGCGTCCGTTTGCGCTGCAAGTGAGTTTTCCAGGTGAGCCTTCTATCCAGGGTCATACCCAGATATTTGGGTGTAGGGCTGGCTGGAATTGGGGTGCCTCCGAGACTGATTCCAGGACAGTCGCCTCTCCTCATTGTAAACGTCGTTTGGCCTGACTTCTCATGGTTGACGGCGATGTTCCACCTTCGAAGCCACGGGTCGAGGATGTCCAGCTGGCGTTGGAGTCTTGCAGAAGCCTCCTCTGGCAAGATTGAAGAGGCCAAAAATGCCGTGTCGTCGGCATAAGTAGCCACTAGAAGGCCCTCCTCTTCAGCGACAGGCATGTCGGCTGTGTACATGGTGTACAGGATGGGACCAAGTACACTGCCCTGCGGAACTCCAGCTTCAATGGGCCTGTACTCCGATGTCGCATTTCCGCTTCTGACCCTAAACTTCCTGTCGGTCAAGTACGAGTTAAGGAAATCGTAATACTGTTGTGGCAGGTTCCTCTTGAGCTTCGCTTTTAGACCAGGGTGCCAGACCCTGTCAAACGCCTGCTTGACATCCAGGAAAACAGCACAGCAGTAATGTTTTCTTTCGAGGCTGTCCAGGATTTTTGCCACGATCCTGTGGCATTGCTCGGGGGTGGAGTGGGAGCGCCTGAAACCAAACTGGTGATCTGGGATCAAACCAGCATCGTCCAGTACTGTCTGCAATCTGCGCAAAAATACTCTCTCAAGTATTTTGGAGATTACAGACAGTAAACTAATCGGCCTATATGAGGCGAGATTAGTTTCAGGCTTTCCAGGCTTAGGGATCAGGATGACCTCCGCCTGTTTCCAGCAAGTGGGGAAGTGTCCACTTTCTAGGCACGCATTATAGATCCTTGTGAGCCTCCTTATTCCTGAAGGTGGGAGAAGCTTGACCGCGAGTGCCTCTATCCCATCTGCACCCGGAGATTTTTTGGCGTTGAGGCCTGACACCTCCTCCTTGACCTCTTCCTCCGATACGGGCTCCATCTGGCTAAGGTTCGTGGGTGGTAGGGCCAGTACGAACTCCGTTTCTGCTCTGTCCTCTTCCGTGCACATGTTGAATGGCTTGAAGGCTGCTTCGAGGTGAGCAGCAAAAGCATCGGCCCTTTCCTGATCCGAACGACACCATCCACCGTCGGATTTTCGTATTTGGGCGACCCTTTGCTTGGGACGCTTTAAATGGCGGGTTAAGTTCCACAAATTATGTTGGGGGTCCCCAGGCTCGACCTGGCGCAGGTACTCTTCGAATGCGCAAGTCCGCAACCTCTGCAGCAACTTCTTGAGTTTTTTGGTTGCACGATTGAAAGCTGTTTTATCGCTGGGGTACCTGGTTTGGAACCAAATCCTTCTCCGTCGTCTCTTCTCATTGAGGAGTGCAGCCACTTCAGGAGACCACAGGTGTAAATGCCTTTGCAACTTCCTATTGTTGCATGGAGCCCTAGGAGTTGCAATTAAGGCAGCGTTGTGCATCTCTTGAGTGAGATTCTCAACAGCCTGATCGATACCAGCACCCGTGCTAAGGTCTGGCTGCGCGCTCTCTAGGGCGTTCTCCATCCACTCGGAGTAGCTCTCTATGCTGGTGCGAGGTCTGATCATCCTGAGTCGGGCGACTTTCTTCTCTACAGGGGTGTTAATGTGGAGTTCCACCGCACTGTGATCAGAGAAGAGATCTTTATTTGCCGAGCAGGCTATGGAGTCCGGATGGATTCCATGGGAGATGGCGAAGTCGAGAAGGTCCGGCAGTCGTTGGGGGTCTGTGGGCCAATACGTGGGCTCTCCAGTTGAATGGCAGTTATAGGCTCTGCGCTGTATGCATTTGAATAATGCAGTACCTTTGGGATTACTCACTCTCGAGCCCCACCAAGGATGCTTGGCGTTAAAGTCTCCTGCGACGATGAATTTGTCGCCCATATCACTCAGCAGGAGGTCGAACTGGCCTTCCGAGACTTTATGTTGTGGGGGTATATATGCAGACGCAATGGTGATTTTTCCCAAAGGAGTGGAGACGGAAATTCTGGCGCACTGGATCCAGTCTTCCTTGAGTATTGTTATGTCGTTGTAGTCAATGCTGGCCTTGACTATGATCGCCGCTCCTCCGTGTCCTCTTCCGCTAGGATGGTCTGCATGTATTACGTCATATCCGTGCAATTTCAGGAATGACTTATGGGTGAAATGGGTTTCTGCTATAAGCAGTATGTCGATGCATTGAGTGTGTATAAAATGTTCCACCTCAAGCCTGTTTTGGACAAGTCCGTTAGCGTTCCAAAGGGACCTAATAGGAGAGTCTTATATAGTACAGGTAGTATAGAGCGAGAATTTGTTAAATTTGATATAACTAAGATAATTATATTTGCAATTAAAATATGAAGATGAAGTTGGTAAAGAATTATTTACTAAGATAAAGATGAAGTAAAGAATATTTGTAGAATCGGTTACCCAAAAAATATATTTTTCGGAGACTTCTCTGAAATAAAGAACCTATTCGTAAACAAGCGCAGGGTGCACACAATAGATCATTTTCTTAATATAAACATAGGGAGTCAGATGAGGAAAGGAGTAAGCCTCGAAAAATTGTGAAAAATTACCGATGAACTTATTTTCTTTCGTCTTGGGTGCAAAGCTTAAGTTTATTGTAACTTTAGTTTCAAGATTCGCCAACTCAAGATTAATAGCCCTGAATAAGAAATCTTATTGCTCTTATGGCTCTAATCAAGATCATGGTTTTTGGGCGCGAAAAACTGACAAAACGAATACAGAAACTCAACTAAAGCGACTGTGTTTGGCATTCTTTTCTTAAAAGTTTTCCAATGAAAGTTTTCTCCCGAATTTCGCCCCTCAGAACCGTATGACAGAATTTTTGCCTGGGATTCTCGGAGTTGGACTATTGAACAAGTCTATCAGGAGGTGTTTCCATTTGGAACCAACTCAATCCTAACCCAATAGGTAATTATGTTCCTCACCACGGATTTGGTCAGATACAAGCCGGTGATTTTTCTATCGGGCATAGCTGCCCATTTGGTTTAGAACTTTGATTACTCTATATTTGACTGGAATCGCGGGTTGCATCGCTGGAAGTATTCCTAGCCATACCCAGAGTTCATTGGAGTCTCAATATACATTCCATACGGAAAAGAATGCTGTATCTCGAGAGGAAGGGCAACCGAAAGCGCTCCCTAACCAATGTCTTGTCTGTTGTGGTCTCATCCTAAAAATTACCGTCGTAGTTCCCCCCCGTTTATTATGGGCACTGGCATCTTGTGGCCAGACTCAAGTTTGTCAATTTCCATTTTTCCGTTTTTTAACTCTTTTTATCCAAGTCATCTGGAAATAGGCTACTTAGGCTACTTTATTGGGAGTCATTGCAGCGTTTTCTAAAAACTGGGTATCTCCATTTTCGCTTGGGTATTTTCTACAAGCTGGGTATCTCCTCCATTATCTCCGCATCGCCACCAAGCAATATGCAATATGGGTGGACTACATTAATAATGTTATCTTATGCGATGCTTTATGCTTCATGATCACCGTGGCCGAAGCTGGGGTAGCAGAAAACCTAGTAGAAGATAGTTATGGATTGATTTTTGGAATAAACACTATAGTGGCCCTGCTACTGCAGACCATTTCCTTTATTGGGAAGGGAAACATTCCTGATGTATTGCTACTACTTCCGTGTCCTTTCCCGTAGTGAAATGCGCAAAGAAATATTATCCAGAACCATACTGAAATACTGACATTTTATTTATTTTATTTTAAATCCGCAAGCTTAGCTGTAACTAAGTATAAGAACCCTAACACCTTTCAGCGCATGCTAAAAATTTGTACTATAAAAATTCACTGCAGAAGCAAATCCATCTCCTCTGCATTCGAAGACATCAAATCCCGCTCCAGGCTGGTTTTAGCCGTGGTGGCCTGGTTCAGAAACAAGTCAAAATCGTAGGCATCCTTTTGGGCTGCTATGGAGTCCTTTTGATTGCTGATCGTCTGCGGATTTGAAAGCAGGTCCACGTCGTATAGGCCGAGTTCCCGAAGCATGCTGTCGTTGTCGTTGTTGGTTTGGCCAGAGGAAGACTCAGTGGATTCCTTGATATCCACGTTTATGATGGCCGCCGGCTGCTCCACCGCCTCGTATCCACACTCAACCGAGGTGGAGCCAGTGGTACGTGGAATGTTGTTGGCTTCGAACTCATCGTCATCCAGCTCCTGCGGCTTTAGAGTGCTCGACTTGTATTGAAAGTCGGTCTCCTTGAAGTCCACCTCGATGGGAAAAAGAGGGGGCAGGGCGTCTAATCGCTCCACAAGGCTCCTGTGCAGCTCCGCCAAACTCTCGAGGAGGCTTCTCAGTTGCTTGTTCAAGTCCATGGCATGCTTGCACTCCAAAAGTTCCATCTTCTCCAGAACGTCCGTACGGAGCTTGGCAAACTTAGTCCTTGCATCTTGCCGGCATCGCAGAATCAGTCTATATTCGTAGTTTCCCGTCTCCACCCGATACAGAGGCTCTTGGAGCGCAGCAAACCCGTGTTCCTCGTCGTCCATTTCCTTAACTTTTAAGCAGTACGAAAGGTATGTGAATTTGGCATCTGCGTATCGTCGTACCGTGAGCTTGGTATCTGGAATGGCCTTGTTCAGATATGTTCCCAGATCGGCCAGCACAGGCTTAATCTGCTTAATGATCCCCAAGCCATCCTTCTCGAGGGTGCGGTGAAATTCTCCGAAGGTGCGGAATGCCTCCGATGCCCGTTGCTGCGGTTCGTGAACCGAAATTTGGGTGAAGCAGTCACCGAACGATTTATAGGTCAGCAGGAGGTCGTAGTAGGCTTTCAGCATTCTTCGGGCGTGTTCCACCAAACCTTTGTACATCAGTTCAGTCCCCTCCAGTTCCTCGAGTCTCTTGACCAAAGAGTCATTGCACAATATGGCCCTGGATAGCCCCAATGTGTCCGCCGTGTTACTGGACATGCTGTCGACAATCCGATGCTTAAGCTTTTTCAGAATTATGTCTAGTGTCTTGCCCTGTTCCGGATCGGCGTGCAGTTTGTTGTAGTGAATTACCACTTCGTCAGTGGCCGTTTGAATCATCTTGGCCACCTCCACTTTGGTTTTGCCTTTCACGCTGACAGAATTCACGGCCAGCAGTTCGTCTCCAGATTGCAGGGATCCTTCGCGAGCAGCAGGGGTACCGTCAAAGATCTGGAGTTAAGAAAACATGTTTTATTAAATTTGAATAGTATTTTTAATATAACACCATTTTACTATATACGAGTACCTATCATATTTACTAAATAAATCTATATTTTAATTTTTAAAGCAAAACTTTTGTATTTATCATTTTGTCCAGCAGCAACCTTTTGAAACACGATCAAAATTTGAGTGAAACAGTATTCCAAACTTAAAAATCAAAATTAGGCCGACGAAATTATGACCATCACCAGCTGGTATAAGTGGAATGGCATGAACTGCAGCAACGATATACAAAATATACGGCCCAAGGTGATACAGGGCTTCGATCGTTTGGATGGACGCCTTCGGGCGGTAATTCAGGAGCAGGATTTTGTGAAGGACTCAATGAAGCGAAAACAGGCCGGCCAGACCGCTAAACGCAAGAAGTCGAAGCGACCAAAAAGTCCTGGGAAGGCGCGAGCTCCGCGTGCCTTTAGCTTTCAGGAAATCTATGCCGAAAATCAACTGGAACTCCAGCGCCAAGAGATCAGGCGGCAGAGAAGTGGCTCTACAATTCAGAGTCGTCCAATCCCCGATTTTCAAAAGTTCCACAAGCGTTTAGAGAAGCGTCGGGCTTATTTAAGTTCTTTGCAGAAGGTAACAAAACTGCAGACTCCCCGAACTCTTAGTGCTTCCCTAGAAGCGCTCAAGAAGAGGAAAAAAAAGGTGAAGACCCAAGAGCAGAACAGCTTCATACCTCGGATTAATAAAAAATCTTTAAACTATTTGAGTCGCGCGCCGTTCGTGCCGCGGATCGAGTCAACCTTCATCCAACCTCAGCCCTTCAAGCTCCACTCTGAGGTGCGGGCAGAGCACCGTCGGAAGTTCGACGAGTGGAGACGTCTGCGGATGATGCAGAACTGGAAGCAGAAAGCCTACGACTGGTTCGACCGGGAGCGTCGGGAGTTTCTCAAGCTGCGTCGCCTGACAAATTTCAAGGCAAGCCCAAGCCCCTGGAAGAAAGTTTAAGTTGGCGAGTGGAATGAGTTGGACAGATATCCTTCAACTTATATCAGTTTAAATTCAAACAAAAAAAAACATAAGAATATATATATCGTATTTTAAAAACAAGAAAGAAAAGCTAACTTCGGGCGGAGCCGAAGTTGATATACCCTTGCAGTTAAAACCGGATATATATCGCAAACATCGGATATAGTTGGCCGATCCTTATGAAATTTGGTAGGTTGGATGAACTGACCAAAAATCTGTATATAGATTAGTTCAGATTAGTTAGATTATATATTAGATCGTTCAGTTATATGGCAGCTATAGCCTATAGTCGGCCGATCCTTATGAAATTTGGTAGGTTGGATCAATTGACCAAAAATAGAATATGTACTAAGTTTCAGCTTTCTATCTTCAAAAAGACGAAAGTTGGGTCATTTTCGATCGTTCAGTTATATAGCAGCTATAGGATATAGTCGGCCGATCCTTATGAAATTTGGTAGGTTGGATCAATTGACCAAAAATCTGTATATAGATTAGTTCAGATTAGTTAGATTATATATTAGATCGTTCAGTTATATGGCAGCTATAGGATATAGTCGGCCGATCCTTATGAAATTTGGTAGGTTGGATCAATTGACCAAAAATAGAATATGTACTAAGTTTCAGCTTTCTATCTTCAAAAAGACGAAAGTTGGGTCATTTTCGATCGTTCAGTTATATAGCAGCTATAGGATATAGTCGGCCGATCCTTATGAAATTTGGTAGGTTGGATCAATTGACCAAAAATAGAATATGTACTAAGTTTCAGCTTTCTATCTTCAAAAAGACGAAAGTTGGGTCATTTTCGATCGTTCAGTTATATAGCAGCTATAGGATATAGTCGGCCGATCCTTATGAAATTTGGCGTGTCGTAATATTTTGCCAAATATAGCTCTCGTGTCAAATTTTAACTCTCTAGCTCTAAAAACACCGAAGTTATACCATTTCCGATCAATCAGTTATATGGCAGCTATAGGATATAGTCGGCCGATCCGGGCCGTTCCGATTTATATACTGCGTGCAAAGGAAAGAAGGGTGTGTGCAAAGTTTCAAGACGATAGCTTTAAAACTGAGAGACTAGTTCGCGTAGAAACAGACAGACTCAATTTCATAAGGATCGGCTTTATGTTGATCCAGTTGATCCAACCTACCAAATTTCATTAGGATCGGCCGACTATATCCTATAGCTGCCATATAACTGAACGATCGGAAATTACCCAACTTTCGTGTTTTTGAAGATAGAAAGCTGTAACTTAGTACTGATTATATTTTTGGTCAGATAATCCTCAATTTCATAAGGATCGGCCAACTATAGCTGCCATATAACTGAACGATCGAAAATGTTTTTTGGTACAAATACCAACTTTGGTATTTTTGAAGATAGAAGTTTGGGACTTTTTTTTAGATTTTATATTATAATAAATTGGGTTATATTATTTTATTCTCATAAGGATCGGCCAACTATATCCGATGTTTGCGATATATATACGGTTTTTACTGCAAGGGTATATCAACTTCGGCTATCCCCCCGAAGTTAGCTTTCCTTTCTTGTTTTAAACTGTGTTTAAATTAAGTTAGTTTTAGTTTGAATATGTATGAGTTAAACAATGAACTCTTAAGGGGACCTTTTTCAGATTTTATAGGGCCATTTTTTTTACAAAGTTAAAAATTTAAATATATGTATGCAGATGGCCAAGTATATTTCGATAAGATACACCTTTCTTGTGTTACATCATCTGGAACATATCATACAAATTTAGCTTAGGTTTATTTCTTAAATATAAAATTCGATTTCTCGAAACTAGTTATTTTTTAACTCTTGTCTCCCATCTTAACTTCTTTAGATACCATTTACTTTAATCAAAAATAGATTAAAAGTAGATCCATTTTTTTGAAAAACCAAAAATGTTCATATATATTTTAAGTGCAACGGTCTAGAGCCATTAATGGCAGAGAAATAATTGCCTATGAATCATAATTATATATTTTGATAATATACCTTTATAAATCAGTTTAAGAAACTAGGACAGGGTCAAATAGGGGATAATCCGTAATTTTTATTTTAAAAAATATATGAATTTTAAAGCCAAATAAAATAAATGATTTCTTATTGACTTTTAATCTGCTTATGGACTTTTTATTCTGCCTAGAGGCTTGTTTTACTGGCTTGTTCCGAATTCCCAATATAAAAAGTATTATTTTTATACCCTTGCAGAGGGTATTATAATTTTGGTCAAAAGTGTGCAACGCAGTGAAGGAGACATCTCCGACCCTATAAAGTATATATATTCTTGATCAGGATCACCTCCTGATTTGATATGAGCATGTCCGTCTGTCCGTCTGTCTGTCCGTCTGTCTGTCTGTTTCTACGCGAATTAGTCTCTCAGTTTTAAAGCTATCGTCTTGAAACTTTGCACACACCCTTCTTTCCTTTGCACGCAGTATATAAGTCGGAACGGCCCGGATCGGCCGACTATATCCTATAGCTGCCATATAACTGATTGATCGGAAATGGTATAACTTCGGTGTTTTTAGAGTTAGACAGTTCTAATTAGACACAAGAGCTATTTTTGGCAAAATATTTCGACATGCCGAAATTTCATTAGGATCGGCCGACTATATCCTAAAGCTGCCATATAACTAAACGATCGGAAATGGTTTTTGGTAGAAATACCACTTGTTTTAAATTTTGTATTATAATAAATTGGGTTATATTATCATATTCTCATAAGGATCGGCCAACTATATCCGATGTTTGCGATATATATCCGGTTTTAACTGCAAGGGTATATCAACTTCGGCTCCGCCCGAAGTTAGCTTTCCTTTCTTGTTTATGTCAAAATTTGCAAAAAAGTTTCAATGCCATAATCATACTGAGCCCCGATTCCGCCTCCCTCAAAAGATAAGGAGAATGTCTAAATTGAATATTAAAGAACTTCTTCATTAATGCCTATTAGCTTCCGCGAAATCTGAGTCTTTTATTTGCAACTACGATACTACGATCTCTTGATTTAGGAATTATTAACAGTTCCCAAGAACCGAATTAGTGTTAAGTGTTCTTTGGTGTATTCACTTTTTGGGTATATATAAGACCGAAAATCGTACATTTCGAAAAGCGGATCTTCTCTCGTCAGGGAAGCACCAGTGAGCTCCTCGCCAGTGGATTAATCCTTCTTGATCAGTTATGGGAAAGGATCCTTCTGCCGTCGTTTTGGTAACGGCACTTGCATTTTGTGCCTTTTGTCCTTTCTTTGCTAGGTGCGATGAGACCGAACTTGATATCAAAAAAGGCATAGAAAGTTTGTCGAAAATCCTGGTTAAATATCAAGCCGAGTTCGACAGGAAGGTGAAGTTTGCGGAGCTGCAGGATGCCATCGATGAGATTGATAAAGCCATGCTGGGATACAAGGGCAAAGCCAAGGACAAGCTGCCTCAGATTCGCTCTTTTAACGCCCAAGCCCGTCTCAGCTACGAAAACTGTGTGGGCCCAGTCTTCGAGTGGTGCATTTCCTCCACCGGCGCCTTTGATATCTTCATCGATATAATTGGCGACAGCAACTTGTCGGATGTGGAGAGGAGTATAATCGGGAACCTGACCGTGTCTGCTGTGGAAATGGGACTCACAGAAACCGGAAAATCTTTGGAACTCCTCACCAATGTCCAACACAGAACTGCTGATCTCGAAAATGCGTTTCGAGATATTTCGCATGATGTGCACGACGATTTCGGTCCAGGGGGCTTCTATGGCCAAGAAAAGGCGGAACTGGAGGAGAGGATCAAAAACAAAGCGATGTTAGTGAAGACAAGAATTGCCTTATTCGCCTTGTTTGATGCGATCGGTGTCCTGGTTTTTGGACCGATTGGTCTTTCACTGGGTTTCCCCGCCGCCTTTGCCTCGTTTGGTATCACCGATTTGGTTAATTGGAAACAAAGGAAACCCTACCAGGAGCAAGTTGAGCTTATTGAGCATTTCTTCACGGACCTGACGCAAAAGATTGAGAATGCCACCGTAAAAGTGAAAGAAATGGAGAGTGACCTGAAGGAGGACAAAACCAATCTTCAGAAGCTCCAAAGAGTAAGTGCAGGCCCCAATAATGTACGTTTTTCCCCCAAAAACGCATACTTATTCTTTTCAAATCTGTAATTTTTATATTTTTCTTTATTTTAGAAAAAAGAGGTATTGTTGTCTGACATGGCTCTTCGGCGAGTCCAATTTATTCCTAACATCCAGAATTTAAAGGATAGCTGCGCCGAGTACGTGAAATGGCTTGGACATGATTCTCCCTTTTATCAGAAGATAAGTTCCAGAACTCGTCGTTCAGCCTCCACATTCTACGAAAGCGAACCATCGCCCGCTTAAATTGCAATTGTTAATTCTTAATCAACAATACGGTGAATAAAGGTCAAACAAGTTACTTTCTTAGTACCAAAAACTTTTACCTCTTATCCATAAGCTGTTTATACCACATTTTCTCTACTCTCTAGCCCTCTGCTCTCTAGCGTTCTGAGTTTAAGGAAGAGATAAGCTTGTTGAGATCAGGCAGATTGGTTCTATCCTCAAGCCAGCTTTCTCCCTTTGAAGATGAGATGCTGGTTTCCTTTGTCTTGGCGGACGCCATCCAATTATTCTTCCATCCCGTCACTTCGGCTATAGTGCCTGAATTTCATGAGAAGAACCTACACTCTCGGCCTTGGGCGCTAGGTCCGGAGATTCAAGGCCCAATACTGGCCTAGGTCCTAGGTCCCAATACTGGCCTATTGCGGGAGGAAGACCGTTCCAAGGATTTGGAACAAATGCATCTGCTTTTTTCGCATTTGTTGAATTTTTCAGCATTTTTTTTTAAATTGCTTTAAAATTAGTTTACTTTGTAACACAAATATTTGAATGCAGGTGCTAAGTTTCGGAATTGGGATTATTATCAAAAAAAAGATCAAAAGTTTGAGTTTTTGGCCATTTGTGTCACTCTGCTCTTGGCTTGGCCAACAGCCTCTGTGCAAGTCTCTATGAAATTAAGTGTTAGTATCTTCTAGTGGTTTATAAGACTCCATAAAGTATCTCTAATCTTGATCAGAATCATCTCCAGTGCCGATTAGGCCATGTCTTTCTGTATGTTTTACAGGTAAAAGATCAAGGAGAAAAACTTTAAGATTTTTGATTTCCTATTTTATTTTTCATACCCTTGCAGAGGGTATTATAATTTTGGTCAAAAGAGTGCAACGCAGTGAAGGAGACATCTCCGACCCTATTAAGTATATATATTCTTGATCAGGATCACCTCCTGAGTTGAAGATATAAAGCTGGAACTTGGTACAGATTATATTTTTTGTCAATTAATCCGACCTACCAAATTTCATCGATCGATCGGTCGACTATATCCTATAGCTTCCATATAACTGAACGATTGGAAATGGTTTTTGGTAGAACTTTGGTATTTTTGAAGATAGAAGTTTGGGACTTCATTTTGGAACAACTATATCCGATATTTGCGATATATATCTGGTTTTAACTGCAAGGGTATATCAACTTCGGCTCCGCCCGAAGTTAGCTTTCCTTTCTTGTTAATTATTATACCCTTGCAGAGAATTTTAATTTTGGTCAAAAGTGTGCAACGCAGTGAAGGAGACATCTCCGACCCTATAAAGTATATATCTATATTCTTGAAGATCACCTCCTGAGTTGATATAACTATGTCCGTCTGTCTGTTTCTACGGACTAGTCTCTCAGTATCGACTTGAATGACACTAATTTCATAAGGACCAACTATATCTTATAGCTGCCATATAACTGAACGATCGAAAATTACCCAACTTTTGTGTTTTTCAAGATAGAAAGTTAAAACTTCTCACTTTGCATATATTCAATACAATACAATGCAATATTCTGCAAGGGTATATCAAGTTAGCATTCCTTTCTTGTTTATAAGTAAGGTAGTTTTAAAATCGTATTAAAAATAAGATTTAATTAACTCACCTGGACAATGTATAAGCATGGACACATGGGTGCTCCTCCGCCAATGCTTATTCCTATTAGATTACTCTGATCCTTGGTAATGACCACTGAATTAGTGGTAACCGTCATTCCCCTGAATAAAGTTCAAAATTAATATTTCAAAAAACGTGTAAAAAAAATTGAAGCATGGGCTACGCGTGCTATATATGAATTGAGTATATGGTTTTGTATAGGTGAGTGTTTTAATATAATTTTTTCATAATTACTCACAACGATTTGTGCAGTGTTTAAATTAGCCATTTTACCAGTTCTAGAAGGTAATTTGACTGCTACTAATATACCTACAGCTCTTAGAGAATACTGTTGATCGGAACAGTTTGGGCCAAGAACACCTTTTAAGTTAAAGGCACTATCTAGCCTAGCTATTAATTAGGTTTTAGTATAAGAAGCTAAACAACTACACACAAAAAATCTAAGATTATCCTTTATTTTGAAAAGCAGTTAAAATATTAAAAAGAAAAATATTTAGACCTCTAGATTTTCGGTTATTGGTACAGAATACAATGCGGATATAGTGGTCTAAGATTTTTGAATAATTAATAATATAAATAAAATAAGTTGTAAACTGCAAAAAGATTTTAAAATAATATTAAAAATATTTTTAAATAGAAAAAATAAAATTTATTAAATCAAATGAAACTAATTTAATAAAAGTAAAACATCCTTTTTATTAAGTATTAAATAACAAAGTATTATACTAACTAAAAAAATAAAAATTAGAAAAAAAAAATGTATAAATGTAAGAACTTTTATTTTAGCTAGAAATATTAACAAGCGACCACGGGTATAATATATATATATTTGTACTCTTCGGCTCAAACGGAGTTGACTTACAAACGGTCTAACTCATATTTCTCCCTAGCGGCAAATTCGCTGCCAAATCTGTTGTTAGAGCCGGAGGACTCATACCCAGAAGCGAAGCTCGCTGGGGAGCAAAGCATAACGGTGGCCTCGCCGACGGAAGCAGAAACGGCGGTGGAGGTGGGCAGTACTTCGGAGGGACTCTCTGCCTTTTGGCGGAGGTCCTGGCTCGGTCGGATATCCGCCGAACTATCGCCATCCAACTGGATAAGCTGTGCCTCTGGCCTGGGTCCAACAATATATGTTTGACATGGTTTAAAATTATTGATTTGTCACAGAAGCTTTGGCACATTTTAACATATTGTTGTCGTAAAACAAAGCTATGCGAATAGTTTTTATCAAATTTTGGCATGTTTTCTTTTCTTACATTTTATCCTCCTCGAAAAAGAAGTCATCCTCCGTGTCTGTCAGCATCCTTGCTTATTTTTAAGAAAAATATATTTGTTTATTTTTGGCAACTTTAAATCCTTCAGTATTATCGAGGGCTGGAGAAGCAGTGTGGCTGTTATCGAAACATGGCCATCTTGATATTTCCTCGGAGTTTGCCATTCACCGTGAAGCGTAACCATGACCACTTGTTGCCTTGGAAACGCTGAGGAAAAACATAAACAAAAAATGATGGACTGGGCCGAAGAACTCAAGATGACTATACGGAAGGTGAAAAATAATACATAGTTTGATGTATATTCCATTTTAGTTTCATTAAATTTCACAGACAACGGCCCGAAAAGGCCGGCGCTCTAAGAGTCGGGACGTGCTAAAGGAGGAGGCCTCGCAGGGTGCAGGTTCTAAGGACATATCCATCGACATCACGCTTAATGTGCAGGCTCAGGGCGGAACCCCTCCCACAACATCGGATGGTGGAACTTCATCCAGCTACAACAATGAATTTGATTCGCATCGTCCGCCCATCAGGCGAATTTCTGGAGGATGGGCCGACTCTGGACTCAAAGGATTGAAGTAGGTTTGCTTCATACACCCGCAAGAATGTTCATTGATTCCTTATTGATTTTCCCTTTTACAGATCCAAAAAAAATTCTTTTGATGAGTAAGTCTAAAAAACATTTAGAATTTGGTATCAGATTTGGTATTACAATTAGAATTTATAATCCATATAAAGTGAGCGCTTTAGGCAAACAAAATCGGCTACCAACTCCATACCAACGGACGACATTCCCGTCATCCCGGATATGGATGACATCAAAGACGAAATAATGCTCAACGAGATAGTGGAACCTCCTATGTAAGTAAGAAAATCACTCCTTATATTCAAATAACCAAAATTTATGATAATTGATAGAATGGGCACAACTCGGTCCGCAGTTTTGAAGGAGGCTAACTCGGATTTGCTTTCGCAATACGCCTTTTCAGCAGTAGATGGATTTGATCTCTCAATCCTAACAGATTGCTTGGTTCCTCAGGAGAGCCTAAATGAAAAAGACGATCTATGGCAGTGGGATCAGCTTTTCACAGAAGTAACCGCTGAAATTCATTCGGATAAAGGGCCTAACATTGGCATGAAGATCGGACCCGATGTGGTGCCACCCACTCAGTACACTTAGGATTACCTCTATTTCTGCAAGATTAGTGCAATAGTCAATTCGTAGTTTCAGTATGAGAAGGTAAAATATTTCATCGAATGCGTCTTTAATAATCACATACTCATTCTGTTCACGAAGACATACCCAATTAAATTAATAATTTAAAATAAAAACAGACTCTTGGTTATCTATTGAATTGCCCGTCCTACGCCGTCAAAGGCCTTTTCTTTGTGATCAGCGGCATTGGCGCGGGATTCATAATTGCAGATGGTTACGCCGTGATAATGAGCTTCAGTGAATTCTCCGCGAAGGCCTGAAATCTTGGTTTAAGCGAATACACATACAGGACATTCAATTACCCACCTATATAGTAAATTCGTGTGGTTTCATCTCCAAAGTTGCTAGGAAAGTAGAGTGACAAATGATGCACGGAGGAAAAGGTAACAACTTTGGGGGAGTATTCGATTTCCCCTCGACAGTCGCGGGTGAGCTCGAACTCTTGATCCGGTTTGGCCTTGGCGTCATCGAAGGTCATCTTGGGGCGGTTTTTGAAACTAAAAAAGAAAGAGCAAAGAAATATTAATAACTCCTAGAAGCTTAAAGAAAGCCGGCTTACATTTTTACCCTGTTGGGATGCGAGTCATCATTAGCTCCGCTAACAATGATTCCCTTGAGCTTCACATTGCCGGTAAACGGTATATTGAAGAGAAGCTCCTCGTCGGCATCGCTCTGGACAAATTTGGAGAGGTCCAGGCGCCTTTCGTACGGCTTGAATACGGTTTTTCCCTGGCCATCCGTCTCTTCGTTTAGGCACTCCGTGTTATCCAAATCGATTTTCGTGTACAGACTATACTCAATGCCCATTTCCAAGGCATGATCTACGTCTGTGGCTTCGTGGCTGCAGCCGCCATGGTCGTGGGAGTGTCCGTGTCCGTGCGGCATTTTTCCGGCAACAATTTACAAAATAAAACAAATAATTCAGCTAAGTCACCCAGAATAATGCAGTCACACTAAAAGGCGTTCACACAAAATCTGCACTATCGGTAACTATCGTAAACATTGAGTGACCGTTGATATGAATTATTGAAAATACCACATCTGTTAGTGTTTGTGGGAACGCACGTCCGAATTAGACGACATAAAGTAATTTCAATTTTTTAATCTGTGCTAATCGGATTGAAATTCTTCGGGAATAATTGTGATTTACTCGAAAATCTAAAGTTAACACTCCAATGGCGCCCAAGGCTAAATCGGTTAGCATCAAGCCCCAGGCCAAAGCCTTCAAAGACAAGTCCAAACCTACGGATGTGCGTCTGTCCAACATCCAGGCGGCTAAGGGTAAGAAAAATATTTTATTAAATAAAATTATGAGTTAAAAACTATGTGCCTATGTTATTTAAGCTGTTTATGAGCTGATTGGCTAATTTTTGAGACGTGTTATGCGCAATTTACATTCCAAATGGCTTAAGAAAATATCAGTTGCAGTGCCGGCTGTCTGGAAACTTCTTACGTGAAGAAGAAGAGAGAGCATTACTCATGTGATGAGCGGAATTGAATTTTTTAGGTTTTTTAACACCCTATCGTAGGGAAATTTTAAATAAGGATTTGTTTAGGGTAAATGGGGCTATTTTTCGGAAAGAAGTCATGTTTTGAACAGATTTACAAGAAAATTTCATACCTAGTTAGTATGTATTTAGTACATATACACATATGTTAAAAAACACCCATTTTGTTTTTGTTACAGCTGTTTCCGATGCCATCCGCACCAGTCTGGGACCCCGGGGCATGGACAAGATGATTCAGGCTGGCAACGGAGAGGTTTCCATCACCAATGACGGTGCCACCATCCTGAAGCAGATGAACGTCCTGCACCCAGCCGCCAAGATGCTGGTGGAGCTCTCCCGCGCTCAGGATGTGGAAGCCGGGGACGGAACGACCTCCGTGGTGGTCATCGCCGGTGCCCTGCTGGAAGCGTGCGAGAAGCTGCTGCAGAAGGGCTTGCATCCCACAGCCATTTCGGACTCGTTCCAGCGCTGCTCCAACAAGGCCGTCGAGATCCTCACCCAGATGTCAACCCCCATTGAGCTCAAAGATCGCGAGACCCTGATCAAGAGCGCCTCCACATCGCTGAACTCTAAGGTGGTCTCCCAACAGAGCAGCTTGTTGGCCCCCATTGCAGTTGATGCTGTGCTTAAGGTAACTGAGCCCGGAAAGGAGACCTCTGTGGACCTCAAAAACATTAAGGTCATCTCCAGTCTGGGTGGTACTGTAGAGGACACTGAATTGGTCGATGGTCTGGTCTTCACCAGCCGTTCCGCAGGAACCAATGCGCCAAAGCGCATCGAGAAAGCCAAGATTGGTTTGATTCAGTTCTGCATCTCAGCTCCCAAAACGGATGTAAGTAGTCCTCAGTTTAATCCTTTGTACCTTTTTTTGAGCTTTATTTCGGTTTTTTAGATGGATCACAATGTGATTGTCTCAGATTATGCCGCCATGGATCGTGTGCTTAAGGAGGAGCGTTCCTACATCCTCAATATTGTCAAGCAGATCAAGAAGGCAGGCTGCAATGTCCTCTTGGTCCAGAAGTCTATCCTGCGGTAAATAAAACATCTCTAGGTTTTCCCGAATTTCCAATATTGATTTCCGTTTTCTAGAGATGCCGTCTCAGATCTGGCTCAGCACTTCCTGGACAAAATCAAGTGTCTGGTGGTGAAGGACGTGGAGCGCGAAGACATTGAGTTTGTGTGCAAGACCCTGCACTGCCGGCCCATTGCCTCGCTGGATCACTTTACTGCTGAAAATCTGTCCAGCGCCGAGCTGGTTGAAGAGGTCGCTAGTGGCACCAACAAGTTCGTCAAGATCACTGGTATCCAGAACATGGGACGCACAATCTCGATCATCTGTCGCGGCTCCAACAAACTGGTGTTGGAGGAAGCCGCCCGCTCGTTGCACGATGCCCTTTGCGTGGTTCGTTGCTTGGTCAAGAAGCGAGCCCAGATTGTTGGCGGTGGTGCCCCTGAAATCGAGATGGCTTTGCAACTGGCCGCCGTTGCCCAGACGGTAGAGGGAGTGGATGCGTATTGCTTCCGGGCCTTCGCCGACGCCCTGGAGGTCATTCCCTCAACGCTGGCTGAGAACGCCGGCCTTAATCCTATTGCGACCGTTACAGAGCTGCGCAATCGTCACGCCCAAGGTGAGAAGACAGCCGGCATCAATGTTCGCAAGGGCGCCATCACAGACATCCTTGCCGAGAATGTTGTGCAGCCACTCTTGGTCAGTATTTCGGCCATCACCTTGGCCACGGAGACAATTCGCTCGATCTTGAAGATCGATGATATTGTAAGTTTGAATCTAAATTAAAATTTGGTATTTGGTTCTTTACTGGTCTCACTTTCTTTGCAGGTCAACACCTTCAGTTAAGCACTTTGATCCAGCTCGTTTCACTTTTCTGTCTCCGAAAGATCAAACTTACGGCATTTTCATCTAATCCCTCACATATTTTACACATGCGCCTGCGCATCTAATTTGAATAAAATTCATACTATACACTACGCCTTACAAGCTTATTATGTATTTAAAAAAAAACACAAAAAGATCTTAAACATAAAACAATTCGCTAACACCATACAAAAATATGTGTTTATTGTATTTGCCCTGAATAGTGGGGTTTTAAAATCGGAATCGAAGTACATGTTATATTCATATATTTTTGATTAGCCTGTGGTATGAACGAGATTTCACACTGAAACTTCTAAAACACCACTTAGGTAAAGGTCAACAAGAAAGAAGGGATAACGTTTGATGCAGCCGAAGTTGACATACCCTTCCAGTCAAAATCGGGTATATATCGCAAATATCGGATATAGTTGGCCGATCCCTATGAGAATAAAATAGTAAAACCAATTTATTAGAATAAAAAATTAAAAAGCTTTCGTCTAATTTAGCTTACCAAGCTTACGTCTTTAAAAAGGTTGTCTTTTAAAAGATAAATCTTTATATATGACTTTGACTTATACAGTTGCGGCAAAAAAAATAGCACTGAGATGCACAATTTTCTATAATGCATTATAAATTATGTTTTTTTTTGAAATTGTTTTGATTATTTTATTTTACAATGTAGGCTTACATGTTATCTCTATGAGAGAAGTGAATTAAATCTCAATTAGCAATTAGTTTGTTATATTTTGAGCATTTTATCAAGTAAGATGCAAAAGAGAGCGGCAACAAAAATAGCACTAATAATGGTTTTGATCAAAGATTCAAATTTTTCGAAGTTTTTTGATGTTTTTAGTTACTGATTACATTCGAGAGCATTGCAGTAACAGAGTTCTTAAGAATTAGATCGGAAAAAAAATAAATATGGGCCGCGAAAGGGACTGCAGTGACGACCAAAGGATAATCATTTAAAAACTTATTGAGGAAGGCAACACCTATGCTCAGGTGGCGAGAATTGTCGGTTTTTCAAATAAAATGATTAGCAACGCATTAAAATATGTTCCTAAGGCAGAAAGTTGCGGTAGAAAGGTCGCCATGTCGAAATTGGAGGTCAACCGGCTGGTTCGTGAGAGCAAGGGGTCGCCCTTTAATCCGGCTACTGAGCTAAAAATGGAGCTAAATATTTCGGCATCAATTAGAACTGTTCGAAATTGCTTTAAAAAAAATGATTTAAGTCCCCACAGCCCCGGAAAAGTTTCCCTTTGGAGTGTGAAGCATGGGGCAAGTTGGATTTCGTTTGCCAAAGAACATCCGAATTGGCCGGCAGAAAAATGGAGAAATATTTTTTGGTCCGATCAAAGCAAAATCGTTCAATTTTGAGGAAAAGGATCTCGTTCATATGTAAGGCGACCCCAAAATTCGAAATACCGCCCCAGCTTTACGTACAATAACATTAAACCCGGTGGAACCAGTATTATGGTTTGGGCATGCTTCTCGTATTACGGAGATGGTCCCAATATGGTATAATAGATCGACTCGTATACTCCGAAATCTTAAAAAACCTCATGCTGCCTTATGCTGAGGATGAAATGCAATTGTTATGGGTTTTCCAACAGGATAATGACCCAAAGCATACCAGCAATAAAGCTCCAAAGTGGTAAGAAGACAGATCTCTCCATGTAATGGATTGGCCAGCTCAGTCCCCAGACCTAAATCCTATAGAAAATTTGTGGTCTAATGTGAAAAAATTTGTTTCCAATACAAAACTAAAAAATAATAAGGAGCTTTGGGCTTTTTTCAAGGAGTCTTGGAGCAATATCCCCCTGGAAAGGTGCCAAAGATTGGTAAATTCAATAGCGAGACATTGTGACGCTGTCATTTCTGCCAAAGGCTTTAAAACAAATTATTAATGCATTTTTTAGATAAAGATTACAATATAAAATAATAATTTAAAAAATTTCTGGTTGATTCCAAGTTTTTTTAAAGTTGTTTATGTTTTCAAAAAAATAGTGCTATTTTTGTTGCCGCGTCAAATGCTCAAATTTATCATTCTTACTTAAAAATTTTCTAAAGTTTGTTAAATTCGAGGTCGATTTCGCTCTATATTGTTTAATTATAACCTAACGTTTATAAAAACTCCATTAAGAAGCCAAAAAAACAAATGGTTTTCAAAAAATATTTCAAAAAAAAAAATTGTGCATCTCAGTGCGCGCAAAGGAAATAAGAAATAGAATAAGACTAGAATAATTTTCGTAGAAAAAGACAGACGGACAGACGGACATGCTTGTATCAACTCAGCGGGTGATCCTGATCAAGAATATACATATATACTTCATAGAGTCGGAGATGTCTCCTTATGATACTCTCTGTCAGGAAAATTATGATACTCTGCCAGGGTATAAAAACGGCGTCTTTCTGTCTGCCGTCTTTCGGTATAAAAAGAACCAATTTTCAAAATGATTATTTGAACTTATTAATTGAATTATTATTATTTAAATTATTAAATTATTTTAAAAGTTAAAAGAATTTGTTGCCAAATTGTTCGAAATTGCAATATATACATATGTTCTCGAAATTAAATCACCCAATTCGGGAGATTTTTAGTAAAGTTATAGTTAAAAAAAAGACATTTTTAATTACAAAATTATTTTTTGAAAGGTTTGTTAATTCGAAAACAGCCCTTACAGTCCTGTTCTTTCCTTCCCGTGTTTTTTTAGCACAGGGTAAAACCTGAAAATGCAAAATTTTAAAAATAGTTTTATAAACAAATTCTTTAAAAAATGTTAATAACCAAGTTTAATAAAAAATATTTAAAATTTTTTTTTAAGGAGGAGCTAGTTCTACCTATTCTTTTTCCGAGATGTTTATAATGCCTTCATATTCATATTTATCGCCATTTGTAGATTTTCATAAAACAATTTATGGCTATTAAAAGGTCAATTAAAATAAACTTTTTATAATACCATACAACTAAAGAATAAATAACCTTAATATTAGTGTACAATCCTGAGATAAATCACTACCCCTTACCCCGCCAACTTTTAAGACTATCAACTAACGCTATCTAATGGGCAAGCCCATTTTCCCCACTTTCGGCCCCACATAGGGTTTCAAAGGGTTTTCATCCCCGTGACACCAATGCGAGCCACTCCCACTCCTGTTTTTGGGAATTCTTTCCCTCTTTTTTTGTCCTGGGTGTGTAAATAAAAATCACTTGATGCGATTTTTATGATGTGCGTTAAATGATTAAACCACTTGAACTGGTTTCAAATTGTCAAAAAAGGGAGGCGTCGGCCAAGGGTCTTTATCCTTTTGTTTTCCTAGCCCCAATTTTGGGAATTTTGTTCGGGTTTCGTTTACGCTGGGGTGTGATTACAGGGGATGGGTGCCGGGGACTATCTCTCGTGGCCGGAAACTTTCGGCGCGTGTAAGTTAATTAAATGTGTAAACATGTCAAAGGGATCACTTTCCCCGGCCTTCTATCTCTCGCTGCCCATCAGAGATGGTGTTGATTTCGGATAAAGCCCTCGATTGGCTTTGATTTTTGAGCCTTAAAAAAGCTTTCCTCTAATTGGCTTAGGTTGTGTCACGAAGAGGGTGTTTCATGCCTCCCGGGTAACGCATGCAAATTTTCCATTTTAAAGTTTTCACCAACGGCCATTGTTATGCGCTGAAGTTTCCATGTTTGTTTTTTTTCAAGGGTGGAAAATGTAGAAATTTTCCCAGTTTATGGTACATGTGCATAAAAAGTTTTAATTTTTTAAATCTTAAGGGAAAGGTTTTTAAATAAATAACTTCGTTGAATCATTTCCTCTAAGGAATTTAAGACTTCTTTATGTTTTACATGATTAATATACTTTTTTGGAAATACATGGTCCATCATTTTGTTAAAACCTTGGAAAATATATTTAATTAAATAAATACATTTTTGTAAGAAAAAGGTTTAAAAGTATTTGAACTTTTATTTTATCTTTAAAGGAAATGCCAATCCTTGATTTATATGGGTTTCTTTTTACATATTTGTTCTATTTTTGCAACTTTTTGCTGGATGTTTACTCGCCTGTCTTGGGGCATTGTCGTCCTCATTCTCGTCCCCATCCTCGGTCCAAATTTTTTCTTGTTCAAATATTGAATCTGCGCTTTTTTCCCAAGCTATTTGCCAAGCTAGTGCCCCACACTTTTCAAACTTTTCATTTCGGGGGATTTTCCTTTGTTTCGCCTGTTTGCTTAATTCGTGTATGCGATTTTTTCATATACTTTTTGCTCATTTCATATTTTCATTGTAATTCAATTGTGTTTTCTCTCGTTGTTGTTGTTTTTAGAGAAATGTTTGAACAAGTCTTATGTTCTCTCCAGTTCAGACAAAAAGGGTGGTTCCCCCTCCCAACTACACGGTGATTGTCCTTGGTTTGTGTCTGTTTTTTGGACCAAAGGAATTTAAATTCAGAGCACCGAATTGTCAACCAGTCACGCAGAAATGTAACATATGTTGGTCATATAATTTGCGAAATTTCTAACGTATGCTACCCTTTAATTTATCTTAAGAATAGTACAATATTAACTAGAAATTTATCATAAAATTAAATTTATTAAAGCTTAGCTCCTTTTATTAATGCTATCCAACTCAAAGAAAAAAACAGAAAAAAAAGCAAAAGCACAAAAGAAACTTAATTTTCGTTACTGCTGCCAAGTGAAGAGTGATTAATGACATGGAGGTCGGGACAATATTATGAAAACGCATTCGAAAATTTCATTAAATTGTTATAAATGAAGCAGGCAAAAATAGAACTAAATGTTTCTATGAAAGAAATTCAATTTGCAAATTCTGTAAATGTTTGCCTGGTCAAAAAATGGAATCTATCATCAAATGAAGCCTGAATGAAATCTCGGCCGGAGATCTCCTTTTGAATGGGCCACGGGCAGCTTATCGGCCTGAGTTGGCCAGTTCAGGCTCGGGGCACTTTGAATATGGTCAATGCGGGTTGAACCCCGAAATAGCTGAAAGCCATTTTCATTCCTTTTTTGCGTCAGGTTGGTTTTTTTTTTTGACATACGTCGTCTGCAAGGGACTGATAACATTCAAAGGTCCCCCAAGCCGAGATTCGAGTGCTCGCCAATTATGGGTGAGTGCTGGCATCGATGGGCTTTCGATTTGGCCTCCGTTTGATGTTTGTTCGAGTGTGCTGGCGAATGGCCTGCAAATTAAATAGGGTAGTACGCATGCGAGTCGAAGTCTAACTTTGGGAAAATTAAAAATTTATTCACAGCGCTGGACTTTTGCCAACGGTAAAAAAACCTCAAATTTTAAACGAATATTCCAACGAGTGGAACCAAGGAGAAGCCCAGATTCGAATCATTTTCTTATTGACTTTAAAGGGTATTTCTTAAAGTAGTTTTTCTCAAAAAAAGATTTTTTGATCCAAAAATCAGCATGTTTCAAAAAATTTTTAAGAGTTTGGTGCAATGTGCATTGCCTAGTTTTTATACCCGGTACTCTTAGAGTATATAGTTGTGTGAATGTACATATGCAACATAAAGAAGGAATCACCTCATAAGGTATATATATATTCTTGGTCAGCATCAACAGACTCTTTATGAACGCGTGGTTCTCAGAGACTACTAGAGATTGAGAGTATACTATTAATTAAATCTCGAATTTGTATAGCGCCAGTACAGGAAAGTTTTTTGGAAAACTTTTGTTTATAAAAAAAATTATGTAATAAGTATGTCAAATTTTGTTGCTGATAATCCATACCTTTAAGGTTTAAACTTTTATGTTTAAATTACAAAGGTTGGTTAATTGTGGGTGGAAGAAATTTTTTGTTCAAAAAATTTGTTTCATGATAAAATTTTCATTAGGATCGGCCAACTATACCGGACATTTTCAATATACATATATCAGATTTACACTGCAAGGGTATATGAACCTTATATACCCTTAGTTCCGCCCAAAGTTAACTATCTATTCTTGGTTTTTTCTTTCACGTAACATTTTTCATTATACCCTTCCAGAGGGTATTATAATTTTGTCCAAAAGTGTGCAACGCAGTGAAGGAGACATCTCCGACCCTATAAAGTATATATATTCTTGATCAGGATCACCTCCTGAGTTGATATGAGCATGTCCGTCTGTCCGTCTGTCTGTTTCTACGCAAACTAGTCTCTCAGTTTTAAAGCTATCGACTTGAAACTTTGCACACACCCTTCTTTCCTTTGCACGCAGTATATAAGTCGGAACGGCCCGGATCGGCCGACTATATCCTATAGCTGCCATATAACTGATTGATCGGAAATGGTATAACTTTGGTGTTTTTAGAGTTAGAGAGTTCAAATTTGATATGAGAGCTATTTTTGGCAAAATTATATGACATGCCAAATTTCATAAGGATCGGCCGACTATATCTTATAGCTGACATATAACTGAACGATCGGAAATGGTATTTGGTAGAAATATTAAATTTCGTATTTTTGAAGATAGAAGCTTGGGACTTTTTTTTAGATTTTTTATTGTAATTAATTGGTTTTATTATGATGTAATCATAAGGATCGGCCAACTATATCCGATGTTTGCGATATATATCCGGTTTTAGCTGCAAGGGTATATCAACTTCGGCTCCGCCCGAAGTTAGCTTTGCTTTCTTGTTTTTTATTTATAAAAGTATCAAATCCCGGCCGATCTTTTAGTTTTCCCTTTTAAATTTCAACTAATTTATCTATATTGTCTCAAGATATCTCCATCTAAAGCTTGACTCGCCTAAGTGATGTCAAAAGGATACCACTGAGGAAACACAGAACCTTTCACTGTTTACAAAACACAATCAACCACCGAAGCGAGGACCATATGACATAACTATGTGTAAATTGATGGCATGAACCCCTTCCTCGCCCCACCTCTTACCCATTTTTTAGAGGTCCTTCCTAAACGAATCAGAGCACGGCAAAGTTTGGCTGAGTAAAGGGACGCTCGGGACGATCGGGGCTGGGGGTTGCTCAAAAGGATTTACACGGTTGCTTCGATATACAAATAAGGGTTTCTGTCTGGGCTGCCATATTGACTGTCGCCGAGCCCAAAAAGATGAAGTGATTTCTTATCCAACAAATCCACACTCGACAAGCAACAAAAAACGAGAAAAAGGGGTTGCTGGTGGACCCTTGGCATCCTTTTTCCCTGGCCCGCGTTTGCCAGGAAGTTTATTAAAAAATGGCCTTGTTTGCTTTTGTCGCGTGGCTGGCAAATGCTATAGAAGCGGGCCAAGGAAATCAGTTACCTAAACATATTTATTTTTGTAGCTGTTAATGAGATTCGAGTGGGATGCGAATGGCGCGTGGCTGGAAAGATTCTTCAAACCAAGGCTAATTGAATAATAAGATCAAAAACTATCATTATTTAAAAATAAATTGTATAATATTTATTGCACTAATGTCTTAAACATATTTATAAAATTTTTAACATTTTCAGGTTTTAAAAATTTTAATACACTTCTTCCAAAAACTCAATTCCAAATGTGTGCCTTCCAATTAAATTTATTTAAAACCAAATAAAAAATATGAAAATAAATTTGATGAAAATTAAATTTATAACTGATATTAGATATCCTTTGAATATTTTTCTGTCCTTTTTCTACCAAAAATAGTTCTTACCAAAGCATACACCCAAAAAACCAATCATTTAAACACATTCAATTTTTTTATAAATAAATTTTTCGGATTAAATTTTATTGAAATTTTTGGATGCTTAGATCTAAGTGTGTTTAAGATCAATTTACATTTGGACATCGTATAACAACATCGGTTCACATACACATCTAGGACAATACATGTTAGATACATATAGTAGAATAATTTGTGGCTCAGAGGATATAGTGGGCACAACAGATACATACATACACATATGGCATTGGGGACATAAATGTCTAGTTAGAACTAGGAACTCTACTGGCATACAGATACGAATGGGTATGCAGAGCTATATGTACTCATAAATTCGTAATGGGGTTTTTTCTGATACGACTGACTATCACCTAGGATCCATAAATACATCCATGACGTTGTGTTGCATTGATATGGAGAGACGTGTGGAATGTTGTGGAAGAGTTTGGAGAACAAGCTATGTACAGAATTGGGCCATTGTCTTTCCCATCTAATGAGGCCGGACGCCCCTTACTCTCCGGAGCTGATGGAGCTGCCGCAGAGAGAACCGGAACCTGCCTCCATGTGGGACATGTTCAGAGCCTGGGGCGGATAACCAAAGCCGTGGCTGCTCAAAGGTGTGCCCGTGGGACTGTCCAGATCCAGGGAGGGGTTGATCCGCTTCTCCTTTTGCCGGCGATTGCAAAACCACACCCTCACCACTTCCTTGTCCATGTTGAGGCGCTCCGAGAGCTGGTTTATCTCCTCCGACGTGGGCTTGCAGTTCATGAGGAAGGCCTTCTCCAAGGTGGTCCGCACTGTAGTCTCGATGGAGGTGCGCTTCTTGCGTCTACGCCCCAGTATGCTTTCCGGGGTACTGCTCAAGCTGCTAGTCATGGTATTAATGTTAAAGACTCCTCCCCCGGACTTGGCCACCGTGGTGTCCGCATCCTCCAGCCACTTTTGGAGCAGTGGCTTCAACTTGCACATGTTCTTGAAGCTCAGATTCAGAGCCTCGAAGCGGGAGATTGTGGTTTGCGAGAAGTCGTTGCCATACAGCTTTCCCATGGCCAGACCTACGTCGCCCTGTGTGAAGCCCAGCTTGATCCGCCGCTGCTTGAAGGTCTTGGCAAACTGCTCCAGTTCTTCCAGGTCCGTGGTCTCCTCCGGCGACTGCTCCAGCTTGGCCATGGCGGAGGCCACAGTGAGTCCTGCCTGGGGCTTGGGGGTGCTCTGCTGTTGCTGTTGCGGCAGCTGCTGCATGCTGGGAGTGTTGGGGGTCATGACGGCGCTACTTAGGCCCAGGCTGTTGGCACTCATGGAGTTCGGAGGCGTTCGCTGCTGCTGGGACTTGCTAAGCCGTGGAACGGGGCTTAAGGACGGACTTCTCAGCGGAGACTTGGCCACGGGGGTGGAATAAGCGGACAACTGGGGCTCCTCTCGTTGCTGCTGCTTCATCTGCTGGAGAGCCTGAAACTGGGCCAAGGCCTGCAGCGAGTTCTGCAATAGGAACTGGGTGGCCAGGTTCGGATTGGGAAAAGCCTCTGGTGCCAACTGGCGTACCATCTCAATGTAGCTGTGCAACTGCAGCTGCAACGCCTGGTGCATGTCCTCCGGAGCGAAGCCCATGGGCAGTGCTGGAGTGGGTATAGTGTCTGGTTCCTCTTCTATTTTCATCTCCGGCTTGGCTTCCGCTAATCGCTTGGGCGGTGGAGCCAAGTCAAGTACCTCGTTCTCCAGCTCCGGATCGAGCTCTCGGGCCTGGCGCTTGCTGCTTAGATTCTGTGGCATGTCGCAGTTGTCGGCCAAGTCGAGTTCCTCCTCCTCGAAACTCTTGCCGCAGTCTGTAAGAAGAGCAGAGAAGACATTTTATGTAGTAGATGATTACGGGTAGTTTGCTTTTCAATTTTCCAACTCAATGAAGTTGAAGTAGCCATGCTGGCCAGAGCACGCGGCGCATAATTTGATTTTAACCAAAAGACTGTGTAAGTTTTTCAATAATTCTTCAGCTATTTTGTAGGGTATACTAAGGCGTTGCAGAATAGGGATGGAAATAAGACCTAGAGGTGAAATCTATTATCTATTATGATTTTTGTATGATATTTTTAGCCAAAACAATTATTACTAAAAAGTAATACATTTGAACTGTATTGTTAATCCAATTGGACCGGTATGATCAGAAATGTATAACGTTTATTTTGTTACGAAAGAGTATTACTCAGCAGAGTGTCTTGAGGTAAATTCTTTATAGACTTTCAAGGCAAATTTTATTCAATCTTCCAATTGAATGCCCATCCTTTTTCGCTGTCCTGTCCAACGTCTGGGTCCTGCGGTTAGCTTCGATAAACGCTCAAGCGGAAGGGTTTGCCTTTGTGGCTTTCAAGACCTCCTTTTTGAATTTCCCCGTCCAGCCACCCCCACTACGGTTGTTCAAAATTCAATCATGCATAATAATTGAAAAATAGCCATACATCAGAGGCCAAACAGGAAGCTCCTCGTCCTTTGTCTTTGATAAATGCGCAGCAAAGCGAGCCACGGGCTCAGATTTCATAATTTTCTAAAGAAAATGATTGTTTCGAAGGCAGTACAATTATGAGATGGAAACTTCCGACATTAGAAATTTGATATAAAGTTTGGAAGGTCTCGAGTTTAAAGTTCTCCCTGATAATACAACTACACGATCAAAATAGTGTAACGCTCTAAACCGATTAAAAAAGGATATTATAGCTTTAAGCGGATTCGATTCCGTGTTGTGTTTGATTGCAGACGGGGTCGATGCGGGCGTTAGAACTGCACCCAAATTGCATGTGGGCAGCTGTTTTTATGACTTCCATTATGTAGAACGGAAAAGTTGAATGCGCCGCAATAAAATTAGCCATTGCGAAGCGACTGGGAACCAGCCAAAAATGAAAATTGGCCAAGGGTTAGGCATAGTTAAAATTTGTCACCCTTTTGAAAACTGTTTTGCAACCCTCGTGGCAGTTTTGAATTTGAAAATCGTTACAATTCGGAATGCACGAGTCGCGGATTAGGAGCGACTGTAACTTGCCATTGGGTGGGGAATCAGGAGAGCCAAAAAAGGGTTACAAGCTGCATTGTTATCCTGCAAAAAGAAGGCAAGTCAAGAAGCCTCCGGAGCAAGTACAACCCAAACAAGAACCGAGATCCATTGTGCCGGGAATGCGCCTGCAGCGAGCCTTCCACGATCCAGGATCCTCGCTCCTTGAACCTACATTTTCAAAACCTAAAACCAGGTGATGCCGCTTCGTCTGTCCTCGGGGCAGATGTGTTGTCCTGCTGACAAGGACGATGCTGAATGCAAGTTTTCGTCGTGCCACAAAGGCAATGTGTGAATGTTTCCACTGACAAATGAAGTGTTGCCTTTATTTGGAAAATTCTATATACTATACTCCTTTATTTGGATGCACTTTTTAGGGGTTGGTTTGCGCCCCGGCAGTACTGGCAGGGAGTGTAAAGTGCGTTTCAATTTATGGGAAAGATACAATCGGCAATAGAGAGAGAGAGTCCTCTGCTGGGGAGATTTATCGCGATATTCCATGAATTTTATGGACTATGAGCTTAGTGCATAGCATAATGGGGAATGGGTATAATGGGGACTCAAATAAATTTATAATAAATTTAATATTTTGGGTATTTGAGATGCCCAGTTTATAGTAAAGTTTTATGTTCTATGTGAAGATTACTTGAGCTTGTCTTATTAATAAACTAATGTCTTCAACAAATGTATTTCCTCGTTATATATTCTATATAATTAACTTTTCGAAAGCATTTATATACAGGAGAACTTGTTGTAGGATATACGAAACGCCCCTTAAAACGCCTTCGAAGGCACAAAAAAAGGAGCACCCAATCAAAACGGCCGATTATAATATATCCTTTTCTCGCTTCCTTTTTTAAATTACCCTTCAATTAACTTCACGCAACCAAATCCTTTCAATTTGAATAACCGAACCGAACGAGGGGAGATTGCTCAACAAGTGGTGCTTAAAAAATGAGGTGGCGAAGGGTAACCCTTCTCTAGAGGGCTTCACACCTCGACGCTATTCAAATGATATGTTAAACAGGGTTGAGCCGGATCAACAGTTTGTCCTTTTTTGTGGGCAATGCTAATATGACGGCACTCGAGTTTTTTGGCGGAGGAAGTCAACCCTTTTTATTGGTAGGGAAGGGTTCCCCCGGGATGTTTTGACAGCATTTGAATATGCATAACAAAGTGGAGAGGTGGGCTCGAAGGTTAGGCACCCTTGCCACGATCGACTCACCTAATTTGTGTAAGCCAATAAAAATGTTTGTTTAATTGTCAACTGCTATCCCCGGCCTCGGCCGCCCTGCTAGGGCCTCACATTTGTTTATATTCAAATGGGGTGGCTTCCCTGCATGTTTTTGCATAGATTAGTCGCAGCCTGTTAGGGGTTGTCCTCTGGATATGCGTCCTTGCGTAATTGCTAGAGCCATCATTTAAATGCGGCGTTGCAGAAATTTACATTTTGACAAATTGTTATTTCTGTTTGTTTGCGAACAGAAGAGGGTCGTGTTAGGGGTCAGGCAGATAACTGAGGGGGGAGGTCAAAAGAGCATAGGGTCTTGCAAGGATCATCTCCCGCTTAAGCTTGTTTCCGACTGGGGGTTGTTTTCGGGGGTGAGTGTGGGTGGTTTGTACTCCATGGTTCGGGGGAAATTAAAATTGATAAATAGCAATGGAACAATGCAATAAATTAAGCAGTTTACAGAGAAAATGGAAAATAGATTTTACTAAAGATTTATAAAATAATAATAATAGATAAAGTAAAATAACTTTTAAAAAGTCATAATTGTTCACAAATTAAATTCTTAAGTCACCAAACACAGGGCTAATATCCTTCCTAGCTCAGTCACACTTCAGTCACGTGCTAAACAGCACCTATAAATATTATAGTAGACCCTAACCCAATGCTTTATGACCAACATCAGACCCAACTCGGGTCCTTAGCCACACTTCTTAGCTACTACCTATGCCGAACCCAAAAGTAAACCCAATGAGGCTATGAAGCGGAGAAAGAGGGGTTGCGGGGCTGTTAGGGGATGCAGCGTAGCCGATTGCATATTGCAAAAAGTAAAAAAAAATAAAAGGATAAACTGGAAACTATAAAAGTGGTCTATTCGCCAATGCAGCTCGTGTGAGTAATCAATTTAGCCACAAAGTAGCCACGTTCCGACACGAGTCGGGAGCAGGACGAAAAGGACATGCCAGCTGAATGCTGCCCCAGGATTAGCTATGTTTTGGTATATTTACCTGACAGAGAGCGCAGCGGCGAGGGTGGTGTGGGGGAGTTGGACATGTGTCGCATAACTGCAAATAGAAAATAATAATTTTTGAATTTTCAATAATGTACAAACACAGAAGATGGAAACTAAAATGCAAATGACACGTACATAGTGCCAGTCCAAACAAATGTACGGGGCAAGTAGGTCTGTGAAGGGCCATGGGAGTGGGGGCAGAGCGTCAGGGTGTTTTCTTTTCATGTCTGGGCCGTAAAATGTCCATTAGGACATTCGGACATAACACTCGGACGTATGGCGCATATAACATGCAAAAATTTCTTTCAATTCTGGGCGCTGAGTGCTCGCGCTGTAAAGTTTTGTAAGGACCCATTCCCTGGGCCCATAATTCGTAAAGTAGTTTTAGCGCCTTGTATTGTATCTGCACTGACAAAATCTCTAACATTTATAATTTTTTAATTTAAAAGTCCCTTTTTGGTTTTCTATTTGTTTCCAGTTGTACTTCAAAATCCCAAATCGCACCAATGTTTGAGGGAAAATCTTCGCCACCTTTCATCCTTTCCTACTAGTGTCCAGTCGAGTCCTTTTTTGTGCCATTTGGTTTTTTGTTTTGCAAAGTAGATATTAAATTTATAGCTCCCCGGGGGCGTAAGCAAAGTAGAGTCCTTGCACGGTCGAGCGGGAAAAAGTAACATATTTTTACGACAATATATTGCTGAAAGAACCTCTGGCTCGGACTTGGGGAATCCTTGTGCATTATGCCGAGTGCAGGACAATATAAATATACAGATTACGCATTGGCCATTGGCCATTGGGCTGGCGTTGTCCTTGTGGTTGGGTAATGGCTGCCCCCCCTGGGAGTGGGGAAGCTTATGGGGAGTTGGGGCCATTCCCGCACTTGTTGGCAGGATGGCAAGTGGCATTAGTCAAAGGATCATTGGGATTTTCGGTGTTTAGATGATCTGCATGTATGAAAATGTATGGCTCTTTTTTCACCCTCATATTTGGCTTAAAACTAATTAAACAAATGTACCTTTTGTGGCTAATTTGGTTTCTTTTTGGTAAAACTATTTTCCACGCCACAAGCGTTTTTTCGTCTTAAAAAAGAAACTGCAAGGCTGTAGAGAAAAAACGAATCTTTTTTCTTTGTTTTCGTGCAAATACCCCCGAAAAAAGACAACGTCTTGGGCAGGGACAGGTAAAAAGGACACAGTCAGGATGCAAATGAAAACAAAAAATCTCCGATCACACGTCCCACTGTGAGGACGCTTCAAGGACAGCTGCTGCCCAAAAACGACACCATCAGCAGCAGGACATCGCATCAAATCTATTGCAAAACGCCATGAAATCGTCCATCTGATAGGGAAATTGTGTGTGCGCCTTCTTTGAATACTCTGCTTTGCGTCCGATCTGGACCCTCTGACTGGGATAATGTGTGGGCGTGTAATCATCATCGGTGCCCTTTGTCCATGCTCGACTGGTTCTATTCTTTTAGTCCTTTTCGGGAAAATTTATTGCTCGAGAAAGTGAAAAGTTTTTCGAACAGGTATTGGGACCATGGCCATAAAATGTGGTTGCTTTTTTTTAGAATTTTAATCATTTGGAAGTGGTTGAATAAAACTTTGCGATGATTATTGGAAGTCAGAAATCATTTTAATATTTTTAATGTATTTTGAATTACACTTCTGGAAAGGCTCACTACTTTGTAGATGTCTAAATGTCTCATCCTTGAAAAACTCACATGTGTTGGCTGCTTGTGCGTTTTCCTTGCAATCTTTAGTTGCCGAGCTTTCCACGTTTGGCGATTGTTGCGGAGATGTAGTAGTTTTTGTTGCTGTTGCATCCCACAGATGCTGTTGTTGTTGCTGTAGCACCATCATATTTAGTTATGTTTTTGTTTATTAACTTAATTTTAAAATACACTTAAAAAATGTTCACGGAAGCAGTCACGTTCTTTTCGGGCACTTTGTTCTTTGGATCGTTTGTAGTTTTTTTTTCCACACTCTTAGTTTTTTTTCGAGAGCACTACCGTCTTCCTCGGCCTTCGATAACCGAATGCAGCTCAGAACCACGATAAACATTTACGTTCGCTGCAATCGCTGTGGGACCCGTTAACTGCATGCTGTTTCTTTCTCACTTCCTCCTTTCTGGCCTTTTTGTTTTCCCTGCGCCTCTCACTCGGCGTGAGTGTGTGAGTGATATGCTTTATGATTTGCAGCGGCAGTTTCCTCATTTCACTCCGGCGCACTCCGCACTCCGCTCTCCACTCAAACGACCCACTCACAGTCGGGCTCCGTGCGCTCAATCTCGCTCGCCATCAACCCTCGAGGTTCAGGGTGTGTGGAACGTATTCTTTGTCGCCTGCATTCTGATCGGAATATCCCTGCACTCCATTGTTGCGCTTCCCCTGCACATATTCCTGCATTAGCATAGGCCACAATCTGACTTTTCTCCTCCGAAATGGGTGTGGCCTATGTATTATGCATTTCGCGCTTTTCTTATTCTGATTTTCCAATTTTCTGCGCAGCATGCATATTTTTTTGTTTGTTTTCATATTTTCTCCTTTTACGAAAAATTAAGTTTATTTTTTTTGGGAAGTTGGAGGTTCTTCTGAAAATGAGCTTTCTTTCGGGGATATGCGTTAATTACCTATTATTATTGGCTTTATTTCAAAATATTATATCGTTTTAGAATTCCAATTAAAGAGTTTCTAAAACTTGAAAAATCTAGACAAAACACAATAATTATTTTTCAATATTTTTCTTTCCTCGGTGTCTGGGAGTCATTCGGTGGCCTTTCCTAAATCCTTCAATTCTGCCCTCCAGTCACCCAACATCTAGAGAATTTGGACGTGATTATATAAACACAGATACTCACTCATATAAGCATCAGCACAGCCATCTTACTGAGACTCGGGCTAGTAATTACAACAAGTGTGACGTTTTTTCTTTATTTCCTGTCTCGCTCTTCACCCACTCACCCACACACACACACATGAGCTGCAGTTTTCCTCGTTTATTTTTCAAAGAGAAAACCAAATCGGAAAAGCGCTTATGCAGCCCTGGCGACATCGCATACTTTTTATGATTATGACTGCGAGTGCACTTTCTTCTCTCTCCCCAAGATTGTGGGAGCTTCCACAAGAGATGTGTGGAAAATTCTTTGTTTTCTCCCTTTGGCAGGTCCCATTTCCCGTTGCTTCTGAACGTTTTAATTAAAATTGCAAAATTAATGTTTTTCCTTCAGGAAAAACCTTCCTTTGCCCTTTAAATTGTGAACTTATTAAATGGAACTTATGCCTAATAGGTTTAATATTTCAGAAATCTTAAAAAACTTGCATAGTATGTAAATATTTGTTTACTAACTCAGATAAATAGTAAAAAAATAACCTAACATTAAAGTGCTAAAATGATTGAAGAACCGGAAGAAAAGACCAGAAAATCAATAACTAGCCTTCGATTCTCCCCCAAACTAATTTTAACAGTTATCCTTTTCGGGCCGGGTCCTGCTGCTGTTGCTCCTGATTAAACTTGTCACTGGGAGACAAAAGATAAACAGTTCCTCACTTTGGATAGTTTTCCCTGTCTGTTATTTTGTGTTCCTGGGCGGTGTCTAGGCAATTTGATTATTTGCCAGGAGCAGACAGCCCTGGACAGCGCAGGACACTGCAGAAGACGGACGCACACTGGCCGAAAAATAATGGGGGGAGGCCCATAGCCCATACACAGACGCACATGGCAACCGAGAAGTTTCGGGCATTGAAATTAATCAAGAAAATAAACGCTTGGCAGCATCGCATCGCCGGGAAGTCGCGTGGTCTGGTGGGAGGGGGCGGTAACCACACACACTTTGCATGACGAAAACAGACGGGGCAAGGACAAGGACATCGGCAGGATGCGAAGCACTAACCCGGAACCCCATACAATTCTGGGTGGTTGTGAAAACTCCAACATTTCCCTGTCGTCCTGCGTCGTCCTTTTGTTGTTCTTGCAACGCATTAAAATGACATACCAATTTGCGTTAAGCAAATAAGACGAGACTAGCATTTGGTCTTCAGTAAGATCTATTTTTTTGTCTGGGCAGGGGCGAGTCTGAGTGGTTGGGGAATGACAGTTTTATTTGGGGTTCACAGCTCTTTACTGCCGGTTCTTATTTAGATTGAAATGAGGGAAGTACGTCCGAGTTAAAGATATTCAAAATAGAGAAACAGGAATGTTTAACTAGATATACCACTATAAGATCGAAAAATAGTTTATTATAAGAAATCAGTGTAAAGTGATATAATCAAAATTATTCATAAGGCAGGGCTATTTATAAAATTGCAAAAATACCCATACGATTAGAGAAACAGTCTATTAAAATAACGATTCTCTAAAACTGTTTTAAGAAAGTAGTCAGTATTAGTAGCTATAATTTAAAAGTAGCAATAAGGCAGGGCTACTTATAAAATTATACAAAGTATCCATACTATTGCAGAAAAAATCTCTAAACTATGGTTTTTTATATACTACATCTACTATCTAATTTCTATACATACCCTCAAAATGGGTTAAGAAACCGGGACATAAATCAACATCGTTTCACCCAAAAACTTGTGAGAAAATTTTTCCAAAATTCCGTTAGATTTCTAATCATGAAACTATAGGTAAAGGAAAAAAAAAGAAATAAAAAAAAGAAACCGCAACCCTCGTTTTCTCACCCAACTCTAATGAAAAAAATCGCACAAAAAATCACCCAAAAGTACGGCTATTGTTCAATTTGAATTTCTTTCAATTTCAAGATATTTTTACCTTAAAAAATTACGCATTATTGGGGTACATTCAACCTTAGGTAGGCGCAACCAAGGGGTTGCTACTCCTCAGAGCATGCATGTGTATGCCTCAGAGCTAAGCTGTGGAAGATCTTGGGTAATCCTCGACAGTGATCCTCAATTTTTACCCTTGAGTCCTATTTTTTCCTGTTTTTCTGTCCCAAAAAACGGTGCGCAATTTTCTTCGCCATTGTGACTGGAAAAAATCGGAAGAAAATGCATGATTTTTTTTCGGGATTTTGTCTCTGGGTGCTCAGCGAAGGGTTGCAGTGGCTGATGGCTGAGATTTTCTGTGGCAGATTGCCGCTGGGCAAGTCGAAATCAATAAACGTTAATAAATAATCCAAGAAGGGAAGATGGTGCTCCACGAATGCGGAAGTAAAGGGACATTTGGAGGCTGCCTTTGTCCTTTTCCTCTATTGATTTCCGTTACTGAGGTTTCCTCATCGATTTGCACTCGCTTTAATCGGGAACCTTTTTTATTTCGTATTTTGGCGCGATGTTTCTGTGATCTTTTGTCCTTAAAATGATTCTTAGGTCAGCAGATGGATGGAAGGAGTTAGAGACTTTTTTGGAGGGAAGATGGGATAAAGATGGCCTTTTGTGTTTCCAACGGTTGCCGGTGAATAAAGCTTCCAAAAAACGAAGCACTACTATGTACTTTCCAGCTTATGTCCCACCGCGCTCTATATGGTAGGCCTTCCATAACTCCAGTCTAACATAAAAAATCTATGCAAATCTAACCCTTATGCTTCGCAGGAACCATTTTAAAAAAATTCACAACTTCAAGTTGCATTTAAATGAGGGTGGTGGTTAAAAAACAAAAATGGATTTATGATCTTTGCTTTACAGCTTGTAAAGCGTTTTTATTGGATTTGCCGTCACCCTTGCCGGAATTTACTCCCTGAGGCGGAGCTCAATTGGCCATAAGCTGCTCAGGGAACCGGGTCACAGTTGGTAGTGACACCAGTTTGAGTCAGAGCTTTCCTGTCCATTTTTCCTCTGCTTTTTCCTTGCCAGGGTGAGTTTTTTTTTTTACTTTTTTTGTTCCTGTCAAAGGTTACCTCATGCAATTGTGGTTCGGTTTTTTGTTTGCCGCAAGCAACCTTTCCGGACAACCCGACTACCACCCACCGAATGACCCCAGCACTGAGCCACCCACAAGCCCAGCAACCCACTGGTCGCACAAAGTGGTTTTAAATTCCATTAAATAAAGTTGTAAAGGTTCCCCTGCCGTACTTGAGAATTTTCACGCATATTATGTTCGCACTTTTGTAAAATTTATTAATATTTTAGTGATTTTAAATGGATTTTGTATGTTGGAAATTCTAAAGTGGTTTGGAGGGCTTACTACCCAAGGTTTTTGTTGGGGTTACTGGTTTTGGGGTGGGTGATAGTATAAAATGTGTTGTATTATGTTTAGAGCTAGTAATTGAGTTGAGTTTTCATTTTTGAAAGCTCTTATGCTTAACTTTGGTTTGGAATATAAGGAAGAGACTTTTGTTGGATTAAGATAATCAATATTATAAAAAATAATATTGTATTTACAAAACATAAAAAGTGTGAAAAGTAAATATTTTGTAAGGAAAACTACCGACAGTATTTTGAGTATTTGACACTTCCCGGCCATACTCCACTCGAACCATAATGGAACATAAATAAATTTTTTCTTTCTCAAACAATTAATTCGATCATAAAACTTACCTTTGCTGGGGGGAAGACACAGTCGACCATTTGGCGACTGCTCGTAAATGCTGAGGTCCTTCGGCGGCTCCACACTCGTCGGACAGGATGTCAGGCTATAGCTCGACGGCAGCGCCGGCCTGGTGGGTGGCAAGGATGTGGGAGCCACTTCTTGCAGTTTCTTTGCTTGGCCATTGCCATCCCAAACGACCCCATGCCAATGATGGTTATGTTCCAACTTAGAGAGCGCTTCTTGGGGCTTCTCCTGCTCCTGCTCCTCCACCGATTCCTGCTTCTGGAGAACTTCCTCCTCGTCACGCAACTGCTGCTGCTTCAGCTGGTGTTCCCGAATGAGACGATCCCGTTCGTGAAAGTGCCGGACGAACAAGTGCTCACCGTTGTGGTGGTGCGGCTGTGGCTTCGGTGGGGTTAACGACTTGAATGTCTCTGTTTTCTGCGGAACGAACCCTACCAAGCCGGGTGGCAGACTATTAATTAATGTGCCCATTGTCCTTTGCTGGTAATGGTGTTGTTGCTGTTGCTGTTGGAACATAATTTCGTGCAGAGGTATTAGAAAGTCTGGCAGGGATTTCTGTCTCGTTGGCTGGTGCTGCTGCTGTTGCTGGTGCTGGTTCTGATGGCGTTGCTGTAGTTGTTGCTGGAGTTGTTGGTGTTTGATGGATGCCAGCGTTTCCATGCCAAAATACGAGGCCGGCAGACATGTCTGGGCATCCTCCATCGGGTAGAGACATGCGGAAGTCATCTGCGGGGCAACATCTTTCGCCAGCTCCCCGCTGCCATTGTTGCTGCCATTGTAATTATGATATCCGAGGCCCTTGCCTGGCCTTAGATACCAGGGGCTTAATACTGTTTTTCCACGACAGCTTGTAGCCTGTGCTATAAATCAAAGAGGGGTTTGCGAAATAAAAGGGTTAGCAATTGAATTTTTATAGACTATCCAGAATGAAGTGAGAATTTGTTGCTTTTCTGCCCCAAAAAAGAGCTGATAAAAATGGGAAAAAAGGGTTAGAAAAAGGATATCATTATCAGCACTTGCCGGATTTTCACCCCTCCGCCGTAAACACACCCCTCGATCAGCAGTGCCTCCACCACCCCTTTCCGATTTCCGAATAGCATATTGCCAATGGAAACCGTTTATGTCACTATCAATTACTCATCATTATGCGACTTTGATACGCCCTTCCACCTTGTGCTGCCTGCATCACGGCGCAACGCCTCCTCCTCCTGCCCCATTTGGTTACGTTTTTTGTTCCGGGGGGTTGGATGGGCGCCATTCTGGCCAATCGTTTTTGTTCTTGCCAATCTTTTCATTTATGACTTTGATCGATTATGAAATCTGAACATCATTTGGATTTTATAGATTTTAGATAAGGGGCGGGGAACTAAAAATTGAACATTTGTTCAAGCTTATCGCTGAGGCACGCCTCTGCCGGGTGATAGGGTGACTCTATTAGCCTCTATTTGTTAATGAAAGAGATGCATTCGAATGGAACTCCCTATGGTATCTTTTAATTATAACATACAGAATACTTCCATAAATACTTATACTTATATACTTATACTTATCACACATCATCTGTTCTATGAATCCTTGATGTCTACGTTTTAAATCTTCAGATTTAACAGATTTCCCAACTCAATGGTCCCTCTGTGTGGTCTACTTCTCAATTAAAAATATTTCCAAAGAAAAATCATAAAAAAACGTCTATATATTTCGCAAAATTCAATCGCCTCTATTGCGTAATTGAAAAATCCTGAAAGGATCGACGGGTACAAGCCAACTGCTCCCGTCACTAGTGCGGGGTTGCCCCTTTTCTTTCCCTAGTTTCACTTTTTTTGTGCCCAATGTGCTCGCCAGCCGGTGCATGCAACAAAGGAGCACAAAGGATAAAGGATATTGCCGCAATGTGAAATCAAATCACATAGGAAAGTAATAACGAGCAGGGGCACCGGGTAGCAGGGCAGGATGCGTGCTAATCGCCATGTTGCAGGTAAATATAATCGCACAAAGTAACAATGCAAACGCAAAGGATCCCTTGGAGCGCCTTCAGCGATTCGGTTGAAACAGCTTGCCAGGCTTAGGAGCCCAGCGAAAGGATGCACGGCTCCTGTTGTAGCAAATTGAGCCTGAAAAAAGGATTTAATGTTCAGTTTTTTAACAATTGCGGCTTGTGCGGCTGAAGAAGCAGCTGCTTCTCGCAACTGCAACTGTGCAAGCAGAGACTCCACCTTCTTCTTTTTCTTTTTCTCATTTGATTGAAACTTTCACCTTTGGATCTTCATCTTTCAGCGAGAGTTCCTCCTCCTGCCCCTGGTACAGATTGAAGGGACCTTGACTGGCACGGGTATTCAAGCGGTTTGACAGGAGCATTTCCAGAACCATTCAGCTATAGGAAACAGGAAGCATTCCCAATAATTGAAAGTCAGCTTTCGGCTCACCCACCCTCATTTCATTTTCATTATCCCCGGCACACTCCGCACCCGATGTTTCTCCTCGATTCCAGGCGACAACCCTTTCTGCATCTTCAAGATGTCGCGTGGCCAGCACAAGCCGAAGGGTGTCAGAGGGTTAAGCGTTGACTAATATCCTCGGAATGGTTATGCTAAAGAATTGGACCTGGCGGATAATGCGACTTTCTGCGGCTTTGATGGCTTTGTTCTACCTGATACCCTCGCCATAAATCAAATTAATACCATAAGAGCGGCTCTGGTCCCGACGGACAACAAGCTGCTCAATCACAATTAAAAATCTTCGACTTCTCTCATTACGCCGTCGATTTTTGGCGCTCTAATGAACATTTTGCGGTTGCCTTGGCTGGATTGGGCGCTTTTTATATTCATGGATCATTAGGCATAGGTCAGAGTTTCATTCATAAAGTGTTCTGTGTTGTGTTTTTATGACCCGCAATGAAGTGGTCATGAAAGCCATACAGTAGCCGTTGCCGGTGAGGGAATTAATTATTTTGGGTGGAAAAAGAAAATCGGAGAATGAACGAGTACAGTACGGGGTATCATACACTAGAATAAGCCGACTCTTTATATACTTTTGAAACCTTTTCTATTCTGTATCGCTCTTAAGATCGTCCAGAAATAGTTAGTAAAAGCTAAAATCTTTTTTTCTAAAAATGTTATATTTAATAACGAAACGCCAATTGATTCTCCGGCGATCTAATTGAAATGAAGTTCTATTTTTAAACTCATATTATGTTGGTAGAAATAATTGGCTTTTTTAAAATAATAATTCTGGTACTATTCCAATTCCGACAGCCCCCACCTGGCATTTCTCTCGCCCAACTGGCTGATGTAACGAGTCTATTCCCAGCCATGTACGTAACAAACTAAGCCAAAAAAATAAAACACATATTAAAATAAACCGAGCCGGCTGATGAGAGAGTTAAAAACCATTTAGAAGTGTGTGCATTATAATTGCGGCGATTATTTCGGATCGGGGTCATTAACATGTGACATTCGCAGACACAAACACAGAACATTTAAATAAAACCAGCAAACAAAGTTCCAAATAGTGGCGGCGGAGAGGCAGAGAATTCTGGGAGATCTCCTCAGATCGGATCAGTTCGAGGCAATCAGAACTTTCTTCCCGCCTCCGATAAGCCTGGCTTTGGAGAATTGCGGTTAATTGAAGAACGCAGAGATTGGGGCGGAAGATTCGGGCTGAGTCGGTTCTAAGCAAGGGCCATAAATTTGTTGTTTGTGGTTCCACTAATGTGATTTCTGTGGTGAGCTGGATCCGAGTGAACGAGAGTGTTGTATTAGCCAAGCCACTGAAGCGTGTGGATGACCCCTCGCCGCCTCCCGACCAACAAAAATAAGCCAAAAACGATAAAGTTGACTGTATAAATTGCCAAAGCGCGTTGCCAAAAAAGTTTAGAACTTTTCTGTCCGCTGCCGGGCGCGCAACTCCAATTTAATTACTGCTCTCGCAACGCTCTTTGTTTTATTGCCATGGTCAGCCGGCATTGGACCACGTTAGTATCGCTTGTTCTAGTCGGTCGCATTTTGGCCAGCGATCTGTTCTCCCTGCCACCTGCCACGAACCACAGCGAGGAGCTGTTGGAGGACTATGGCCAGTTCCTACTGTCAACCATGAACCGGAGCATCGACCCGTGCGAAAACTTTTACGAGTTCAGCTGCGGCGGGTGGAAGAAGGCGGATGTGGTGCCGGCAGAGGCCAGGAACACGAGCTTCCTCCACGCCATCCAGCACAAGATCGACGAGCAGATCCTGGGCTTCCTGCAGAACGCCACCAAGCGAGAGCTGGAGGATCTAGGTGTCAACGGAACCAAGTCTGCGGAAACCAAGGCCAAGCAGTTCTATGCCAGTTGCATCGATGTAAAGGCCAACCTGTCGCTGGCCTACCAGTATTTTCAAGGACTTGACGAGGATCGCCTCAAGGACTCCAACGCGACTTTCGACTGGATGTACATAAACTTCATGTCAAAGTATGACATCTACCCTCTGGTGCCCCTGAAAGTCCACTACAACACCGCCACTAGGAAGTTCGACGTACTCCTGTCGCCGCCCATGAAAGTCCTCTCCGGCTTCAGTGAAGAGCAAATAAAAAACATGACCAGGGAGTTTGGCTTGGACGCCAGTGCGGACAAGGCCAAGCAGTTCATTGAGAACTTCAACAACCTCACAAGATTCGAAAGAAACCTGACTTCCATGACCAAGTTGCGAAACGAAACCGAACGCCTCAGCTTAAAGGACTTCCTGGCCAAGCACAAGCAGGATCGCTTGAACTGGACGCGCTTTTTCGAGCTGGCTTTCAACGGCAGTCAGGATCTTCAATGGCCAGTTCTCAATCAGCTGGACAATGTCAACGACTTGGTTTACTTTGTAGAGCAGTCCGATCTGGACACACTGAAGAGTTACGTCCAACTGCGTGAGCTCCTCAAGTTCTATGCTCTGTGGAAGACACAGACTAGGAGCGGGGGAGTTTCGAGTGAATGCCGCTCCCTGGCGGAAACCTACTTCAACTACGCCCTCTTGCCTTGGTTCATAGGAAAGGTCTTCGACAAGGACCGACGGGCAGATATACTGAGCATCGCCAAGGACATCAAGGACACGTTCTACGACCTCCTCGATCACTACACCTGGTTGGATGACGAGACGCGGTCGCAGGCCAAAACCAAACTGGCTTCTATGGACGTTTTGGTCGGCTACACAGATGACTTGCAGCATCGGGAGGTGATAGATCAGGTGTATGCGGACATCAATATGACCAACAATTGGTTCGAGAACCTCTGCATCCTGGAGGGCAGTCGAGCCAGGATACGGTTGCGCTCGGTGGACAAGGCCCTCATCCCGCTGCTGATGCCGACGAGGACCGTCAACGCCTACTATGCGGATTTCCTTAACCTGGCATTCATCACCATTGGCATGGCCCAGTGGCCCTTCTACCACCTGGACTTCCCCGATGTGCTCAAATACGCCGGAGTGGGAAACATTATAGGCCACGAGATGGCCCATGGCTTCGACTCGTACTGCTATCAGTACAACTACGACGGCAAGAAGATCAACTGGTGGTCGTCAGCTTCCCTGAGGAACTTCAAGGAGCGCTATCGCTGCCTGGAGTCCCAATACAACAAGTTCATCCTGATGGGCGTGCAAACCAACGGCACTCTCACCTCCGGCGACAACATAGCCGACAACGTGGGCACTCGGATGGCGTACTACGCCTACAAGCGGAAGAGCGGGGACAAGGCTTGGTCGGAGAAACCTCTGCGGGGAGTGAACTTCACCAACAAGCAGCTGTTCTTTGTGAAATTCGCTCAGACCTGGTGCAACGGCAAGGACAGTGGCGAGAAGCTCCGGAGGCTCAAGACGGATGTCCATGCCTATGACGAGTTTCGGGTGCAGGGCACTCTCAGTAACATGCCTGAGTTCAGCGAGGCCTTCAACTGCAAGCTGGGCACCGAAATGAATCCCCTCAAGAAGTGTGTGGTGTGGTAAAATAAAGTTTTACTTTATTAAATAGTCAGAGAAGGGTTTTTTATCTGATGGGTGAATGGGGATTATTGTACTTTAACAGCTCAAAAACAATGTAGATTGGTAGTCCTCCTAATTCATTTGATAGAATTGAAACCTTTTAAAAAAGTACATATCTTCATACTTGTCATTATATACATATATATTAAAAAATCATATATATATGCATATCAATTTGTCATGGTTCCCTTTACAATTTTAATTTGATAGCTTTTTAATTTTATTTGGATGGCATCATCTTGTGCTCTTACTAGGTTTTCCTTCCTTAGACTTATTACCGATTTCTTGGTCCTTCTGTCCGAGCACAATTGATGTTCTTTGGACCAAACTAACGCCCTCCACTTGGAACAGCTGATGGCCATCGAATAGAATAGAAATACTAATTGATTTGATGCAGAACCTGACTGGGTAAACTCCCTTTCCGAAAGGTTCTCGAACAGTGGGTGGGTCCCGGCAATATTTGTCTTTTGACTTTGCAGCGATGACACCTTTCTCATTACGAATTAATGGTATTTCGGCCTGGCCAACAAAAGGTGCAAAAAAGAAAGCAAGAAGACAAGAGGAAAGTCACTGGGTAGCCGAAAAGGTGAAGAAAGTGAGGCTTTGGCTGAAAAATAGCTGGCATGTTCTTCTGTTTTTCGCAAAAAGAAAAACAGTTTCTACTATCATTAGTCGTCACTTGAGAGTCAGATACGAGTACAATGGAAAAACGCTGGAAAAGTGCCGGGCAGAAAGTCAAAAGGAAGCAAAACCGTTGCACCGAAGGATGCAGCCTGCATACGAATTAGGATATGTTGGTATTTGCTTAAGGATCTTCGGGCTTATCTCGGGCGTCCGAGCGGCGGCCTAACGGATTTTCATGCATTTGTTATGGATTTTCGGCGCCAGGTCTCTTATTAGCTGGACAGTCAGTCGAACACGGGCAGGTAACTGATCCTGGCAACTGGCAGCCCCTACACTCACGCAGCGGGGAAGCATTCTGCATCCTGACTCCTGACTCCTGGCAGGTCGTAAAAACGCATTGCAGATAGATCATTAATTTAATGGCTTTTGTGCAGTTGGAAATGCAAAGTGCAGTCCCGGACAGTACCTACATCACACAACTGATCGCGGAGGTGGTCTTCGGGGCAAATCAAATTGCGAAATCTCCTCCCGGCCGGGAAACCCTAGACAGCACTCCGTATCCTCTCCATCTCATAATTGCGTTTGCCTTGCACAATGGCCCAGTCAAATTAGCCTTCATTTGTAATCTCCCAGCACAGGTTGCCGGGCTCCGCCCGCTCCTGGACGGCCTCCTACGATCCCTATTCGATCGCATTAATTCCATTTATGTAAACCATCGCGGCCAGGGCTTGTCCTCGGTAATTCGAAAGGCGTAGACGGTGTAATAAAAAATCAACTTGCCGGGAGAGTCCAGGATGGGTGGGTGCTGTTCGGGACTGGAGCTATGGCGGGTAATCCAGTTAAGATAGGGTTGTCAGGCATTGTTTTAATAAAAGACTGCAACACCGAATAATGCAAAGGTTGGAACCAATATCATTGAAATAATAAAGATTTCAAATTATTATAGTAGCTTTGTTATTAATTTTAAGTTTGAAATTATTGAAGGTCTTTAAAGGTCTGCCTGGCAACCCTCTTTCTTCACTTACTGTGCAAACAACTTGCCAAAACCATGTTTCCATAATTACATGCAGAATGCCTTTTATGCCACGGCAACCTGCTTCCGCCGCTTGGCCAATAATGCCTCATCGGCAGACCCAGCTTCAGCCCCAGCCTCAGTCCCAGCGTCAACCTCAACCTTCGCCCACCCCATGCCGAATTTCTGACCCACCATCCTCATCATCTTCATCTGGCTCCACCATCGCAGCATAAATTGAACGAAAGGGGCGTCGTCGCAGGCCAAGTTAAGAGTTCGGCTAAGCCAACAGGCGGCCCAGGTACGAACTACCAAATCAGTTGCACTTGTCTTCCGACGGGTGAAAGCAACAGGGGCTGGGGCAGGGCAGGGGATGGCGATTTGGATCGGGAGGAATCCATCGGAGCTCCCGCTGCCAAGTCGGGTGTTCACGGTGAATTATGAAAATCGTTGCGAAATTAAGTTAAGAACGTTTTTTAAGCTTAGCAGGAAGTAAATGGCTGCAGTCGTGAAAATAAGAAATTGGTATGGCACCGTGAGATACGCGTGAGTTTGAAATTAAATTAAATTTAATATTCAAAATTTAAATATATATTGAAATGGCATATATTGGTTAACAATTTTTCTTATTAATCTTGTATTCATGTAATAAAAATAAAAAAGTTGTATTTTTACACTTTGAAGGCCAATATTATACAACTGTTGAAAACAACTGAGATATGTTACAAACCCATTGTAATACGAAAATTTCATATTTAAATCTTGGGATTTATCCATAACACATTTTTATAAATTAAAAGAATCCTTATGTTTGATTCCGTTTTTGTTTTAATTTTTGTTCTTTAAGGCTTTCAAGTTTAGTTCCCCATCTCTGACTCTCAGCCAGTCCATGAAGCTCTTTCTTTATTAAATGGAGATGATCAATTTAAATATTTTGCAATTGTTGTTTCTGGTGTTGTAGTGGTGCGTGAGCGCCCTGACCCTCTGCTTCCATGGTGATGTCGGCCACTAGGAGCCACGGCAGCTGATCCAGCAGCAACATCATTGGAGCGGGGCAAATGCATTCCCATCTTGATGCCGCTGATGCTGTTGCTGGCCTGGCTGCTGCTTTTTCCAAGCTTGCCGCCTCCTCTCGATTTGTATAAAAAATTTGCTTCATTTTATTTTCGGCCGCGACCCGCGTCCGCCTTCGTATTCCTGGACGGGTACACGCCCCGGCTCTGAAGCTCCCAGTCCCCACTCCCCAACATATCGCCGTTCAACCAAAAATGCAGTCAAACAAACCACAAATACATAAGTCCCAAGGAATGTTTCATTCAAGAGTATAAAATAATAATTAAGAAAAAAAGGTAATATTAGGATAAGTATAGATTTAGAAATAAATAGTAGCATATTTAAACATAAAAATGGTGCTAAGTTAAAACATTTATTCGGTTTTTTTCAGTGCTGAGATTCTGACTTTGGCTTCTGCTATATTTTCTGTATTTTTTCGCCAACGATTATCTAAATTGCATACGAAATTATTTTAATTAAAAATCTAATTTTCTTAGCGGCCTTACAAGGCTAAAAAACGAAGAGTTTTTTTAATATTTCAGTTGCCCACCTTCATTTGGAAAAATTGTTGTTTACCATATTGATCTGAAGACTATGGGAATTTTTCGGGTAGTTGTCTTGTTTGTTCATTGAACCTTTAATTTGATGCGATTAAAACGATATTAGTGGATCACTTTGGGGCAGCACACCACATCTGTTGCAGTTGCAGTTATCTTCGGTTCGTTAGGGGTTTTCCTTCCACGACTCCCCGAACCTTTCCAGAAGAAGGTGTGAAGATGTGACGGCGTCAGCTGGGTCGCATCTTAACATACGTGACCGTTTATTGATTAATGATGCATAATTCGGCGAAGCATACATATTAGTACGGTCGGCTTAATTGACGCCTTTCCGGTAGGGTTTCGAAGGAAAACGAATCGAAAGGATGATCGAGTTTGACTTGACTGCACCACAACATTTTTGCAGAAATGTGTGTGTAATAATAAACAAATATAGGAGTAAAGGAATCCTAATAGCCTCTCAAGGTATAAAAGTTCCCATCACCAACCATCCCCACTGAGCCCATCTTCGGTAGCTGGAAAGAATTACACTTGAATGCAATTCAATCAACCACCAGCCGATGCATAAAATTTAAATAAATGTTTGATTTGAATTTAATTGCTGCGGCGCACAGAACCTGTCTAGGCCCCGCCAGAGAACCTCAATTGAATATAAATCAAATGCAACCGACAGCAGCGCATCAGCGTGGATCAAAGGGACGCGCTAATCACACGCTGGGCCAAATAGGATCTAATTTCCACACACGAAAGAAGACCATTTTTTATATAAACATATTCGGAGGTGAACAAAAGACTGGCTGCACCGGTGTATGGAGATGTGTTTATAGAGAGATCAGGTGCCGTCGTTGAGCATTCAAATTTCGCGCATCTCGGATGATAAATGATTGCAGCAGGTAAGACAGGTAGAGCATACAGCGTTGAGCTGCGAGCTGCGAGCTGGCAGGTAATCCAACCATTTCAATTTGAATTTCGACAATAATTAAGCGCAACAATGGATTTATTGGGTTTTCCTAAGCATCCACAATCTTCATGTTCCTTCTGCGGTTCCCCTTGCCATAGAGCCTGAAATTAGTTGGGAAGACCCTATCCCTTCCTATCCCATCTCGTGGCAGTTGCAATTATAATAATTATTTTCATTCATGCCGCGTTGCATTGAGCGTCTCCAACCGACAGCTCGCCACTTCTCCTCCTAGAGATTCGATTGGCGAGATAAATCCGAAATGGTCTGAGTTCCTAACGCCGTTTCCCTTTTGTAATCCCGACCTGCTGTTCTCACAGAAAATGCCAGTAGCATGGGTTACCGGTTGCCAATGAAATGGAAAGAGGATGCATTCAAATCGTATGTTTTTCTTTGCATTTCCGGCACTAGCTTCCAGACATTTCACTTGATTTTGAATATGTACCCTTTCTAAGGTAGTGTGGGTAGTTTGTTTATTTTATCAGACCTTTATCACAATGAACAAAAAATAGGGATTTCTCTATTATTTCTATACTAGCTAAAACTTGTATTTCAGATTAGGAAATTGAGTGCTTGCAATCCATATTGTTTATAAATTTGGCAATCTTTTTTATAAATTATAAATAAATAATAGTTTTTAATATTCAAAGTATTTAACTATCGTTTGATTTAAAATAAGTTTTTAACTAGTAATATTATAAAAACAAGAAAGGAAAGCTAACTTCGGACGGAGCCGAAGTTTATATACCCTTGCAGTTAAACCCGGATATAAATCGCAAACATCGGATATAGTTGGCCGATCCTTATGATTATGATTTATCATAATAAAACCAATTAATTACAATAAAAAATCTAAAAAAAGTCCCAAACTTCTATCTTCAAAAATACGAAAGTTGATGTTTCTACCAAATACCATTTCCGATCGTTCAGTTATATGGCAGCTATAGGATATAGTCGGCCGATCCTAATGAAATTTCGTAGGTCAGATTAACTGACCAAAAATATAGTCTGTACCAAATTCCAGCTTTCTATCTTCAAAAACACGAAAGTTGGGTTATTTCCGATCGTTCAGTTATATGGCAGCTATAAGATATAGGCGGCCGATCCTTATGAAATTTGGCATGACGTAATGTTTTGCCAAAAATAGCTCTCATGTCAAATTTGAACTCTCTAACTCTAAAAACACAAAAGTTATACCATTTCCGATCAATCAGTTATATGGCAGCTATAGGATATAGTCGGCCGATCCGGGCCGTTCCGACTTATATACTGCGTGCAAAGGAAAGAAGGGTGTGTGCAAAGTTTCAAGACGATAGCTTTAAAACTGAGAGACTAGTTCGCGTAGAAACAGACAGACGGACAGACAGACGGACAGACGGACAGACGGACATGCTCATATCAACTCAGGAGGTGATCCTGATCAAGAATATATATACTTTATAGGGTCGGAGATGTCTCCTTCACTGCGTTGCACACTTTTGGACAAAATTATAATACCCTCTGCAAGGGTATAATAAAAATATACCACATAAAAGCACCTTCAAGTGCAACTACCAGGTCGTTTGACCATTTCTTATGATACATTCATAGTAGTTGTGCTATTGTGGTGCGGTGGCTCGTTTAAGGCAAATTATTGTTTAAATCGTAATGAGAAGCTCGCTTCAGATCTCGGTGATGTATATTTGGGAGCTAACGATCTGGAGGCCGAACAAAAATCACGAATATATAACAGAAAATCTAATCAGAGAAACCAGCCTCGGTGAGTTACATTTGCTTAAATTGGCTTTAATTTCCGGTCGCGTGTTGGACTATATACACTAGTTTAGTTTTGAACCCTTTTCGGCTTTGTTTTACATTAAGTTTTTGATAATTGCGGCACTTACGGAGATTTGATTTTTTCGTTGAGGTTTTGCATGTCAGGGGGGCATTTCCGAGCTGGATCAGAGGAAATGGATTTACATATGAAGATGAATGGGGTGCTCGGGCTGATCGCTAATGATTCCCATTTAAATTTTATTCAACCTTTGCCCTTCGCGTTGGCTACCTTTGAAACAGAATTGAGGTCACCGAAAGTGTTTCAAGTCCCCAGGGCGAGATCATCAAAATGGCAAAATAGCAATTTCAATAATCGAAAGAAAACAAGATGTTCCACCCTCCTTGCTTTTTTGGGTTGGGTTCGGCAAGAGCAACAGGATGTGCGCGACTATCGCCCTTTACCCTTTGTGGCCCCTTGTGGGTATTCTTGTCCTTGCGCCTCAAGATGGATGAAGTGTTTGGCAACCCTTTCAATCTTCATAAATGTTCGCACTCGTGCCACAGGGCGTTCGTTGTGAGGCAAGTCCTCATTCGCAATATTAGCCCGGGTCCCTTGTGTCGCATCCTTTTTTTTATCAAGATGACGCCGACCCTTTGCCAATAAAAAATGAAATCTGTTTCGATGCATAAAAAATTGGAAATCTCATAAGCATGCGTTTGGCACGAGTGTTCTTGGCCCCGGCACTGTTCACCCCTTTTTATGGGCCGGGGCTTGTTTTTGGGGTTAAGAAGGCCGTGAAAAATGGCAAGGTTGTTGTTAACACATTGTAAATACCTCATTTTTCACTTAACGGGTTTTTAAATACACATATGCAATTGAGTAGGCGGTGGGGGCATTAAAGTGAAAGGGGAGCTATTCCTGAGAGAGGCTTTGAAATAAATATTAATCGGACGAGTACTTATTGAATATTAAATATTAAATAAAACTTTAATTATATGAATTGTAAAAATTTGTATTATAACTTTTGTAAAGACTATTTAAGATTTATACCTTTGCAGACCTAGAATGGTTTACAAACGGATTTAAAATTTAAATAAATATTCGGTTTTACTTTCAAGCTGTTTAGTTTACTTTATTATTGTAATAATAAAGTATGTTTATATGTTTACTTTATTCATACTTTATTGTATGAATATTTAGCTCATATCTACTTTTTTTCATAAATTCTTCTTTTGAAAACTTTGCGAAATAAATGAAAAATTTATTTTAAACTCACCTGATGTGGCTGCTGCCTCCTGGTGGCTTATGGAATTGCAGATGGTGGCTCTCTCCGGTGGCGACTCCATGAATTCCTGCTTGACTTGAATCTGCGGCGGCCGCAAGAGTCCCTCAAAGTCCTCCTTGGTGGGTGGAACTGGTGGGCAGATGTCTTTAGGAGAGAAGCCATTCAAATGGCCAACGTTAGCGGCATAATTAGCCGCTGATTTGGCCGCTGCTGGTGCTGTGGCTGGGAGTTGTAGTTGATCGTTGACTAGAGTTGTTGCAACGCCTCTGCCGGTAATTTGAACATTAACACCTGCTGTTGTTGCTGCTGCAGATGCTGGTTGTATTAGTGATGCAGTGGCAAGGCAGTGAGTGGCTGCTGTTGCTGATGGCGACGCCAGCAACATCGTTGCTGCTGCTGCTGCAGTTGATGCTGTGGAGCTCAAGTGTTGGTGATGGGAATTGTTGCCGAGTGTTGTGGCCAGCAGTAATGGCATAGTTGTTGCTTCTCTCCCCGCTCTTGTTTTTTGCTTTTTTCCTTTGCAGTTCGTCAGCAGCAAATTGCGTCGCTTTGATTTATGGGACCGTCGACTGCTCCTTGCTGCCTCTGGCGACTTGTTTGCTGCTCCGGTTGGTGTCTCAGATTATGATATTGACCCATGGACCGCTGGAGATATATATTCTGGCATCTCCTGCTGCTCGCCTGAAACCCAGAGGATAATTAAAAACGTCTTCTTCTGTTGAAAGCTTAATTTGGTGTAAAGTGCTTTTTAAAATGCTGTTATTAAAAAACGAGTACAGGGCCAGTCTATCTATCGGGTTTATTAGGCGATAGCGGAAACTATTGGTGTTGGTCGTATAACTGACCAGTACTATGCACATATTTCACGTGACACTACCGCCTCACGTTGTGGGTTGCGAGTACAATGGATTGCTTTAATTTTTCTGGAACTTCATAGCGGATGTTAGCATATAACTTTATGGAGGGGCTTCTAAGGGATTATTCGGTTTTGCGTTAAAACTGGGTTATCACTTAGTTGGGCCAGTGGAATAATGATCAGCGAGGGGTAGGTCTGGAATTAATGTTTGAGGACTGCAACTAACTTTTAAGAATTTGACTTCCTTACTTCTTCACCTATACTTGAAATTCAACGAATTCCGAAAAGTTCTCATGACTCTTGCCCTGTTAAATCAGCTCCCACTACTTTCAAATGGCAGCTATATACTTTTACAACAGTAGACGCCATAAAGAGCACTTGAAAAATAAACTTTATATTGTTATGCAAGCAGAAAATGGGGATGGGAAAAGGTGAGTTTGTCAGGCCGGCCTGAAACGAAATTGTTGTAAATTGAAAACAAATTGAAGTCAAATGATAACAGAGCCGAAGACGAACTTGGTAGGGTGGACTGGGTGGGTGTCTAAGTGTCACCGCTATGGGCGATGAAATCAAAGGAAATGGAAAATTAAACTACATTGACAGAAAACAGAATTGGAATAAAACAAGGAAGGAAAGCTAACTTCGGGCGGAGCCGAAGTTGATATACCCTTGCAGTTAAAACCGGATTTATATCGCAAACATCGGATATAGTTGGCCGATCCTTATGAGAATATGATTATATAACCCAATTTATTATAATACAAAATTTAAAACAAGTCCCAAACTTCTATCTTTAACAATACCAAAGTTGGTATTTCTACCAAAAACCATTTCCGATCGTTCAGTTATATGGCAGCTATAGGATATAGTCGGCCGATCCTAATGAAATTTGGTAAGTTGGATCAACTGATCAAAAATAGAATCTGTACTAAGTTTCAGCTTTCTATCTTCAAAAACACGAAATTTGGGTCATTTTCGATCGTTCAGTTATATGGCAGCTATAGGATATAGTCGACCGATCCTTATAAAATTTGGCACGTCGTATTATTTTGCCAAAATTAGCTTTTGTGTCAAATTTGAATTCTCTTACTCTAAAAACACCAAAGTTATACCATTTCCGATCAATCAGTTATATGGCAGCTATAGGATATAGTCGACCGATCCGGGCCGTTCCGACTTATATACTGCGTGCAAAGGAAAGAAGGGTGTGTGCAAAGTTTCAAGAAGATAGCTTTAAAACTGAGAGACTAGTTCGCGTAGAAACAGACAGACAGACGGACAGACAGACGGACAGACAGACGGACAGACGGACAGACGGACAGACGGACATGCTCATATCAACTCAGGAGGTGATCCTGATCAAGAATATATATACTTTATAGGGTCGGAGATGTCTCCTTCACTGCGTTGCACACTTTTGACCAAAATTATAATACCCTCTGCAAGGGTATAACAAGAACAAGCCGCCCGAGGAACGATCAAATGCCCCGAACAACAAGTCACCTTCCCAGATAAGATACGGCGCTGAAAAGTGCATCGAGTTTATGGAAATGGGGCGGAAGGGGCTCCAACATTTACATACATAACCATATAGACATAGTGGATAGTTAGGCGGGGCGAGCGGTGTGGTAACTAACATTAATGGCACTTGTAAACAAATCAATTGAGTTGTCAGTATCGACGGCAAATTGGCCCGTTGCCAAAGTGCCACACGAAGATTGTTTATCAATTTTGCCGGTCGGTAAATTATGTTCTTTGCATGTCAGCAACCAATTGCCAAGAATCGTTATGCCTGCCGGCCACATCAAAGCACCGGCACCGGCCAAATGCAGTCAGCCGCTTTGTTTTACCCAGCCCGTGGCTCTTTTGGCTTTTTTCAATAATTCCCCAATCGGGCTGGTAATTTCTTATTGCCTCAATATCGGACGCTTTTCTATTTTCGTTTGGCTTTATCTTGTTTTAAAATTAAACACAATTGCTTACTCTAGTTGGGATCGTATCGCTTATCGTGTAAAGCCCAACACAGTGTGTCTTCAATTTGGAATTTGTGTTTTCATAATTTCGTATTGGTTGTAAAGATACGGGGGGCAAACATCGCTCAGTTCGATGATGTGATTTCATTTCCTTAACTGTTACTCTGATACTGTGCTGATTTGGTAATCCTTGTTGGAGTATTTAAGCTTTTGAACTTTTAAATAAATAGTTGGGATATCTATGAAAATAATTGAAGATTTTATAATGGCTTAATTTTTAGTAAACATCTAAATTAAATATCATAATGAAAGCTTATTTAAAAGATAAAACTAAGGAATATGAAAAAGCATTTATAATTTAAATAATTATTCATTTTTATGGTCCTAGTGACACCAAACAAAGCCACATATTGTGACACTTGTTGGCCGTCCAACGCACATCACCAATTAAGGACTCGCACACAGAATTCCTGAGGCACCCATGAACTAGCTCATTAACACAAGTCAGGATGTGTCAGGAAACCTTGGAACTGTGACTGTGTCTTCATGGCTTTCATGGCTGGATCTATCTGATCCGTCGATCGTGCCTGGGTAGTGTGTGGGCGAAACATGGGATACAAGTTCCCGGAGAAAAACTTACAAAAACACTCACTTGGATGATGGCGCACCTCCTTTCTAGTCTTTTGCAGTTTGCTGTTTTTGATTTTGGTGTCTTCCACAAGAGGCACACGAGCGAATTATAATTTAATTGTTTACTGTGCCACACTTTTGTTTATAAATTGAAATGGCAACGAGAGCCTCGACAGCTTCACGGCCTCTGTAACCTTATTGGAGGGACGGAGGGTGGTGATCTTTTGGGACAGTTCTCCGAGACACGCTTTTTGATTGACTTCCGACAAACGACTGACTTAAAAAAACGCGCAAGGAGATATGAGCAAAAAGTATAAAAAACCAGAGTAAAGAAAAGAGAAAGAGCAAAAGAAGTTCGCGACGACTGCCGACGACGTCCGACGTATCCACAAAATGTCAAGCGAACACAAAAAAACATACTTTTTTTTTTATAGAAGACATTGGGGGAGAGTGGGTGGAGGTTCGTGTCCTGTGTGCTTGTGAGTGTGTGTGGGCTATAAAACCCCCCGACCAGCAGGTGGAGTGGGAGGTTGGGTGGCTGAGTTTTGGGGCGTTTGACTTCGTTTTTCACTCCCCTCGGTTTTTTTTTGCACGTTTTCCTGCACGATGTTTTAAAATCAAAAGCGTCTATTGTGTGGGTGGAAAGTACGTACATACATATAGTGTATATATGTACGCGTGTTTGTTTGCCATTTCTATGCATGTGTGTGTGGGAGTGCGGGTGGCTGGGTGGCCTTTATCGCATTTGGAATTATGTATGTATTGCCTGCCGCTGCTTCTGTGCGCTTCGAGGAGAATGGTTCGCTTTGGAATGAGTGCTCCTAACTTGATTTGTAGTTTTTCAGCGGCACAGAAATGGACTTTTGCATTGGACGGAAAGGAGCTCCTTGCGAAAAGGAGAAGGCAGCTAGTGACTAGATTAATATAATTGATTCAATTCTTGAAAGAATGAAAAGGAACTTTAAAGTTATTTTAAAGAATTTTAAAGCAAATATCCCATTTATATTTATGATTGAGAACTAAAATATAGTCTAAAGGTTTCCACAATTTATTTCTCTACAGTTTTTATTTCAAGGTTAAACACTAAATTATAATAGTTTTGATTAGCCTTGATAAATAAACCGATTTTAAAAGGCTCTATAGTCTCCATTACTTTTAATCGCCGTCGGCATTGCACTCAGCTTATATTACGTATACGCCCCAATGGCTTCTTGAAAGCAGCAGAATCAACCAAACTTGAATTGTAATAATGGTGAACCCTTGAACTTCTCGCTCTTCTGGCTAAAAAAAACTATACTACTATACTATGAAACCTAAAGGAACCGATGAAGCGGCAGCAGTCAAAACGCGATAAACGCATAAATTAAAATAATTTCGAAGGGAGTCTGTAATTTTTTTCACGCACACACTGATAGAGAAAAACAAAAATGAAAAGAGCGGCGAGGACGACAAACGGACAACGGCGTTGCAACTGAGAAGCTTCAATTGAATGCAACTTGACCAGGCCAAGTCTACAAGAAGAAGAGCAGAACTAGTCGAAGAAGAAGCAGCACCAACCAGAGACCTTGCACTCTAGAAAAATTTCCCACTTATATTATGAAATAAAGGATACATCGTTCATATTAAAGAAATAAAATGTATTGATAGAAAAATATATTTTTGTGTTATTGTTTTATTGTATTTTAAGATTTATATTTTTCGCATTTAAATCAGTCACAATTTATGTTAAAAAATAAAAAAAAAATTTATTTTATACCCCTACGTTTCTAAAAATATATTTATATTTGAAACAATAATAAAATCATCAACTTTTTGCCTTAAAGAACTATTTTTCAAGTTTTAGTGCAGTTTTTTCTCACTTGACAACTTGGGATCCACAGCGGTGCAACAAAGATGTTGTTGCTGCTGTTGATTTTATTCAAAATGGTTTGTTTATGCCGCACTAGTGGGAGAGGGGGCGATAAGGAGGGGAATACAAATCTTGAAAGGGGAAATGTTCCCATTCACTCTCTTTCTCTCTCTCTCTTCCACTTACACACAGAAAAGGTGGGCGATAGCCAATCGTTTTGGAGCTTTGGCGCTCTCAGTGGCGCATGCCCGCTCTCTCGCTCTTTTGCTCCAAGTATTCGAATTCGCCGTCTCCTATTCAGTGGGGTTTTTTGTTTCTGTACGAATTCGCCGCTAGATGCTGCACGAGGGCCTTTACCTTTTGACTGCTAATTTCCGTTCATTAAAGTTGGCAGCGTCTCGCTCACTATTTCACCCACCCACCCTCACCCGCACTACTGCCCTTCCCACCACTAACTTTTCTGGTAAGTTCTTAAAGCCGTGGCCGCAACTTTAATTTCATTGATTAGTGCTTGGAAAAGCCTTCGCCCCTTCTGCTCCTGCCCCCAAGGATGCTCCTTTTGCCCCGTCGTTGTTTTGGTCCTTTTATTTTTGGTTTGTCACTTCTATTCACTTGTCTGCTTGTGTTTTGGTTTGTTGTATCTTTCGCTATTTTCCCTCGACTGTATTTTTTTGTTTCTCTAAGCATTTAAGATTGGGATGCTTAAATCCGACTAATCGATGGGTAGGGGCTGGGTAGAACTGGGATAGTTTGCGTTCGCTGGGGGTGGGAGGTCGTGAGGGTAGGTTCTGGGAAGTCCTGTCTTACTATTTATGCGATAACTGTTGGGTAATCTAAAGATAGTTACGGTTAGTTATATGCTTGTGTCTTATGGGTTGCGTTGAGATTAGTAGAGGTTGACATTGTTTGCAAAAATGGTTGATATTAATACAAAATGTTAGGAAATTTTTGAATGATTATGATATGAATATTATTTAACAGAATAAGCAATTTCTTAAAAAAAAGGTATTTTCTTACCATAACCAGTACCTTACATTATAAAAGATAAAAAATAACCGACCTTTTAAGAGAAAATTAAGAATGAGGCAGAAAATGTGTAGCTTATCTACATAGCTGTTTTGTTATTTGTTTAGACGCTCTTTTTTGATGGTGGCACTCTATTCTTAAAAGATAAAAAAATAAACGATCTTAAAAATTAAGAATGAGATAAAAAATGTGTAGCTTAGCTAGCTGTTTTATTTACTTTAGCTAGTTTATTTGTTTAGACGCTCTTTTTTGATGGTGGCATTCTTTCCTTAAAAGTGCTGCCTAAATTTCCACTTTTCGTATTTCGTATACGCCCCATAAAACTTGAAAATTTCGTCAGCTGCCTTCCGCCATTCTCCCTCCAATCTTTTGTGAACTCTCCTCATTTTTCATATTGAAGGGCGAGCACCTAAGGACCAACCAACAAAGCTAAGCTGACGGCTCCCTGAGTTATGTTTTCTGCCACAGAACCCTCTTTCCCCCCAAGGAAACTTTTTGAATTTTGCACTTTCCTTTTTTTTCCAATGCCCATTCAGATTGCCAACATTTCCTGTCTCTTTTTATTTACATTACCCCCGAAGGACGAGGCGACATAAAAGTTGAAAGTTTCCTACAGTGTCTATGTACGAGTTTTCATAAAGATTGTGTGTCGGTGGGGGCACAATGGCAGGAATATATTGTACATAAGTGGAGGAAGAATTTGCTCCTAACTGAGGCTGTATTTCGACGCTTTTCTCATCCTATTTTCCGTTTCGCATTTGTGACTTTTCATTTTTCATATGCTGGCTGCCTCCGGCTCACCAGCACACCAACACGCGCATACACACATAGCTCATACCTCTCTCTCTTTCTTCGGTCGCTTTCTTTTCCATCTCCTTTGGCTTTCCGTGGTTGCCAAGTAAATGGCTTTTGCATTGTAAAATGTTGCATACATTTTCCTCTACTTTGCCTTTGGTACATACCTATGTATATGTGAGTACATATATAAAAATTCTGTGCCATATACCGTTCTACACAAGAAGCAGAAGGAGCAGGACAAAGGAAGCACACATGCTCTTGCTCTTTCTGCCTTGCCAACGGTATATTTTAAAATTTATGAAAAATAATATTTTTCCATCTCTCCATGCTCACAACCTCACCTACATACGTGTATGTAGAAGCCCTGAAGGAGTCCCGGGCCGTAAGGCGCACAATCAGAATACAATGGCTGCCTAGGGCTTCAAAAGGGGCCAGTGGGTGGGTGGTTGGCTGGGTGGTGCAATACATACATTTGTATGTGAGGGGCTGAGACTGGTCAGGGGAAGCCAACTGTGCGGCAACGCTCGCATTTACGTACAAAGATGCATGATAGAGCTGCTACAAACAGGGTTGTCGAGATTGATTAAGGATAATATAGTTTGAGATAATATTAATGGTGTTTTTGATATAAAAATAGTAAAAAAAGGGTTCGACTTCATAATATTTTAAATTAAATTTAAATTAAATTAAGTTAAATTAATAGCTAACTATTCAATTAATAAAATACTAGAAACAAAAGCTTTTCAATTATTTTAGTTCTTTGTAACTTGCATCTCCTTGGCAGCTCTGGTCACTCAAGTCAAAAGCATTTCCATTATGATAATGTAAGTGCACAATTTTCCAAACTTGAATGCGGACTTAGATGCCCCATCTCTCTCTGCCTCTCGTTCCTAATTTTCCATCTCTCTTGCACTTGCACACAGGACTCGTTCATTGCGCTTGGAAAATTTTCATATCCTGGCCAGTGCACATGAGAGCTTGGAACATGAAAAACTGCAAAAATGTGCAGAAAATGTTGCAAACTACATGACCCGAGGAAACAGAGGAGGATGTGCATAGCCACCCAAAAAAGAAAATAAAATAAAAGGGAAAAAAAGGAGAGCACGGACCAGGACAACGAAGCACTTGCACATAAAATACGATAACTGTGGAGCAAAGTGCTACATATGAAAGGTATTTCTCCGTTCACCGCTCCTTTTAGCCACTCTACATACATACATACGTTTTGGACATGCATGTGTGCAAGTTTTAGAATATAAAAGGCGTTTCCCTTGGCCCGAAGCAGGAGGTCGTATGTAATTACGCTTACCTTAGAGAACACGAGTACATACGGAACTCTAAAATATGATGGCTGCTTATATAAGCCAAATATCTTGCCTCTCCTTTCACTCCTCCCTCCCGCGTAGTTGCCTATATAAACTTTGGCATTTATGCCATAAAATTAAGTATGAAATTGAAAAATTGCTCACAGTCCCTCGCAAGCCCCAACATATTGTGAAATTAATTTTTAAATATTTATGAGCCCGTATACGAAAACTGTACCAAAGGCAGCTATTCGGGCCAAACTTTTCTCATATTTGTTTACGATGGTAGGGGGCGCAACGGCAG